ATAAAGGTAGGGAAGTTTTTATTGCATTTATGGATTTAGAAAAGGCATATGATAGAGTGGATAGGGGAGCAATGTGGCAGATGTTGCAAGTATATGGAATAGGTGGTAAGTTACTAAATGCTGTAAAGAGTTTTTATGAGGATAGTGAGGCTCAGGTTAGGGTGTGTAGAAGAGAGGGAGACTACTTCCCGGTAAAAGTAGGTCTTAGACAGGGATGTGTAATGTCACCATGGTTGTTTAATATATTTATAGATGGGGTTGTAAAAGAAGTAAATGCTAGTGTGTTCGGGAGAGGGCTGGGATTAAATTATGGGGAATCAAATTCAAACTGGGAATTAACACAGTTACTTTTTGCTGATGATACTGTGCTTATGGGAGATTCTAAAGAAAAATTGCAAAGGTCAGTGGATGAGTTTGGGAATGTGTGTAAAGGTAGAAAGTTGAAAGTGAACATAGAAAAGAGTAAGGTGATGAGGGTGTCAAATGATTTAGATAAAGAAAAATTGGATATCAAATTGGGGAGGAGGAGTATGGAAGAAGTGAATGTTTTCAGATACTTGGGAGTTGACGTGTCGGCGGATGGATGAGGTTAATCATAGAATTGATGAGGGAAAAAAGGTGAGTGGTGCATTGAGGTATATGTGGAGTCAAAAAGCATTATCTATGGAGGCAAAGAAGGGAATGTATGAAAGTATAATAGTACCAAACACTCTTATATGGGTGTGAAGCTTGGGTGGTAAATGTAGCAGCAGCAGCGAGGAGACGGTTGGAGGCAGTGGAGATGTTCTGTCTAAGGGCAATGTGTGGTGTAAATATTATGCAGAAAATTCAAAGTGTGGAAATTAGGAAAAGGTGTGGAGTTAATAAAAGTATTAGTCAGAGGGCAGAAGAGGGGTTGTTGAGGTGGTTTGGTCATTTAGAGAGAATGGATCAAAGTAGAATGACATGGAAAGCATATAAATCTATAGGGGAAGGAAAGAGGGGTAGGGGTCGTCCTCGAAAGGGTTGGAAAGAGGGGGTAAAGGAGGTTTTGTGGGTGAGGGGCTTGGACTTCCAGCAAGCGTGCATGAGCGTGTTAGATAGGAGTGAATGGAGACGAATGATACTTGGGACCTGACGATCTGTTGGAGTGTGAGCAGGGTAATATTTAGTGAAGGGATTCAGGGAAACCGGTTATTTTCATATAGTCGGACTTGAGTCCTGGAAATGGGAAGTACAATGCCTGCACTTTAAAGGAGGGGTTTGGGATATTGGCAGTTTGGAGGGATATGTTGTGTATCTCTATACGTATATGCTTCTAAGCTGTTATATTCTGAGCACCTCTGCAAAAGCAGTGATAATGTGTGAGTGTGGTGAAAGTGTTGAATGATGATGAAAGTATTTTTCTTTTTGGGGATTTTCTTTCTTTTTTTGGGTCACCCTGCCTCGGTGGGAGACGACCGACTTGTTGAAAAAAAAAAAAAAAAAAAAAAAAAAAAAAATTCAGGGAAACCGGTTATTTTCATATAGTCGGACTTGAGTCCTGGAAATGGGAAGTACAATGCCTGCACTTTAAAGGAGGGGTTTGGGATATTGGCAGTTTGGAGGGATATATTGTGTATCTTTATACGTATATGCTTCTAAACTGTTGTATTCTGAGCACCTCTGCAAAAACAGTGATTATGTGTGAGTGTGGTGAAAGTGTTGAATGATGATGAAAGCATTTTCTTTTTGGGGATTTTTTTTCTTTTTTGGGTCACCCTGCCTTGGTGGGAGACGGCTGACTTGTTGAAAAAAAAAAAAAAAAAAAACATGTATGTGTAGTGTGACCTAAGTGTAAGAAGTAGTAGCAAGACGTACCTGAAATACTGCATGTTTATGATACAGAAAAAAGACACCAGCAATCCTACCATCATGTAAAACAAATACAAGTTTTCATTTTACACTCACTTAGCAGGATGGTAGTACCTCCCTGGGTGGTTGCTGTCTACCAACCTACTACTTACAACTATGTATCTTTCTTTCTTTCAACACACTGGCCATATCCCACCGAGGCGGGGTGGCCCAAAAGGAAAAACGAAAGTTTCTCCTTTTACATTTAGTAATATATACAGGAGAAGGGGTTACTAGCCCCTTGCTCCCGGCATTTTAGTCGCCTCTTACAACACGCATGGCTTACGGAGGAAGACTTCTGTTCCACTTCCCCATAGAGGTAACAGGAAATAAACAAGAACAAGAACTAGAAAGAAAATAGAAGAAAACCCAGAGGTGTGTGTGTGTACATATATGCTTGTACATGTATGTTACATGAGATGTTATCAACAAATTTTGTTGAAAATAAGAAAAAGTTTTGGAGTGAGATTAACAAGTTAAGAAAGCCTAGAGAACAAATGGATTTGTCAGTTAAAAATAGGAGAGGAGAGTTATTAAATGGAGAGTTAGAGGTATTGGGAAGATGGAGGGAATATTTTGAGGAATTGTTAAATGTTGATGAAGATAGGGAAGCTGTGATTTCGTGTATAGGACAAGGAGGAATAACATCTTGTAGGAGTGAGGAAGAGCCAGTTGTGAGTGTGGGGGAAGTTCGTGAGGCAGTAGGTAAAATGAAAGGGGGTAAGGCAGCCGGGATTGATGGGATAAAGATAGAAATGTTAAAAGCAGGTGGGGATATAGTTTTGGAGTGGTTGGTGCAATTATTTTTAATAAATGTATGGAAGAGGGTAAGGTACCTAGGGATTGGCAGAGAGCATGCATGGTTCCTTTGTATAAAGGCAAAGGGGATAAAAGAGAGTGCAAAAAAATTTTAGGGGGATAAGTCTGCTGAGTATACCTGGTAAAGTGTATGGTAGAGTTATTATTGAAAGAATTAAGAGTAAGACTGAGAATAGGATAGCAGATGAACAAGGAGGCTTTAGGAAAGGTAGGGGGTGTGTGGACCAGGTGTTTACAGTGAAACATATAAGTGACAGTATTTAGATAAGGCAAAGAGGTCTTGTGGCATTTATGGATTTGGAAAAGGCATATGACAGGGTGGATAGGGGGGCAATGTGGCAGATGTTGCAAGTGTATGGTGTAGGAGGTAGGTTACTGAAAGCAGTGAAGAGTTTTTACGAGGATAGTGAGGCTCAAGTTAGAGTTATGTAGGAAAGAGGGAAATTATTTCCCAGTAAAAGTAGGCCTTAGACAAGGATGTGTGATGTCACCGTGGTTGTTTAATATATTTATAGATGGGGTTGTAAGAGAAGTAAATGCGAGGGTCTTGGCAAGAGGCTGGAGTTAAAAGATAAAGAATCACACACAAAGTGGGAGTTGTCACAGCTGCTCTTTGCTGATGACACTGTGCTCTTGGGAGATTCTGAAGAGAAGTTGCAGAGATTGGTGGATGAATTTGGTAGGGTGTGCAAAAGAAGAAAATTAAAGGTGAATACAGGAAAGAGTAAGGTTATGAGGATAACAAAAAGATTAGGTGATGAAAGATTGAATATCAGATTGGAGGGAGAGAGTATGGAGGAGGTGAATGTATTCAGTATTTGGGAGTGGACGTGTCAGCGGATGGGTCTATGAAAGATGAGGTGAATCATAGAATTGATGAGGGGAAAAGAGTGGGTGGTGCACTTAGGAGTCTGTGGAGACAAAGAACTTTGTCCTTGGAGGCAAAGAGGGGAATGTATGAGAGTATAGTTTTACCAATGCTCTTATATGGGTGTGAAGCATGGGTGATGAATGTTGCAGCGAGGAGAAGGCTGGAGGCAGTGGAGATGTCATGTCTGAGGGCAATGTGTGGTGTGAATATAATGCAGAGAATTTGTAGTTTGGAAGTTAGGAGGAGGTGCAGGATTACCAAAACTGTTGTCCAGAGGGCTGAGGAAGGGTTGTTGAGGTGGTTCGGACATGTAGAGAGAATGGAGCGAAACAGAATGACTTCAAGAGTGTATCAGTCTGTAGTGGAAGGAAGGCGGGGTAGGGGTCGGCCTAGGAAAGGTTGGAGAGAGGGGTAAAGGAGGTTTTGTGTGTGTGAGGGGCTTGGACTTCCAGCAGGCATACGTGAGCGTGTTTGATAGGAGTGAATGGAGACAAATGGTTTTTAATACTTGACGTGCTGTTGGAGTGTGAGCAAGGTAACATTTATGAAGGGATTCAGGGAAACCGGCAGGCCGGACTTGAGTCCTGGAGATGGGAAGTGCAGTGCCTGCACTCTGAAGGAGGGGTGTTAATGTTGCAGTTTAAAAACTGTAGTGTAAAGCACCCTTCTGGCAAGACAGTGATGGAGTGAATGATGGTGAAAGTTTTTCTTTTTCGGGCCACCCTGCCTTGGTGGGAATCGGCCAGTGTGATAATAAAAAAAAAAAATGTATGTGTAGTGTGACCTAAGTGTAAGTAGAAGTAGCAAGACTTACCTGAAATCTTGCATATGTATGAGACAGAAAAAAAAGACACCAGCAATCCTACCATTGTGTAAAACAATTACAGGCTTCCGTTTTACACTCACTTGGCAGGACGGTAGTACCTTCCTGGGCGGTTGCTGTCTACCAACCTACTACCTACAACTATGTATCATGTCCTTATAAAATATTATTATTATTATTACACCTACCATCCGACTTACGCCCTGCTCGACTTACGACCACTCGACTAACGACCGTGTTTTTTATGCCAAATTTCTGGGAAATAAACAACTATTTGTGTTGTACACAGTGTTTATCCTAAACCTTACAGTAGAAAATACAGTACTAACAACATAAAAAGTAAAGTAAAACATGAAATACCAAAATAAAGCAATAAAATAAAGTCATTACAAAAATGTTTTGTTGATATTCAGTAGTAAAGTTCGACTTACGACCATTTCGACTTACGATCGGTTTCTCGGAACCGAACTCGGTCGTAAGTCGGATGGTAGGTGTATTATTATTATTATTATTATTATTATTATTATTATAATTTCAGTGCTAATAGCATCACAGGAAACACACTAGTACTACCAATACCCCAAACTCAAAAAACATAAGCTTGTTGATGATTACCTGACTAACTTCTTCCTGCTTGGCTTAGTGTTAAATCTAAGACAAAAATCCATGGCTGCATTGTCGATCAAATCTCGGTTGATACAATTGGGAAGAGCACTGAGGAAGGCATCTAACAAAACCTTATTAGAGGATGGTCCTGTGCTGGTCAAACTATCATCTTGTTCCTCTTCTGGTGGTAACTCTGGTGGTAACACTTCCTCAACATCTTCTTCAGTTGTTTCCATAACTTCCAGTTCTTCCTCCTCCAGTGTTTCATCAACTTCTTCTGCTGGAGCTTCCTCTGCCTATAAAATGAGAAAATAAATTACCTCTGTTGTTTCAGTAGAAAATTATAAAAAAAGTTTAGTGTCTGCTCAGATTTTAACAAACAGATTTGGGACCAAGAGGGCAAAGCCTTTGATAAAGATTTTTCTCAACAAGTATGGTTTATCCTAGGTAGTAGGTTGGTAAACAGCAACCGCCCAGGGAGGTACTACCGTCCTGCCAAGTGAGTGTACAACGAAAACCTGTAATTGTTTTACATGATGGTAGGATTGCTGGTGTCTTTTGTCTGTTTCATAAACATGCAAGATTTCAGGTATGTCTTGCTACTTCTACTTGCACTTAGGTCACACTACACATACATGTACAAGCATATATATACACACCCCTCTGGGTATTCTTCTATTTTCTTTCTAGTTCTTGTTCTTGTTTATTTCCTCTTATCTCCATGGGGAAGTGGAACAGAATTCTTCCTCCGTAAGCCATGCGTGTTGTAAGAGGCAACTAAAATGCCAGGAGCAAGAGGCTAGTAATCCCTTCTCCCGTATAAATTATTAAATTTAAAAGAGAAAATTTCGTTTTTCTTTTTGGGCCACCCTGCCTTGGTGGGATACGGCCAGTGTGTTGAAAGAAAGAAAGAAGTATGGTTTATCCAAATATCTGGCAGCAAAAAAATTATAAATGAGCTAATAGTGTTAATGCTTTCATTTGCATTTTTTTTACCTCAACAGCCATCTCCCACCAAGGCAGGGGAGGATCCAAAGAAGAAAACACATTCACCATTATTCATTCACTCACTGACTTGTTAGAAGTGTGCTCATATCACAATTCAGATTACCCTCCAACTGCAACATCCTCACTGCTCCTTCAGAGTACAGGTAATGCCATTCCAATCTCCAGGATTCAAGTATAGCTAACTAGTTTTCCTGGATCCCTTCATAAAAGCTACCTTGCTCACACTCCAACACCACCTTCATTAAAAATCACTTGTATCCATTCACTCCTATCTAACATGCTGACTCAAGCCTGCTGGATGCTCAAGCCCCTACAACTAAAAGCCTCCTTCACACTCTCCCTCCAACCATTCCAAAGATGACCCCTATCCCTCCTACCTTCCACCCTAAATTTATATACCCTCTGTGTCATCTCATACCTCTCCATCTTCTCTGTATGTCCAAACTACATCAACATCACCACCTCAGCCAACTGATGTACAATATATCAATGTATATCAATGATGATCCCCCATAGAATTTCAATTTCTATACTCTGAAATCTCTGCATGATATTCGCACCACTGATTTCTTTAAAAGATGACCTCTTCATTGCCTCTATAGTCGTCTGCTTGCTGCAGTGATCAAAACCCATGCCTCACACCCACATAAAAGCACTGGTACCACTATACTCTGGTACATTTCCTTTTCTGCCCCATAAATAAACCACTTTCTTGCCACTGATGCCACAACACATCACCCATCTTCTGTCCCCATCATGTATTGTATGGTTAATTTTGTCCTTCACAGACCCATCTACTTGTTCCATACTTCCTCTGTTGGAACTTATTCGGTCCGAGAAGTCCCAACGGGGAAAAACACACCATTCAAGGGCCCTTAAACCCACCCAAAACAAAAACACACTCTCCCGGATTGGCGTAGGTGGATGGAAGGCACTACTTAATTTATAGATTTACCCTTCAGGGAAGAAGTAGGTAGTTTATACTGTTAGTACACTAATATCAGGATTATTGAGGCAACTGTAGATAATAATAATGTAGACCTAAGACCTTAACATAGGTAGTAATAGGCCAATAATGTAGGCAAACACTAGGTTACATTAGCTAGGGAGAACTGGCAGCCCAAGTTTGAACGACGAGGTGCGGGTCTCGAAGACGCCAGATCTCTCTTCTTAGACTAGACACCATCTGGACAACACGTGCCGTGATCAGCAGACGGCGCACCCCACGTGTCTTCACATATGAGACCTCGGGAAATCTGGTGGAGGCACCTCGATGTACCGTAGATGACCTCCTCCGTCAGGCCCATACAGTAAGACAAGACCTCCACTTTTTCTTAGGATTTCTGGCCAGTGTCTGGGGAAAATTGCGAGTGAGTTGAGCTGTGGCCTTTGTGCAGCCGGCAGTTCATAACCAGTACGTGATTTTGTCTCTTGTCTACCTAGAAGCTAGTGTCCGTTTCTGCATAGTTATACTAGGGGATACACACCCTCTTGGATACAGGAATTTCTGAGGTGCAGGCAGGTCACTAATATCGATTGAATATTGCAGGAATTAAAGCTCCCGGTTGCACGTGGTTTCTGAGGGGAAGTCCAAAGGGGCTAAGCTTAGGGAGGTTGAAGATCAGGATATATGCTGCAACACCAAGTAAGTTAGTCCTTTAAACATGCATGCAGGCGAGGTTTCTTGCAACATCAGTCATTTATGAAAATCTGTCCTATAAGCCACTTGTGAGGCTGAGGTACCGACCTCAGAGCTCGGTGTCAACAGAGCTTGCCAGGGTAGGCGACTCACTTGGAGGCAGTCCAGACAAATTTTCACATCCTCCCTCCAATCTGATATTCAATCTATCATTGCCCATTCCCTTTTTGTTACACTCATCACCATAAAATATGAAATATTTTTCCATTTCACACTAATTAAAAATAATTAAATTTAATGAATAAAAAAAAGAAAACAAAGACAAACTTTAAAAATAAGACAAACTTTAAATGTAGCTGAAGTCTTTTGAAGAGGTTACTTAATTACACCCTTGCTAATTCACTAACAATCAAATTATTACTGTGTATCAAGAAGATCAGAAAATATAAGTGGAGATAAAATGTAGTATAAAACATACTGGCCATCTCCCACCAAGGCAGGGTGACCCAAAAAAAAAAAAAACTATAAAGCTTTTCTTCTTTTTACTTTTAGTAATTTATACAGGAGAAAGGGGTTACTAGCTCCCTGCTCCCAGCATTTTAGTTGCCTTTTTACAATATGCATGGCTTATGGACAAACAATTCTAATACAGTATCTGTCAATGTATGTAATAATTTTCTCTACACACTGCAAATACATTTAAATTCACTGATATATTAGACAAATTATATACCAGTTACTAACCAAAAAGTCATAAAAAAAATTGCACTTACAGGTACAGCTGTAGGCTTCTCAGAATCACTGTACAATATAGATGGAATGAGAGCTTTGAGTTCAGGGAAGTTTTCATAAAATGCTCTAGTGTCGTCATCCTCCCACAGCACAGCTGTCCCTCCTTCAGGAATCTCTCCACCTTCACCTATTCCCATATCACATAAGCCTAGATCATCTCCTTGAGATTCTGTAAAAAACATTGCATACATAAGTAAAACACATAAGTAAAACACTATTTCCAACCTAAGTTATCAGAATGCAATAATTAAATCAGCTCCATCACAGCAACACCCATATACAGTATGGGAATGCTATTCATCTTTTAAATTTACTTTATCACTATTCCTAGTTGCTACTTATTATCATCTGTCTGCATCAATACAATCTGACTGTATTAATTTGTCAAGGATAACTCATCCCTTTGAAGTGGAACAGAATTCTTCCTCCGTAAGCCATGCGTGTTGTAAGAGGCGACTAAAATGCTCGGAGCATGGGGCTAGTAACCTCTTCTCCTGTATATATTACTAAATTTGAAAGGAGAAACTTTCGTTTTTCCTTTTGGGCCACCCCGCCTCGGTGGGATACGGCCGGTGTGTTGAAAGAAGGAAGAAAGAACTCATCCCTTTCTAGGTTGTCAAGCTGGAGTCGAGTATTGTATAAAAACAATGTTGTTAGAAAACCTGTGGTAGTGAACTGTAGTCAGTTCCAACTCTGTTTGACATGCTGAGCTTTACTGCACATCCTTACTGGCTTCATAGAAAAAATGTAAGAAAGAAAGCTACTCACTGTCTTCTGGAAGCTCAGGCATGTCTTCATCTAGCAGCTCAGCCATCTGTTGAGCATTGGTTAGAAGTTTGCTTAGTCCAGCAGAAAGATTCTCAGCCAAATTGACTCGTTCCTGGCTCAGCTCTCCTCGAGTCTGCAACAGCCGACGATTTTGCTGTTCGACATGCTGTAATTCCTGCAAGACAAGATACATGTAAACTACTGATTTTCTGGCAACTGATGGTCTGGTACCTCTTTTAGTCCGGAAAAAATTACGAGGGCACCTGAAATTTCGGTGACTGCCAGACTAGTTTACCAGACAGCCACACATACCATGAGTGTGTAACATTCACTCGCCTATATTGTTTAACCCTTTCAGGGTCCGTCCCGTAGATCTACGGCTTTACGTTCAGGGTCCAAACCGTAGATCTACGCCATGAGCTCAGCTCACTCTGATAAACTGTGAGTGGTACATTTGGGCCTAGATATGAGAGAATACATCTATGTGGTATGTGTGCACCACATAAAACAGATCCTGCAGCACACTGTGTATAATGAGAGAAAAAAACTTAAATCATGATTTTTCGATTAAAACAGCAACTTTGCAGTGTTTTTTCGTATGTTTTTTATAGTTGTATTTGCGATTTCTTGGTCTCATTTGATAGAATGGAAGACATATTACAGAAATAGAGATGATTTTGATTGGTTTTAGCACTGGAAATGGCTTGAAACTGAGCTCAAAGTAGCGGAAATGTTAAATTTTTGCCGATATTCAAGAGTAAACAAACGACCTCACACGTTTAATACACGTCAGCTGGTGGGTCTAATATACATTCACAAATATGGTGATGATATTTATACAATTATTACAGTATTGCATAACAGTAAATCTTCTATTTTTTGGTGTGAATAAAAATTCATTATGTGAATAAAAAATCGAAATGGAATTTATTTGTAAAGCCTCAAAACATAACTAATGAACAGAGGAAACGTTAGTTTAGTGCCAGGAATGCCTACATTGTTTATTCTGGACCTATTTTGAAATTGGATATTTGAACTTTGTGTTAAATTGGCCAAATTAACAATTTCTGACCACTGTTATTGTTGTAGTTGAAACAGTGACATTGGGATTTCTTGTGCTCAATCGATAGAATAGAAAGTAATACTAGTGAAATAGCTAAGGATTTGGTTGATTGGAATAATGTAATTGGCCTAAAATGGGAGTCAAAGTCGGCAAAATCGCCGATTCGTAAATGTCGCTGACACATCAAAATTCACGAGAGCATAATTTCGTCAATTTTCCACCAAATTTCGTACTTTTTGTTTTATTACCTTCACAAAAAGATTCTCTACGATTTCATAAGAAAAAATAAACAAATTTTTTTTTTTAAATTCTTGGACACTGGTGCGTGACTCCAGATTTGGGCCTTGGACCCTGAAAGGGTTAAAATGCAGTTGTTGGTGGTGACCCCTTGATTATGAGTGATTCTTAATTTATTATGCTTACATTTATGGCTTCTAAGAAAGATGCAGGTGTCAGCGGTGTAGCTGACCTGAAAGACTTATTATTGACAAGTCAACTGAATTGTCATGTAAATTAATCAAAGAGCTAATACAACATACCTTCATGATTGAAAAATTATACAGGGCAAGATTAAAGCACATGAAACAACTTTGCCTGGATATGTCTAAAAAGATTAGCTCTGCTTTTCCAGTAAAATTCTAAATTTTCCACTTTGGAAGTGGTAGTACTGCAACATTGTTTATAAATACAGTAATTAACCCCTAGGTAGTAGGTTGGTAGACAGCAACCGCCCAGGGAGGTACTACTGTCCTGCCAAGTGAGTGTAAAACGAAAGCCTGTAATTGTTTTACATGATGGCAGGATGGCTGGTGTCTTTTTTGTCTCATAAACATGCAAGATTTCAGGTATGTCTTGCTACTTCTACTTACACTTAGGTCACATTATACATGCATGTACAAGCACATATATTCATACACACCCCTCTGGGTTTTCGTCTATTTTCTTACTAGTTCTTGTTCTTATTTCCTTTTATCTCCATGGGGAAGTGGAACAGAATTCTTCCTCTGTAAGCCATGCATGCCGTAAAAGGCAACTAAAATGCCGGGAGCAAGGGGCTAGTAACCCCTTCTCATGTATACATTACTAAAGGTATTAAGAGAAACTTTTGTTTTTTTTTAGGCCACCCTGCCTCGGTGAGATACAGCTGGTTTGTTGAAAGATTATTATTATTATTATTAATCATTACTTTATAATTAATTTTACTGCATTAATCTGAGTAAGACCTAGCTAACATTGATTACTAAGTTTTTTGTTTTTTAACAAGCTGGTTGTCTCTCCCACCAAGGCAGGGTGTCCCGAAAAAGAAACTTTCACCGTCATTCACACTATCACTGTCATGTCAGAGGTGCACAGATACAACAGTTTAGATGTCACTCTAAACAGCAAATATCCCAGACCCCTCCTTTAGAGTGCAGGTACTGTACTTCCCACCTCCTTGAGTAACTACTGAAGATATAAATCTATGTGGATGATGATGTCAAAGCACATATGCAGAGGGAGAGACAGAAGGGTCAAACAATAAGCACAAGAAAAAAAGGAGATAGTTATAATCTCTGTACCAATACAGTGGTACCTCAAGTTACGAACTTAATTCGTTCCAGAAGGCTGTTCAAGTGCCGCTACTGAACAAATTTGTTCCCATAGGGAATAATGTAAATTAGATTAGTCCGTTCCAGAGCCCCAAAAATACACTTACAAAAGCACTTACAAAAATGCACTTACATAACTGTTCGAGATGGGAGCTGTTCGAAACTCGAGGTACCACTGTATTTAAAACCAAATACACAACATGAGAGAAAGGTTCATATCTAGCCTTAATTTAAAATAGAGGAGCAGATATGAAGTAAGATATGCATGCTTGTCTAAAAGTATTTATTAAAGACTCTGAGAAAGATACCTGTTCTATTATAAAATAGGTACTGTAAATGAAAGTGGGTACAAATATAAAACTTGATTCAAATATATTTTACCTTATGATCACAAAACAGGTGTTTAGTGAGGGAAAGAAAGTAGTCCTTAATTAGCTGTCTCACATTCTTCTGTCTCTCACGAGGAAGGAACTCGCTTTTGGGAACAGCCATCTGTATGTGAAGATAATATTTCTAATTTGAGATAGCAGGAAATAATTTTTTTTTTTTTTCAACAAGTCAGCCGTCTCCCACCGAGGCAGGGTGACCCAAAAAAGAAAGAAAATCCCCAAAAAGAAAATGCTTTCATCATCATTCAACACTTTCACCACACTCACACATTATCACTTTTTGCAGAGGTGCTCAGAACACAACAGTTTAGAAGCATATACGTATAAAGATACACAACATATCCCTCCAAACTGCCAATATCCCAAACCCCCTCCTTTAAAGTGCAGGCATTGTACTTCCCATTTCCAGGACTCAAGTCCGACTATATGAAAATAACCGGTTTCCCTGAATCCCTTCACTAAATATTACCCTGCTCACACTCCAACAGATCGTCAGGTCCCACGTACCATTCGTCGCCATTCACTCCTATCTAACACGCTCACGCACGCTTGCTGGAAGTCCAAGCCCCTCGCCCACAAAACCTCAATTAGCCCCTCTCTCCAACCCTTTTGAGGACGACCCCTACCTCGTGAAATCCTAATCTGTACCTGAGAGAAGGTAAGACAGCAAAATTACTATAAGGCTTGAGCTTCTTGAAAGAATAATATTTAAAATCCCCATTTTAGCCCAAAAAATCTAAATGTAAACCTGAAAAGGAAGTTCAAATTGATGGCCTCTGACTAACTCTGTAATTACATGGGAATAACTGTGGCCTATATTCCAACTACAGATACATTCTTACTCTTAATAGTCACTGAATGCTATACAACACTATGATTTACCAATATACAATGCTATTAAAAGTACTAACCTGAAACTGATCTGCGAGGAGCCTGATTTTCCGAGGCACCAACCCCATGTAGTCTTCTCCACAGTGGCGACAGAAAGTGAGCAACACTGAAATGTTTTGATGCTCCTCTTTGTCTGATGTAACCAATGTTGTTAATACATTTCCTGGAGAAATTTACAAATGCAATGTAATAAGATATGGTAATAAATAAATTAAAACAATAACTAACAGATTTACTCAGTGATATACCTTTGATGAGTGCCAAGAGTCTTTTCATTCCTGGAGCCCGGCTATGAGCCAGGCTTGTCTAGTGCTTGCCTGGTCAACCAGGGTGTTGCTGCTGGTGGCCTGCTGCCCCCACATATATCACAGCCTGGTTGGTCTAGCACCTGGTAAAGATACTTGTTCAGTTTTCTCTTGAAGACTTCTACACTTGTCCCAGCAGTGTTTCTGATATCTTCTGGTAAGATGTTAAATAATCTGGGGCCACAGGTGTTGATAAGTGTTCCCTCATTGTGCTCAAGGCACCCCCCCACTTTCACTGGGTTTATTTTGCACTTTCTCCCACATCTCTCATTCCAGTATGTTATGACAGTGTTCAAATTTGGGACCAGGCCCTCTAGTATTTTCCAGACATATATTATCATGAATCTCTCTCTTCTCCACTCCAGTGAGTACATATTTAAGATTTTAAGGTATTCCCAGTAATTTAAATGCTTTATTGGCTCTATGCAGGATCTTACAACTGCAAAAAATTATTAAGATGCAAGCAGAAATGTTTGCTGTCTGTGATGAATACAAGACTAAATACAATTCTGAATAAAAAAGCACAATCTTATGGCCAGAACAATACACAAATAATCCACACATAGGAAACTGAAACTTTTAATTATGTTTCAGTCCAACTTGGACCGAAGTGCAGATTATTTGTGTAAATACAATTTTAATGTGTTTACATTAGCAATTAAACAATTAAAAACTTCAAATTATATTTATATTACATTAATATAGGTGTACCATCACAAACCCAGCAATCAGACATCCGGTTCCATCAGTTATTCAGCACTAATTTCAGCTAGCATAATTTCAAGTTTCAAGGGTCGCCACACCAACATGCTGCTACTGTTTGGTGCATAAGTCATTCCAATTTCTTTTCCTTCATTTATTGTTATAACCTGCTTACTTTTAGCCCTAGCCATAGTTCCAACAAATAAAAGAAATGTTTCTCGTTGTGTTAAGCACATACACAGTACACTGTCCATAAAAGATAAGGTGGCTTTGAAGCCACTGTTGGTTGCCATGAGCTGTCTCGTGATGCAGGGGAATATGCTTTATTATTACACTAATATCAACACTATTAGCAGTTTGGAGGGATATGTTGTGTATCTTTATACGTATATGCTTCTAAACTGTTGTGTTCTGAGCACCTCTGCAAAAACAGTGATTATGTGTGAGTGAGGTGAAAGTGTTGAATGATGATGGAAGTATTTTCTTTTTGGGGATTTTCTTTCTGTTTGGGTCACCCTGCCTCGGTGGGAGACGGCCGACTTGTTGAAAAAAAAAAAAAAATCAACACTACGGCTTATTTGCCTATCACAATTGATCTAATATGGCAAAATAAACAATAACATAAAAACATGTTAAATACTCGATAATGAATAATATTTGGCATAATACCGAGCGGTTCGACAGAGGTATGAAGAGGATATGGGATACAAGTATGTACCATTCTCCTATCTCTCTCTTGGGGGCTTATACAGTGGACCCCCGGCATACGATATTAATCCGTTCCTGAGAGCTCATCGTATGCTGAAATTATCATAAGGCGAATTAATTTTCCCCATAAGAAATAATGGAAATCAAATTAATCCGTGCAAGACACCACAAAGTATGAAAAAAAAAAAATTTTACCACATTAAAAATTAATTTTAATACACACAAACTGATACTTACCTTTATTGAAGATCTGGTGATGACTGATGGGATGGGAGGAAGGAAGAGTGTGGAAGTTGTTAATGCTTAGAAGGGGAATCCCCTTCCATTAGGACTTTAGGTAGTATGTCCTTTTCCAGGGTTACTTCCACTCTTCTTTTAATGCCACTAGGACCAGCTTACCGTGGTGCAGCAACAGCTGACCGTGGTGCAGCAACAGCTGACTTTGGTGCAGCAGCAGCTGACCGTGGTTCAGCAACAGATGACAGTGGTGTAGCAGCAGCTGACTGTGGTGCAGCAGCAGCTGACCGTGGTGCAACAGCAGCTCACTGTGGTTCAGCAAGAGCTGACTGGTGCAGCAACAGCTGACCGTGGTACGATAGTACGTATTTCCCACCCTTTTTGCATATGATCGCTTAAGAGATGGTATCTCCTGCTATCTGTTTTTCGTTTATCGCACCAATAACAGTCTCTCAACATCTTCGAGTACTTGCGATCTCTGTTTCGAAAACAAACTTGCACCGTTTGCAAGAACAACTTCCTTGATTGCCGTTTTGTTGGCCACAATAGTAGCGATGGTTAATTGGGGTTTGGTATACAACCTGGCCAGCTCCCAGACACGCACTCCACTTTCGTACTTAGCAATTATCTCTTTCTTCATTTCCATAGTAATTTTCACCTTTTTTACCGCACGGTTGGCACTAGAAGCTTTCTTGGGGCCCATGGTGACTTATTTTACAGGTACAATCACTAAAAATGCTGTGATAATATGAAGTGTACCAACTGTATGCGTGGATGCGACCGCATTGGCTGGCTTGTAAACAATGGCACACACGTGGGACGCGTTCCGGACGAATCGCGTGTGGCAGATTTTTTTAACGTGTGGCGAGGCAAAATTTTTGCATTAAAATGTATTGTATGCTGAATTTAACGTATGCTGATGCCATCGTATGCCGGGGGTCCACTGTATTAGAGAAAATGGAGTATAGCAGAGAGCTAACTGCCATATACACTTGTAATGCACCATAAAACTGAAACAAAAAAGCTATTTTCTCTACAAAGATTATCATACATAGCAGCATCTTTATTCCAAAACATTTCGCCTACACAGTAGGCGACTTCATCAAGCACAAAAAGTAGGCAGGAGCAGTAGAGATGTGAAGATGATGTAATCAGTCCATCACCCTTGAAGATGTAGATTTGAGGATGTCAGTCCCTCAGCCTGGAGAAGAGTTCTGTTCCATAGTCTGAAACAATGTGAAGATCAAGCAACACTGTCACTATGATCTTCACGTTGTTTCAGACTATGGAACAGAACTCTTCTCCAGGCTGAGCGACTGACAACCTCAAATCTATGTCTTCAAGGGTGATGGACTGATTACATCATCTTCACATCTCTAATGCTCCTGCCTACTTTTTGTGCTCGACTGAAGACGCCTACTGTGTAGGCGAAATGTTTCGGAATAAAGATGCCTAACTGTTGCTTATGTGGAAATCTGTTGTTGTACTTATACAACTAACCTAAAAGAGGAAGACCTTCCTTTGGTGCAAATATACCAGCAGCAATAAGTTCAGCATACAACCGTAGATCCACTCGTAGCTTACTCATGTTATTATTCTGGAAATAAGGCTAAAATAAATTTCAGTACTGTAACCCCTCTGGTAATAATGCATTTAAAAAATCTCACTCACAAATTTAGGATTCCCTTATTATAAAATTTATAATAAAATTTTGTAAGTAAAAATGTATCTGCTTATTTAAATCTGAATCCTCTCAACACACTGAATTTTTTCTGTGTATATGCAGCAAGTGCCCATACATAGTACCATGGACATTGCTTTTATTTCTCTATTTCTACTTAAGTTTTTAAAGAAAAGATGATGAGAATAAGCAGATGGCTATGTAAGAAGTGGTCAAAATTTTTTATACATGGCCCCTCCAAAGGAATGCAATGATGATGATAAACTTTTGGTCAAAGAAATGAGAACTGCCCTCCCTTTCCCTGGATTAAAGCATGGACCCTTATGGGTTTAGCACTTTCCCTGTTAGTTTTTTATGTTCCTGTTAATATTTTACAAAAGGAACCAATTACAGTTATTAAGTATAATGTAATTGCACATATCCTGAAAAACTAAGAGAGAATATGACAACAATGCTTATACAGTGGAACTCCAGTTTTCGTACAATCCGCATATCGTACAATTCAGATTTAGAACACTTTTTGGGGCAAAATTTTGGTCCGGATTTCGTACCTTAATCCGGAAATCATATGTATCGGACGCGTCCATCCGCCCGGGGATGCCGTCAGTCTGGCTCTGTCACTGGTTGAGTGAGCATTCATCTGAAACATTTCGCAATTTTTGTGCTTGTTTATTGACTGCGACTGCAAAATAAGTTACAATGGGTCCAAAGAAAGTTTCTAGTGCCAGCCCTATGGTAAAGAAGGTGAGAAATATGATAGAATTCAAGAAAGAGATTGAAAATATACAAAAGTGGCATACATTTAGCTGAGCTTGTAAGGATGTGGAAGAGTTGGTGGGGGACTTCAGGGAAGAGCTGCAAGACCTTCATCAGGAACAGCAACAGACCACAGCTGAGGAAATTGCTTCAGAGGAGAAGGAAGGGAGAGGGAAGAAGGTGGCTTCTTCAGTGATTTAGGACGTGTGCAAAGTGGAACGAGTTGCAAACTTATTTGAAAAATATCACCCTGACCAAGCTGATACAAGCCATATCTGCAACATGTTCAGTGACAATGCCTTGTCCCATTTTAGGCAAATCTTAAAGAGACACCAGAAACAGAGGTCTCTGGACAGATTTTTAGTGCAACATGGGTCCAGTGCCAGTAAAAGACAAAGAAGGGAAGTAACCCCAGAGAGGCTTCTGATACCTAAAGTCCTTATGGAGGGGGATTTCCCTTCCAAACAATAACCTCAACTCCCTCTTCCTTCCCGCCTTCTTTGATATGCCAACAAGTCTTCAACAAAGGTATCTAATGTTCATTTATCATTAAAATCAGTCATTTATATTTATTTCTCATTGTTTTCTGTATGTAAAACTATAGTTATTCTTTAAAAAATGTGTTTTTTGTTAATATTTTTGGGTGCCTGGTACGAATTAATTGTATTTACATTATTTCTTATGGGAAATATTAATTCGGTTTTCATACATTTCGGATTTAGAATGACCTCCTGGAACGGATTAAGTATGAAAACTGGAGTTCCACTGTATAAAGATTATGTCATATTCAGTCAAATGTTAAGATAAGCTCCATAAGTTTATACAGTAAACATGAAAATGTTTTCACAAAACTATGTATGGTATGGTTATTCGCATGAAATAGATATATGGAGTGCTCTTATTAAAACTTTTTGAAAACAAAAAGTATGCACTTGTTTTATTAGCTTGGAGAGTATGCATCATACGATGAAGCTAGAGTCAGGTGCTGGTTGTAGTTTCAGCCCATAGTTCCTAATAGCCATGCATTACAAACTTTAAGAACATAAGAACATTTAAAACATTTAAAACAAGAAGTTTTTTTTTATAAAGCAGATTGGCCAATTTCAATTTTACTTTCTAAACTTATTTTATGATTTATGATTTTATACCAGCCAGAGTGAATAGGCTAAGTTTTGATTAAAAAGTAAAAAATACATAACTCCAGAGCAATAATATACTTCTTATACATACTTTTTTCTAGGTAATAGGTTGGTAGACAGCAACCACCCAGGGAGGTACTACCGTCCTGCCAAGTGAGTGTAAAATGTAAGCCTGTAATTGTTGTAAATGATGATAGGATTGCTGGTGTCCATTTTTGTCTCATAAACATGCAAGGTTTCAGGTATGTCTTGCTACTTCTACTCACACTTAGGTCACACTACACATACATGTACAAGCATATATATATACACCCCACTGGGTTTTCTCCTATTTTCTTTCTAGTTCTTGTTCTTGTTTATTTCCTTTTATCTCCATGGGGAAGTGGAACAGAATTCTTCCTCCGTAAGCCATGCGTGTTGTAAGAGGCAACTAAAATGCCAGGAGCAAAGGACTAGTAACCCCTTCTCCTGTATATATTACTAAATATAAAAGGAGAAACTTTCGTTTTTCCTTTTGGGCCACCCCGCCTTGGTGGGATATGGCTGGCGTGTTGAAAGAAAGAAAGAAGACATACTTTTTCCTCTTTTTTTGGAGAGAGAACCTTCTGCCAATTCTCTAACAATGTTGAAGCAAAGTCATGGTAGCGTTGGTGAAGGAGAGAGCACAGGTGAACAGCAGTATTGATATCCGACATTTTCAATTTGGCTTCAACCACTGCCTGGGCCACCTCACTTACATATTTGGTCAAGTTCAAGCTCTGAAGATCTCTTATCAGTGAATCATGCTGGCTCTCTGTTAAATTTTTCTGTAAAAGGAAAATTGATTTATTATCACATACAAGAGATACAGTCCAGCTATAAAACTAAAATAAAAAAAATCTGATTCATGACAACTGCAAAACCTCCAAAAATTAAATTTCAGTATAAAGTAAATACAGTACTGTGCATGACAAAAGACAATGACTACTGAGAATAATAAGTACCAAAATTTTTTTTTTTTAATTTTAAATACTTTTCTAGAACAAATTTTTTTCAGTCATCTGCTTTTTAAGGAAAATGCTTGGCTATGATTTTTTGGCCATGAGATGTTGGAAATTTTAAAGTTTCATTTTAAGTCAGTATTTGATGCTTGGGAAACTCTGTGGCAGTCTCAGACAAGCTGCCTGCCTAAAAATCACTAAACATAACAACCTTAAGCATACTGAAAATAAAACATTAGACATAAGTATTTAAGTAAATATGAGTATTTAAAAGAGAACTTTTATTTTAATTAAAATGCATAAATTGACTAGCTATAAACAGCACAAAAGAAGAATTACAAAAAATTACTGGAATTCTAATTTTACCAAAAAAATTTCCATATATGAGAGAATATGTACAACTTACCAGTTTCTTAATAAATGCTGTGTTTTTCTTCAAGCTTGAATCTAACATGGCTGTGTTCAGTTCTGGCCGATCTTTTGCCATTGCCAAATTCTGCAATCTAAGTTCAGCCTTTTTGGCTAACCTCTCTTCAGCCTCTTGGATATAAGACAAGAGAAAATTCTGCAAAATAAAAAAAAATACCTAACAGGATTTGAAGGAGCAAGTGAGAGATGCAGGAACATCACAATAATAGGTGAGAAGAGGAAACAATAACCAGCAAAAGCAATATACTACTTGATGAAATTAAAGTAGGAAAAAACAAATGATGAGAAATTCCTAGGTCTAATCATGGACAACAAATTGAAATTTAATGCTTATATTTAACGCATCCAAAACAAGTGCCAAATTCTTTAAAGATTTTTTTTTTTTTCAACAAGTCGGCCGTCTCCCACTGAGGCAGGGTGACCCAAAAAAGAAAGAAAATCCCCAAAAAGAAAATACTTTCATCATCATTCAACACTTTCACCACACTCACACATTATCACTGTTTTTGCATAGGTGCTCAGAATACAACAGTTTAGAAGCATATACATATAAAGATGCACAACATATCCCTCCAAACTGCCAATATCCCAAACCCCTCCTTTAAAGTGCAGGCACTGTACTTCCCATTTCCAGGACTCAAGTCCGACTACATGAAAATAACCGGTTTCCTGAATCCCTTCACTAAATTTTACCCTGCTCACACTCCAACAGATCGTCGGTCCCAAGAAACCATTCGTCTCCATTCACTCCTATCTAACACGTCATGCCTTGCTTGCTGGAAGTCCAAGCCCCTCGCCCACAAAACCTCCTTTACCCCCTCTCTCCAACCCTTTCAAGGATGACCCCTACCCGCCTTCCCTTTCCCCCTCTAGATTTATATGCTTTCCATGTCATTCTACTTTGATCCATTCTCTCTAAATGCCCCAAATCACCTCAACAACCCCTTTCTGCCTTGACTAATACTTTTATTAACTCCACCCCTTTTTTCCTAATTTCCACACTCCAATTTTCTGCATAATATTTACACCACACATTGCCTTAAACAGGACATCTCCACTGCCTCCAACTGTCTCCTTGCTGCTGCATTTACCACCCCAAACTTCACACCCATATAAGAGTGTTGGTACTACTATACTTTCATACATTCCCTTCTTTGCCTCCATAGATAATTTTTTTTTGACTCCACATATACCTCAACGCACCACTCACCTTTTTTCCCTCATTTAATTCTATGATTAACCTTCCTTCATAAAACCATCCGCCGACACATCAACTCCCAAGTATCTGAAAAGATTCACTTCTTCCATACTCCTCTCCCCAATTTGATATTCAATTTTTCTTTATCTAAATCATTTGATACCCTCATCACCTTACTCTTTTCTATGTTCACTTTCAACTTTCTACCTTTACACACATTCCAAACTCTTCCCCTAACCCTTTTCAATTTTTCTTTAGAATCTCCTAAGCACGTATCATCAGCAAAAAGTAACTGTGTCAATTCCCATTTTGAATTTGATTCCCCAAATTTAATCCCACCCCCCTCCCGAACACCCTAGCATTTACTTCCTTTACAACCCCATCTATAAATATATTAAACAACCATGGTGACATTACACATCCCTGTCTAAGACCTACTTTTACCGGGAAGTAGTCTCCCTCTCTTCTACACACCCTAACCTGAGCCTCACTATCCTCATAAAAACTCTTTACAGCATTTAATAACTTACCACCTATTCCACATACTTGCAACATCTGCCACATTGCTCCTCTATCCACTCTATCATATGCCTTTTCTAAATCCATAAATGCAATAAAAACTTCCCTACCTTTATCTAAATACTGTTCACATATATACTCTCTAGAATTTGCTATTACGAATTAAAAAATAGTAACATAATGAATTCAAAATATAAGCCATATTGTGATAGAAATGGATTGTCAAAATTTTCAGTATGTTATACAAGTTGCCAGGAAGTGAAAAACAAAAGGAAAAGTGCTCAAAGTGCAAATCATGTAATCATTAACAACACAGAAATGCATTTCATTATTTACTTATCAATCATGCACCAACCTGATTAAATTTAGAAAAATATCCTACCATAAGTTACTAATACTGTTGTGTTTTCATTGCATGCAGAATGCAAATATACACATGGAATGCCAACAAATTAAAACTGTGTTATTACTATCCTACTACTGTAATGCTTTTTCACATTTTATAATGTGGCTGTAAAATGGTGTGTGTCAAGAGTTGACTACAACACCTCTATTGTTAATGGTAACCTAACTAGTACTTCTGAACACTTTTCAATTTCATTATCTGGTAACATGTTGCACCCTCTCTAGCTCTGTGATACATTTCTCTGTCTACTGAGATACCACATAATGTGGGTCAGTGTGCATAAACCTCTGACCTCACATTTTAAACATTATTAGGTATCTTTCCTTCTCCTCAGCTATAAATTAGTGCAAACATTCTCCAATAAACTAATGACATCATAACAGAGAAAATGAAAATAAAATAAATTACATTATAAGGCAGCAGTGATATATAATGGTTTAAGTATATATTTAATTTTCAAATTAATAAACAGATAGTATATATACTGAGTCAGTGTTCTGCCACATCAGGATGTATACTACTTTTTTTCATGATACATTGTTATTGTTTGTATTTTCTCAAATTTAAATATTTCTTCACGATTTATCATGATCCCTTTCCCTTAAAGATAGGAAAACTAGGAGAAATTGAAAGATGTTATCAAATACAGTACTTCAGTCATACTTTTAAATCATAACTTACACGATCCTCTTCCCGCTTTTTCATTTCTTCTTCCTCACGCCTCCTGGTCTCCTCCTCCTCCCGCTTACGTGCTTGCTCTTCCTCTTCCTGTTTGGCTTGAGCTGCTGCTTCCTCCTCTTCTTTCTTTTTTCTCTCTTCCTCTGCTTTCTTTTTATCTATTTCATCTTGTCTTTGGGACTCGAATGCTTGTCTCTCCTTCCCAGAATCTTCTTTCTTCTCCTCACCATCTATATACATGTATATATTAAATTATAAATTGAAAGTTTTTCTTTTTCGGGCCACCCTGCCTTGGTGGGAATCGGCCGGTGTGATAATAAAATAAAAAATAATTAAATTGAACCATAAAAAAACAGTGTACCATAGCAAAGTATGTTTTTATACATGTTCCTGTGGACCTTGCATGTGTGAAGCCCAGAATTCTTTATGAATGAGATAAGCAAAATTTATACAATATGTTTCAGTCTCCCATACCCAAGAATGCTTTTTAACATGATCTAAATATTAGCAAAATACAGATATACAGGGAACAGTCCCTAAGGCAGAATATGCAAAAGAAATGCTTTTTGTTTTACCTTACAATGAGAAATTTTTTTGTTTCCTTCAGTTCTTGTCTGTAAATGTGACGACAAGTTTATGAAGGAAAATACAATTTGAAAAGGTACTGATAAAAATGCCTCCTAGAGTGTCTATTTTCTGTTTAGAAAAATCCAAGTAAACAGTGCTCAAACACATGTTTTGAAGAAATAGGAAGGACCTTGAAGTCAAGTTGAGGTAAAATATATATAGCGGAACCTCAGTACTCGAACAGTTCCCTACTCAAACAATTCAGTATATTTGAATATTTTGTTCGGTAAAAAAATCGCTCAGTAGTCAATCGTGGCCCGGTGGCCTGGTGGCTAATGTGGCCCGGTGGCCTGGTGGCTAAAGCTCCCGCTTCACACACGGAGGGCCCGGGTTCGATTCCCGGCGGGTGGAAACATTTCGACACGTTTCCTTACACCTGTTGTCCTGTTCACCTAGCAGCAAATAGGTACCTGGGTGTTAGTCGACTGGTGTGGGTCGCATCCTGGGGGACAAGATTAAGGACCCCAATGGAAATAAGTTAGACAGTCCTCGATGACGCACTGACTTTCTTGGGTTATCCTGGGTGGCTAACCCTCCGGGGTTAAAAATCCGAACGAAATCTTATCTTATCTTATCTTGCTTGGCACTCAACCAGTGAGTGAGAGAGTGAGGCCAAGTGCCCAGTACAGCTCTATAAAATATGGTAATTTAACATATACAGTATGCTATACGATAAAGTATTTGTGTGCCTATTTGATAACTCTATGGTACTTGTATTCTTCCAATCCCAACTCTTAATATATAACAATAAACATGCTGTTGAAAAGCAAGTTTGCTAATGCATTAGAAGTTTATCCTATAATACCTCTCAGTACCAAAGAAAAAAAAGCAAACTAATTTTTCAAACATATGCAGCACTGTACCTTTAGAAGGGAATCCCACAAGTCTACTGCTGGAACGTTTCCTTTCCCGTTCTTCCCGCTCCTTCCTCCAGCTCTTTCCCCCACGCCTCTCTCCCTTTCCTCCTTCCATGCTTTACTTATCGGCTTACTTTTCTTTTGCTAATTCACTGAAAAAAAAGTAAACCTGTAAACTGCATGTGTGGCAACATTCTTTGAATTTCAGTATTGAACAGTAAAGTATCCTCCCTAATTCACTATGAAAAAATAAAAAAGTTATGTTCTTGTGTATACTGTGTCTGTAACTACAGGCAGTATTTCAAACATCAGAAATAAATATTTTTTATTATTATTATCACACTGGCCGATTCCCACCAAGGCAGGGTGGCCTGAAAAAGAAAAACTTTCACCATCATTCACTCCATCACTGTCTTGCCAGAAGGGTGCTTTACACTACAGTTTTTAAACTGCAACATTAACACCCCTCCTTCAGAGTGCAGGCACTGTACTTTCCATCTCCAGGACTCAAGTCCAGCCTGCCAGTTACCCTGAACCCCTTCATAAATGTTACTTTGCTCACACTCCAACAGCACGTCAAGTATTAAAAACCATTTGTCTCCATTCACTCCAATCAAACACGTTCACGCATGCCTGCTGGAAGTCCAAGCCCCTCGCACACAAAACCTCCTTTACCCCCTCCCTCCAACATTATTTTTATAGTTTTTTATTTTTACCTCAGTGTGAAACAGAAGCCTGTTTAGCATTTTGCCATCAGACTGAATCTAAAGTGACATAAATCATAAAAACTACTACTAATGCTCAATATATACTGATCTTATCTTTCCTATGTTGTTAAAGGTCTTTTCTCTGTAATTACTCCAAATAATACCCATTTATTAAAGAAAAAGCCAGTACTGTAGAATTTGGGATATGATGTTGTAGTGGTTATCATAGAAGGTTGGTAGTCAAATGACCCCACATCTGATATTATCATTATAGTCATGTGGAGAACTAAACATGTGTAGATCACTGGACATAGTGAAAGAGGCTTCATCCTTCATCAGCTGTTATCTTCTGGAGGTTGTCTCTTTACTGAGAGATCTACCTGTCACCTCTGTGACTTGCCAAGCCATCACATAAATATTAATCAATAAATTATTAATAATACAGAACATATGATATGATTTTTTTGCTTACAAAATATATCCTATTATAGTATGCATATTTCAGGCAGAACTAGACTAGAATTATAATGTCATTAGATATTAAAGATGGAGTTGAAGTTTCAAAATTTCAGGTGACCATGTAAATAAGAACAGCAGTAATTAAAATACTTATTAATAATAAAATGCTTAACCTAGTCTTAACTTGAGAAATAAGTGATCTTATCTAGGCTTAAGATAGTTAGGTTGGATTAATTAGCTAATAATTCAATTAGAATAAATTACAACAGAAGTCGTTACGTGGATTATTAACCCAAGTTAATAACCCGGGAAAACCAAGCAATTTGGCTTATTTCCTAGGGCGGCACCAGACTTTCTTTACTGGGGAGGGGGGATGGTTATATGGTTGATAGAGGAGGCTATCTGGGTGGAAGAGGTGGTTATCTGGTTGAAAGGGGATGAATATCTGGTTGAAAGGGGATGAATATCTGGTTGAAAGGGGATGAATATCTGGTTGAAAGGGGGTGGCTATCTGTTGAAAGGGGTGGCTTATTGGTGGAATGGTAGCTACTGCTAAGAGATATTTTTAAGTAGCAATATTATTATCACTGTTTTTAATTGGGGGGGAAGCTGTGGGAATTTTTTGGAGGCTTCAGCCCACCAAGACTCCCCCTCTCTTTGGTATTCCTATTGCTTATTTCCATTCAGATGGGTAAGACCCAGGTACCTGCCAGCTGCTAGTTCCACAGTGGCAACAGGTGAAACAAATATGTTGAAAGGTTCCTTGACGGGAAGATAAAGGACAGTTAGTGCTTAATTAATCAAAAGAGAAGCATATATATGGTAGTATTACCTTACTCTTTAATAATGGAGTGATAACCTATAGTTAACTAAGACAAAATAGTGTGGAAATATAAAAAGTATTAAACCTCCTGAGTTCTTTAGATATGAGCTGAAGGTGTTATTTAGGTTAGATGTTTACCTAACAGAAAGTTAAGCTGGATTATTATTATTATTATTATTATTATTATTATTATTATTATTACAATCAAAACTAAGGGTTAAACCCACAAGGGTACGCTAGATTGAATTAGGGTGTATTAATTAGGTTTTCCGTACCATTATAATGTCATTATTTTAACAACTATTGTACTACCCTCGAATAAATAATAAATAAAATACCATATGAACGATAAAAATTTAATGCGAAGTTGATGTCAATGAAGCACTTACTTCTTCCTTATTTCTTCTTTCCTGTTTTTATTTGTACATATATATTCCCAATCACTTCTATAATATTCATATTTCTATTTTATTCAGTATTTCCGAGGCTTATCTATACTGCTTGAAAAATTTCGTAGTTTCTCCTATGGAACTTAAAATTTTCTTCCCGTCCTTTTTTCAGCACTGATAACATTAATACATTATTTCTTTCAGACAAGCTCACTAATAGCATCAATATATTGTATTTCATGTGACGTTGGAGATGTAGTTTACATAAAATTATTCACAATGTCAATGTATGATCCAAGTGGAAGACTTCTGCTGGGTTTTATAATGGTGATACATCAAGGTGGTCCTCGTCTTCTTCTCTCCTTCAAGATACAGTTTTAATAAAAGTTTTATCGGTGTGTCGCAGTTGTTCACAATGATCAGTTACTTGTAATAATGTAATATGTTGAGCAAGTGGAGTGGACACTGTGTGAGCATCACAGCTGTGTTTACAATACTTCCCCACCACCCTTAACCCACCCATAACCCACCACCCTTAACCCACCACCCTTAACCCACCCATAACCCACCACCCTTAACCCACCCATAACCCACCACCCTTAACCCACCCATAACCACCACCCTTAAACCCACCCATAACCCACCACCCTTAACCCACCCATAACCCACCACCCTTAACCCACCCATAACCCACCACCCTTAACCCACCCATAACCCACCACCCTTAACCCACCCATAACCCACCACCCTTAACCCACCACCCTTAACCCACCCATAACCCACCACCCTTAACCCACCCATAACCCACCACCCTTAACCCACCCATAACCCACCACCCTTAACCCACCACCCATAACCCACCACCCTTAACCCACCAACCTTAACCCACCCATAACCCACCACCCTTAACCCACCCATAACCCACCACCCTTAACCCACCCATAACCCACCACCCTTAACCCACCCATAACCCACCACCCTTAACCCACCACCCTTAACCAACCACCCTTAACCCACCACCCTTAACCCACCCATAACCCACCACCCTTAACCCACCCATAACCCACCACCCTTAACCCACCCATAACCCACCACCGATACCTATTTTCAAAACAGGTGACAGGTCCTTAGCTTCGAACTATAGACCAATAAGCCTAACCTCCATAGTGGGAAAATTTATGGAATCAATAATTGCCGAGGCAGTTCGTAGCCACCTTGAAAAGCATAAATTAATCAACGAATCTCAGCATGGTTTTACAAAGGGACGTTCCTGCCTTACGAATTTATTAACTTTTTTCACTAAGGTATTTGAGGAGGTAGATCATGGTAACGAATATGATATTGTGTATATGGACTTCAGTAAGGCTTTTGACAGGGTCCCACATCAGAGACTATTGAGGAAAATTAAAGCACATGGAATAGGAGGAGAAATTTTTTCCTGGATAGAGGCATGGTTGACAAATAGGCAGCAGAGAGTTTGCATAAATGGGGAGAAATCAGAGTGGGGAAGCGTCACGAGCGGTGTTCCACAGGGGTCAGTGTTGGGCCCCCTGCTGTTCACAATCTACATAAACGACATAGATGAGGGCATAAAGAGCGACATCGGCAAGTTTGCCGATGACACCAAAATAGGCCGTCGAATTCATTCTGACGAGGACATTCGAGCACTCCAGGAAGATTTGAATAGACTGATGCAGTGGTCGGAGAAGTGGCAGATGCAGTTTAATATAGACAAATGCAAAGTTCTAAATGTTGGACAGGACAATAACCATGCCACATATAAACTAAATAATGTAGATCTTAATATTACGGATTGCGAAAAAGATTTAGGAGTTCTGGTTAGCAGTAATCTGAAACCAAGACAACAGTGCATAAGTGTTCGCAATAAAGCTAATAGAATCCTTGGCTTCATATCAAGAAGCATAAATAATAGGAGTCCTCAGGTTGTTCTTCAACTCTATACATCCTTGGTTAGGCCTCATTTAGATTATGCTGCACAGTTTTGGTCACCGTATTACAGAATGGATATAAATTCTCTGGAAAATGTACAAAGGAGGATGACAAAGATGATCCCATGTATCAGAAACCTTCCCTATGAGGATAGACTAAGGGCCCTGAAACTGCACTCTCTAGAAAGACGTAGAATTAGGGGGGATATGATTGAGGTTTATAAGTGGAAGACAGGAATAAATAAAGGGGATGTAAATAGTGTGCTGATAATATCTAGCCTAGACAGGACTCGCAGCAATGGTTTTAAGTTGGAAAAATTCAGATTCAGGAGGGATATAGGAAAGTACTGGTTTGGTAATAGAGTTGTGGATGAGTGGAACAAACTCCCAAGTACCGTTATAGAGGCCAGAACGTTGTGTAGCTTTAAAAATAGGTTGGATAAATACATGAGTAGATGTGGGTGGGTGTGAGTTAGACCTGATAGCTTGTGCTAACGGGTCGGTTGCCGTGTTCCTCCCTTGAGTCAATGTGACCTGACCTGACTAGGTTGGGTGCATTGGCTTAAGCCGGTAGGGACTTGGACCTGCCTCGCATGGGCCAGTAGGCCTTCTGCAGTGTTCCTTCGTTCTTATGTTCTTATGTTCTTATGTTCTTAACCCACCCATAACCCACCACCCTTAACCCACCCATAACCCACCACCCTTAACCCACCACCCTTAACCCACCACCCTTAACCCACCACCTTTAACCCACCCATAACCCACCACCCTTAACCCACCCATAACCCACCACCCTTAACCCACCACCCTTAACCCACCCATAACCCACCACCCTTAACCCACCCATAACCCACCCATAACCCACCACCCTTAACCCACCACCCTTAACCCACCACCCTTAACCCACCACCCTTAACCCACCACTCTCAAACCACCCATAACCCCCCCCCCACCCATAACCCATCACCCTTAACGCACCACCCCTAACCCACCTATAACCCACCACCCTTAACCCACCACCCATTAACCAACCCATAACCCACCACCCCTACCAATTAACCCACCCATAACCCACAACCCCCACCCATAACCCACCACCCATAACCTACCACCTTTAACCCACCACCCTTAACCCATCCATAACCCACCACCCATTAACCAACCCATAACTCACCACCTCGACTCATAACCCAGCACCCTTAACCCACTCATAACCCACCACCCTCAACCCACCCCTAACCCCCATGCCCACCCATAACCCACCACCCCTAACCCACCACCTTTAACCCACCACCCTTAACCCACCACCCATTAACCAACCCATAACCCACCACCTTTAACCCACCACCCTTAACCTACCCATTAACCCACCACCCATTAACCCACCCATAACCCACCGCCCATATATATTAAGTTGCAGCATACTACACTTTACAGTGGCAAAAATATAAATATTGTATAGTTTAAATAAAACATTAAATGTAAAAAGCTGCGGGTTGCCTGCTGTGTAGTGAAACTTAACAGTATAACAGGTAATGTAATGCAACTTTATATTATAATAGGTAGTGTAATTAAACTTAGTATAATAGGTAGTGTAATTAAACTTAATGATATAACAGGCAGTGTAATGAGGAATCACTTCATTGTTAATTCAAATTCAAATTCAAATTCAAAGTTTATTCTCTATAAAGATTACAATGTTGAATTTACAGAATTTGGTTGTTGTGTGGTTTACATGTAGTAAAATAATGATTACAGAGTGTACCACTAGAAGGCCTAGCATGGCTAGGCATTTCGGGCAGACTTAGTTTAATTCTTTATTTTAAAATATTACAAATTATGAGGTAAGTTGGTATTATTGCGTTGCTCCACTATTACTGTCAATGAAAAGTATATTTTAGGAAAACTTTAACCTTAATATTGCATAGTATAACGAAGAAAAATACTAAATTCACCCACAAAATATGTCAAAACTAAGTCATAGGTTACCTTTGAATCTATGATCATTTCCTATGCCAGAGAATATCTCTGGCTGTACTTTTTAATCACTCATGACGTTCGCTGTTAAAAGGGGAAATAGATTCTAAGAATAAAACTGAATTATTGAATGAATGAAGTAAGATGAGTGGGTGGAGAGCTGGAGCAGATGTACAGGAATTAGACCTGTTCACGACACCCTCATGGACGGTGTTCGTCAATGTAGTGAACCTCTATTTTGACATGTAATTTACCTATAAAGATTATTTCATTACTTTCTTAACATAAAATATGTGTCGCTGTGTGAATATTTTTCACAGATAAAAATCACTTATAAAAATCCCACACGACATAAAATTCCAATGAATCACCCCACAAAAAAAAAAAATTTCAAGGTAAAAATGTCCTTTCTCCCACAAACGTTCCCACATGAGGTCATTTCTTCCACAAAATTTATGAGTTTCCCACAAAATGGCAACACTACACATGTACGTACAAAAACAAAGGAAATCTGTAATAAATTACTTGAAAATAAGGCCACAGAAGGGCAAACACAAAGACAGGAAGTGAGCTACATATCATACCAGGACTGTACTCCGGGGGTCAACGCCCCCTCTGTCCAATCCATGACAAGGCCTCATGGTGGATGAGGGCCTGATCAACCAGGCTGTTACTGCTGGCCGCACGGAAACCAACGTACGAACCACAACTTGCTGACTTAAGTGCTTGATCAGTTCCCTCTTGAAAACAGCCAGGGGGTTATTGGTAAATCCCCACATGTATGCTGGGAGGCACTTGAACAGTCTTGGAGCCCCCTGGCGCTTATTGTACCTATCCTAACATACTATATCACCCCTGTTTTTCATTGGGGGATGTTGCACCGCCTGATGAATCTTTTGTTTTCGTAGGGAGTGATTTCCGTATGTAAATTTAGGGCTAGTCCTTCTAGGATTTTCCAAGTGTATATTATCATGTATCTCTCGCCTGCATTCCAAGGAGTACGGGTCAAGGTACTTATTTAGGTGCTTTATTGTACTTATACGTGCAGTGAAAGTTTTCTGTATATTCTCCAGGTCTGTAATTTCACCTGCCTTGAAAGGGGCTACCTGGAGGGCATTCCGGGGATCAAAGCCCCCGCGGCCCGGTCCACGACCAGACCCATTAGTGCCATTAATGAATAGGAATACTCCAGCCTAGAGATTTGAAGAGAATCATCATTGACTTGGCATCCCTAGTTTTGAAGGTTCCCATTATGTGGAAATGCGGAAAGCATACAGTTTTTGTGGAAATACGATAAAGTTGTGGAGTTGTCAGTGGTCGCAGTATAGGCTGGGGTATTGCTGTACGCTAATGGGAGGCACTGGTCGATGAAATTGCAAATATCGAACTTAAGCTGAAGGAATCTTACAGGAGACAAGAATCACAGGAAGAACTAAAAGTCACAAAGGAAACTGGAAAAAGAAAAATATTTCTTCTCTATGTCAAATCTAAGGGAAAAACATCCAGTACTGAGCCCCTGTTCAGGCGGAATGGGAGTTAAAGTCCCAGTATGACTCAGTGTTCAGCGAGCCACTGCCCAGACTAGGGATCGACAATTCAAATGAATTCTTTATGAACAAAACCCAAAATTTGGTCATCTCAAAAATCTCGGATATTCTCCTAACTCCACAAGACTTTGAAAAGGTAATAAATGACATGCCCATGCACTCTGCCCCAGGCCCAGACTCATGGAACTCCGTGTTCATTAAGAATTGCAAGAAACCCTTACCGCGTGCCTTCAGCATTCTATGGAGAGGGAGCATGGACACAGGGGTCATCCCACACACACTAAAAACAACATACATAGCCCCACCCCACAAATGTGGCATAAAGCAATTGCAAAGAACTACAGACCGATAGCACTAACATCCCGTATCATAAAAATCTTTAAGAGGGTTCTAAGAAACAAGATCGCCAACCACCTAGATACCCATCAATTACTCAACACAGGGCAACACAGGTTTAGAGCAGGTCGTTCCTGCCTGTCCCAGCTACTGGACCACTATGACAAAGCCCTGGATGCTGTTGAGGATAAACAAAATACAGATGTAGTGTACAGACTTTGCAAAAGCTTTCGACAAGTGTAACCATGGTGTAATAGCACACAAAATGCGTGATAAAGGAATAACAAGAAAAGTTGGTAGATGGATCTATAACTTCCTGACAAACAGAACACAGTGAAAAGCTCTGTTCCACAAGGCACAGTACTCGCTCCCATTCTATTCCTCATCCTCATTTCGGACATAGAGATGTAAGCCATAGCTCCGTGTCTTCCTTTGCAGATGACACCCGGATTGCCATGGCAGTGACCTCCATCGAAGACACTGCGAGATTCCAAGCGGATATCAACCAAATTTTCAAATGGGCCACTCAAAAGAATATAAAGTTCAACGAGGAGAAATTTCAACTACTCAGATTAGAGATCAGATTTTGCCGCCTAAGTGGCTAGTTTATTGTGCACCTCATATCCATCCTGTGGACGGTAGCGCAAGAGCATATGGATACACAAAAGGCCTAGGAACTAGGCCCCAAGGGGTTAACATGAATACATATGGATTTATATCTACATATCTATAGTTCCCTTATCTGTTACAAGCAAATTTAGGAAATTTGCTTAGTATATCTGGTATCTTATTTTCATCAATAAGATATCTTGACATGTCACATAGGTTATTATATTGTCTATCTCTGTATTGCTCAATAAGTGGACAATTAAGCACATAGTGTGTAAGACAGTGACCATATGCCTGATCACATAATTTACATTTAGTTTGATCATCATCTGGAATACTGCTGTACACTAATGGCCCCCTTCAAGGCTGGCGACATTGCAGACCTGGAGAGTGTACAAAGAACATTCACAGCACACATAAGTACGATAAGGCACCTAAATTACTGGGAACGGTTGAAGGTCCTTGATCTGTATTCCCTGGAACGCAGGCGAGAGAGATGCATGATAATATACACTTGAAAGGTCCTAGAGGGATTGGTACCAAACCTGCACACGAAAATCACTCCCTATGAAAGCAAAAGACTCGGCAAGAGATGCAACATTTCCCCGGTGAAAAGCAGGGGCGCCACGAGTACACTGAGAGACAACACAGTAAGTGACCGGGGCCCAAGACTGTTCAATTGCCTCCGAGCATACATAAGGGGGATTACCAATAGACCCCTGGCTATCTTCAAGAAGGCACTGGACAAGCACCTATAGTCAGTACCTGACCAACCGGGCTGTGGTTCTTACGTCAGTTTGTGTGCAGCCAGCAGTAACAGCCTGGATGATCAGACCCTGATCCACCGTGATGCCTGGTCTCAGACTGAGCCATGGGGGCGTCGACTTCCGGAACTCTCTCCAGGTGCCCATCAAAGCAGGTGAAATTGCTGACCTGGAGAATGTACAAAGAAACTTCAAGGCACACATAAGTACGATAAACACCTAAATTACTGGGAACGTTTGAAGTTCCTTGATTTGTATTCCCTGGAACACAGGCGACAAAGATATATAACAATATATACTAGGAAAATCCTAGAGGGATTAGTACCAAATTTGAACACAAAAATCACTTCCTATGAAAACAAAAGACTCGGCAGGAGATGCAACATTCCCCCAATGAAAAGCAAGGGCGCCACGAGCACAATGAGAGACAACACAAGTGTCAGGAGCCCAAGACTGTTCAACTGCCTCCCAGCATACATAAGGGGGATTACCAATAGACCCCTGGAGTTTACCTGGAGAGAGTTCCAGAGGTCAACGCCCTCGCGGCCCGGTCTGTGACCAGGCCTCCTGGTGGATCAGAGCCTGATCAACCAGGCTGTTACTGCTGGCTGCAGGCAAACCAACGTACGAGCCACAGCCCAGCTGGTCAGGAACCGACTTTAGGTGCTTGTCCAGTGCCAGCTTGAAGACTGTCAGGGGTCTGTTGGTAATCCCCCTTATGTATGCTGAGAGGCAGTTGAACAGTCTCGGGCCCCTGACACTTATTGTATGGTCTCTTAACGTGCTAGTGACACCCCTGCTTTTCATTGGGGGATTTTGCATCGTCTGCCAAGTCTTTTGCTTTTGTAGTGAGTGATTTTCGTTTGCAAGTTTGGTACTAGTCCCTCTAGGATTTTCCAGGTGTATATAATCATGTATCTCTCCCGCCTGCGTTCCAGGGAATACAGGTTTAGGAACCTCAAGCGCTCCCAGTAATTGAGGTGTTTTATCTCCGTTATGCGTGCCGTGAAGGTTCTCTGTACATTTTCTAGGTCAGCAATTTCACCTGCTTTGAAAGGTGCTGTTAGTGTGCAGCAATATTCCAGCCTAGATAGAACAAGTGACCTGAAGAGTGTCATCATGGGCTTGGCCTCCCTAGTTTTGAAGGTTCTCATTATCCATCCTGTCATTTTTCTAGCAGATGCGATTGATACAATGTTATGGTCCTTGAAGGTGAGATCCTCCGACATGACCACTCCCAGGTCTTTGACGTTGGTGTTTCGCTCTATTTTGTGGCCAGAATTTGTTTTGTACTCTGATGAAGATTTAATTTCCTCGTGTTTACCATATCTGAGTAATTGAAATTTCTCATCGTTGAACTTCATATTGTTTTCTGCAGCCCACTGAAAGATTTGGTTGATGTCCGCCTGGAGCCTTGCAGTGTCTGCAATGGAAGACACTGTCATGCAGATTCGGGTGTCATCTGCAAAGGAAGACACGGTGCTGTGGCTGACATCCTTGTCTATGTCGGATATGAGGATGAGGAACAAGATGGGAGCGAGTACTGTGCCTTGTGGAACAGAGCTTTTCACCGTAGCTGCCTCGGACTTTACTCTGTTGACGACTACTCTCTGTGTTCTGTTAGTGAGGAAATTATAGATCCATCGACCGACTTTTCCTGTTATTCCTTTAGCACGCATTTTGTGCGCTATTACGCCATGGTCACACTTGTCGAAGGCTTTTGCAAAGTCTGTATATATTACATCTGCATTCTTTTTGTCTTCTAGTGCATTTAGGACCTTGTCGTAGTGATCCAATAGTTGAGACAGACAGGAGCGACCTGTTCTAAACCCATGTTGCCCTGGGTTGTGTAACTGATGGGTTTCTAGATGGGTGGTGATCTTGCTTCTTAGGACCCTTTCAAAGATTTTTATGATATGGGATGTTAGTGCTATCGGTCTGTAGTTCTTTGCTGTTGCTTTACTGCCCGCTATGTGGAGTGGGGCTATGTCTTGTTTTTAGTAACTGTGGGACGACCCCCGTGTCCATGCTCCCTCTCCATAGCCGCTGTTATTCTTTTCCGTCGCCTGTAAAGGGAGCGCCTGTCTCTTTCTATTTTACATCTACTCCTCCTTTTTCTTAGAGGAATAAGCCTTGTGCATACATCGAGTGCCACCAAGTTAATCTGTTCTAGGCATAAGTTGGGGTCTGTGTTGCTTAGTATATCTTCCCAGCTTATATCGGTTAGGACTTGGTTTACTTGGTTCCACTTTATGTTTTTGTTATTGAAGTTGAATGCTCCCTCGTGACTAATCTCATTATGTCGGTCTTGGGTTCCACGCATACATGTCTGAACCTCAATTACGGCTATTTTCAAGAAGGCACTGGACAGGTACCTAAAAATCAGTACCTGACCAGCCAGGTTGTAGTTCGTACTTTCATTTGCGTGTGGCCAGCAGTAACAGCCTGGATGATCAGGCCTTGATCCACCTCGAGGCCTGGTCACAGACCGGGCCGCGGGGACGATGACTCCCGAAACCCTCGCCAGGTGGTCCGTGGCCTGGTGGCAAAAGCTCTCGGTTCACACGGTGAGGGTCAGGGTTCGATTCCCGACAAGGGTGGAAACATTGGGCGTGTTTCCTTAGACCGGATGTCTATGTTCACCCATCAGTAAAATGGGCACCTGGGTGTTTGTCGACTGGTGGGAGTCGCATCCTGGAACAAAATTGACCTAATTTGCCCGAAATGCTCTGCATAACAAGCGGCTTTCTGTTGTAATATGTCATTGATGTCAGCTAGGCCTGTATAATTTGTACATGTACTTGTAGAAATAAAGATATTATTATTAAGCACCTGACAGTTTACTGTAATCCCTAGTTTTTCAAGGCTTAAATATATGCTTCATACCCGGGTACAGTCGATAGGCTTAGAAAGCAACAATTGATTTTAACCTTGATCCCTAATTTAACGACTAGAGTATTCTTGACGGGCAATATCCTATTAACTTAGAAAATGAGGCTAATGACCTCTGGTGGTGGAAACACCTAAAGCAAGGGAAGAACTAGGTAACTAACTAGCAGAGGGTTGGCAGTGCCTGTTAGTGGTCTAGTGTGTGATGTTGGTGGGTCATTGTTGCTGGGTCAGTCTGTGTGTCTGATATTAATTATACTTGTATAATGACTGTGTTCTTGGTGTGGCTCCTGTGTCTTGCTCTGCCTTCTCTTATCTCTGGCCTCAACACCACAGGTAAAATCTTAGTCTGAAATCATATCTGAAGATGCGCTTATTGTATATATATGTATATAAGAATAAAATGTAATGGACAGTTGTCAGTGCTCAATAATAACCCACATGTAGACGAACTCAGGAGGTTAGTTGATGTATATTTCGACTCCTTTATGGGATCCTCTTCAGCAGATCTACAAAAAAGAGGTCGAAATATACAGATCAGTTAATCTGTTTGTCTCCATGTATGTTATTATTGAGTAGATGTATATATGTGTAGTCACCTAACTGGACAAGGGTTAGCTACAAGCAAGATATTGTACTGGATTGCCTTTATATAAAATTAACTTGCATGTTGAATTTTTTAGTTCGAATACAGTACTTGTAGCTAGTCATGAAAAATCAAGTATCAGTTTTTTAATGACTTAACCTACAATATCTGTTGATTTCCTTGTGAACGGCTCTTGATTGGAGGAGGTTGAACTTACCTTCTTTGGTTGTGCCAAGGGGGCTGAATCACCCCAAAAATTCTCCCTAAACCCCCCAGAATTTTCGCAAAGCCTCCCAAATTCTCCCAAAGTTCACACCCAAATTCTCAAAAAGCCCTCGAGTTAAAATAGTAATTATAATAACTCCGCCTCAGAACAAGTCACCCCCCCCCCCTTTTCCAACCAGAAAGGCACCCCCCCCCCCCCCAGAAATCCTTGCGTTGCCCCTGCCTATCCATCCATCATTCCTGAGTGTATGACCCTACGGACTTAGCGCATCCTCATGAATATAATATGAAAGTTTTGAAAATAATTTGCTTACATCAATCTATGTATATTGTGCATCTAATAAACGCACACACATGTTCCTCATTCTTATCAACATATAGATAGTACATAAAAGAAATTCACATAAATTTTAGAGGGATTGTGGGGAAGGTGCAGCAGGAGAGGAACAGGAAGTGTGTAAGAGGTGGAGGGAGGGAATAAGGGGAAGGTGAGGGAGAGGGAGGGAAGGAAAGAGAGAGGAGGCAGTTGAGAGTAAAGAGAAGAGGGAGTATAGGAGAGTAAAGAGAAGAGGCATTTAAAGAGAGGAGGCAGTAAGGAGAGGAAATGAAAGGATGAACTCAGTCCTTGTTGGGTACATGTAACATCCACACTAGGGTAGGAAGGGGTGTGTTGCCCTAACCTTATCATATAAACATCCATACATTCACTTATGTTGTATACTCTTCCCCTCCAAGTATTATATATGTCATGCATTAGATTATTATATACAATTATAATTTTATTTTACATTCTAATTTTTGTTAGTGTTATTATTAAACTATATATCCAAAACTATCCAATGTTCTCCCCTCAGTAATACTATTGAGGAGTTTGTTCCACTTCTTTACGACTTTTGTAAAATCTATGCTTCCCAATATCCTTTGGTCACCCACAGGATGGGTTTGGGGTCCATAATAAAGATATAAATTAAATTAACCTGTATCCTTTCTAAATCAGAATGTCAAACTTTAACCCATTGCTGTGAGCCCTGTTTTGGATAGATTTTTTTCAGTATGTTATTTGTATCTCCTTCATTTATTCCCCTCAAGGGAGGTTCCTTGATCTAGGGAATTGGATCTGTGCTCTGGTTCCCTGAATTGAGCCTGAATATCTTAAATGTTTCTCACAATTATATCACATAAATGTTAAACCTAAAACCCAATCTAACTTTATTATTTTTTTAAATACACTACCTAACAGAATACTCCATTCTACTGAATGTACAACAATGCATACAACCATATGACCTGTCTTTGTAATACTCACTTGTGCTTTATAGTAATCTGTTTACATTAAAGTTTTATCACCGATGTCATCATTGCTTAGTTCATCTTAAGTTAATTTTAAGCCAGCCCGTAATGCTATGCATAGTATAAGTGGCTTTGGCATACTGCTATTTTCTGTATTTTTTGTACCTCTGTATGTGTGCACAAATTTTTAAATAAATAAATAAATAAATAAATAAATAAATACCTTCCGTCCCCCCCACATGCGCTGTATAACCCTACGGGTTTAGTGCTCCCCATGATTATAATTATAATCCTTCATTTATTCTTGTTTTCCATTTGTGCACCTCAGTCAGCCTCTCCTTCCCCCCCTGGTTGATCAGGCGCTGATCCACCAGGAGGCCTGGTCACAGACCGGGCCGCGGGGGCATTGACCCCCGAAACTCTCTCCAGGTAAACTCCAGGTAGTGCAAGTTCAGTTCCTTCAGCTTATATTCATAGGAAAGATTTCTGATTTATGGACCTCCTTTATCCTTCTTTTTACATTTTCCAGCATATCTATATCCATTCTGGTGGCTAAAGCTCCCGCTTCACACATGGAGGGCCCGGGTTCGATTCCCGGTGGGTGGAAACATTTCGACGCGTTTCCTTGCACATGTCCTGTTCACCTAGCAGCAAATAGGTACTTGGGTGTTAGTCAACTGGTGTGGGTTGCATCCTGACGGAAAAGATTGAGGACCCCAGTGGAAATAAATTAGTCCTCGATGACGCACTGACTTTCTTGGGTTATCCTGGGTGACGAACCCTTCGGGGTTAAAAATCCGAACAAAATCTTATCTTAATATGGAAATCATAACCAAGCTAATAATACATAAACTTGAAGTATAGCATTAGGACTTCTATTATTTACCTTTGATACGATGTCAAGAATTCTATTAGCTTTATTGCCAACACTTTTGCACTACTGTCTTGGCTTTACATTTTTTTGCTGACCAGAATTTCTAAATCTTTTTTGCACTCGGGATCGTTATGGGCTACTTTACTTTAACTTAAAAATACCATAGTTTTTTCTTAGGATTGGGACCTTATATTTGTCTGCATTGAACAACATCTGCCACTTATCTGACCACATCAACCTACCTAGTTCCTTCTGTAGCTTTCTAGTGTCCTCATCTGAAATTTGAAGGCTTGTTTTAGTGTCATTGGCAAATTTGCTTATGTTGCTATTTATTCCCTTATCTCTCTCATTTATGTAGATTGTGAACTTAGGGGTCCCATTACTGACCCTTGTAGCACAACCATTGTAATGGGTCCCTATTCCAATTTCTCCTCAACTCAGGAGAATTTATTCTGTACCATCCTTATAGAGAATAAACTTTGATGTGGAAAAAGACACTTATGTACAGTTCAGGACATTTATTAAAGGAAACGTTTCGCCACGAGTGGCTTCGTGGCGAAACATTTCCTTTAAATAATGTCCTGAACTGTACATAAGTGTCTTTTTCCACATCTTGTCGGTATCACCATACCATTTCCTCAATAAACTTTGAATTTGAATGTGCTGCTAATTTCTTCATCAGTCTCCTGTGTGGAACTCTTATCAGATACCAGACTGAAGTTCATATATCAGAATCGAAAATCAAATCAAAATTTTTATTTCTTTGTGTGGTATCAACAAACTACAGGTATACAAACTGTAGTTTAGTTTTTCTTTTTAGGTCACCCCGCCTCGGTGGAATACGGCTGGTGTCGAAAAAAAAAATCCTTCAAAGTAGCTTTGCACTGCGTACCTGGAGTATAATTGCATTAGCAGTTATTGATTACATTAACTTTCACATAATTAAGATTGGCTGATTGGTCTATTATTTGAAGCTAAGGACCTCCTGCTTTGTAAATGGTTATGACAGTTGCTATTATCCTATTTGTAGTGATCTGGTGAAGAGGCTAACCAGTCATTTGCTAAGTTATTCTTAACATTTCCTTGAAACCTTTTGAAAAAAGTTCGTCAGGGTCCGGTGACTTGTTTGGTCTCAGTATCTGAGAACCATGTCACTAGTGACACTGATCCTGTATAATTTACAAATTTTGATTTCTTGGATATTTGCATCTTGTGTAAAAAAAAAAAAAAAAAAAAAAAAAAAAAATAGTAGTGTCAAAAATTGGCACATTTCTTTGTCACTAACATTAGGCTGGTCCTAATTACTGTATATATAATTGGGCCTATCTTTTCCCTAATCTGGTTTCTATATGTATCTGAAAGAAACCTTAAGGATTGATTTTTAATTCCCTCAACTTTAATATTTCTCATTTGGCTTTCCTTATTTCATTTTTAATTTTTTATACAAGATGGATTTCCAACATGGAGACAATGCAGTAAAACAATTACTGTATAATTGCTTATTACTAAGGCCTTTCTCAGACTAATAATGAGGCAACCTTATTTAGGTCACACAATATAAATTTTGTCTAGGAAGTAGGTCAGGTGCAGGAAGGGCAAAGGTAGTTGTAACATTAAATTTCCACTAATCATAGCCAACACAAGGATTTTGCATAGTACAGTATGTGTATTTTTTACTATATTTACAGTGGAAAGTATTTTCCAACTATTATGGTTGTGGTTCCTGGCATGTTGAAAAATTGCTGAGCTATCTGTGAAAAACTAACAGAACACAAGATTTCTGTTAAGCTCAGGAACTAAAGACATTCCAGCAGTTTTCCAAGGTTGAGTGTAATGCATGGTCATATAAAGAGAATTATATATACATATATATTTTTTATTATTTTTTTATCACACTGGCCGATTCCCACCAAGGCAGGGTGGCCCGAAAAAGAAAAACTTTCACCATCATTCACTCCATCACTGTCTTGCCAGAAGGGTGCTTTACACTACAGTTTTTAAACTGCAACATTAACACCCCTCCTTCAGAGTGCAGGCACTGTACTTTTCATCTCCAGGACTCAAGTCCGGCCTGCCGGTTTCCCTGAACCCCTTCATAAATGTTACTTTGCTCACACTCCAACAGCACGTCAAGTATGTATGTCAAGTACATATGTAGCCCATAAATTAAATTAACAGTATTCCAAGGAACCCCAATGGAAATAAATTGTACTGTTTGACTATATTGCATTATCTTAGGTTAATTTTGATATAATTAAACATAAGTCCAAAGCAAAAACTTCGGGTTTATTTCTTGAATGTGCATTATTTCAAGCTGGTACCCTTTGATTCAAGCTGTATATCATATCTTTTTAGTTCTCTATATTTGAATGGATGACACAGCTTCATGGTAAATTGAATTTGATGAACATTTTATCCATTGCACCATGTATTTTTCAGTGGTGTGTGACAAGATGCAGATGTTTCAGTGCAAGAGTGGTGAGTGTATCACAAATTTCTGGCATTGTGATGGCACCACAGACTGTCCTGACAACTCTGATGAAGACCACTGCCATGAGGGAGAGGTATGTAATCTTTGGCATGTAAGTAATGTGTATTTGTTGTGTTATACTAAAGGTTAGGGATGGGGCAATAGCAAAATTTTTGCTGACTACAATAGTACTCAATTTTTGGCTGAATCTGATACTCTTCCCCCCCCCCCAAGAATTATGAAATGTAAACACACCTTGTAACCTTTGCGAAGAAATAAACTTTTGTTTTGTTTTTGTATCGTTTCCAATATTTCAGTTGCCTCTTATGACACGCATGGCTCGTGGAGGAAGGATTCTTCTCCACCTCCCCATGGAGATTGATTACTGTTCATTATATACAAGGAATGCTTATTGCCCAATAGATATTAAATAACCCAGTGAAATTAAATATTAAGTAACCTAAATTATTTGAGATGCCAATGTCATTACTCATTACAGAAACCTATGTAAGGATTACAAATTAAAAAAGGAAGCACAGAATTTATAAATCTCTTGACATATTTAGTTATCTGATGAAGACATTTTCAGAAATAAATTACAAAAATGAGTCTAAATAATTTTTAATTATATTAAACATAAAACTAAATTATTATTATTATAATAAAAAAGAAGCGCTAAGCCACAAGGGCTATACAGCCTTAAAACTAAAACATCCAACATTCTCATAATAGTACTGTTATATAAAGTTATCCTTTTTGAAAACTAAAAGAGTACATTATTGTACTAACTGGGAATTGAAAATCTAAAATTATAGTTCAGAACTTGAACAATCTCCTGGAATGAATTAAGTTTGTATCCCGAGGTACCACTGTATATGTACAGTGGACCCCCGGTTAATGATATTTTTTCATTCCAGAAGTATGTTCAGGTGCCAGTACTGACCGAATTTGTTCCCATAAGGAATATTGTGAAGTAGATTAGTCCATTTCAGACCCCCAAACATACACGTACAAACGCACTTACATAAATACACTTACATAATTGGTCGCATTGGGAGGTGATCGTTAAGCGGGGGTCCACTGTATATTGTTCTAATAGCTAAAATAAAAGATTCTCAGATTGAAGTTAAGGAACTTCATTTTCATTTTTGGAAGTTGATTTATTCCAGTGAGGAGAATGGAAAGCCATTAAACATTTTGAGTGAAATCCTTTGGTTACTCTTTTAGTTTTGAGGGTTGTGCACCAAAGGTGGCAAAAGAAAAATAGGAAATGGGGGGAAAAAAGTGGGTTGTCTATCAGTAAAAGCACTGAACAATTAAATTTCAACAATTAAGAACCCTATGAATTTGGGTGTTCAACTGTTCTATATTAGTAAAAAATACTGACTTACTAGAATGTACTTTATACTGTAAAGAAAAATGCTACAAGTTCCAGTTAAAATTATTTGATAAAACTCAAACAGAAAATCTTCCGTCCTGCTTGGCAATAATTAAAGACAAGTTGGCTTATAATTTATGCATCTTTCATTACTTATTTGAGCCCATTTAGAACTGCAAGTTCTGTTTAGCAAGCTATCAGAAATTTTAGAAAAGCTTGAAGAATTATGGTATGAAAGAACCATAATTCATAACATAGGAAGTTGTATTTAAATGGACACTTTTCTTAGGTGATGCATATAAACTAGAGCTTATTTTATGTGTAGGGTGATGGATGCAGCAGCCACCAATTTGCCTGTGCTTCTGGAATGTGCCTTCCCTACTCCTGGCGCTGTGATGGAGAGATGGATTGTCCAGATAGTTCAGACGAAGCAGACTGTGTGGTAAGATATTACTGTTTTCATATTTATCAACTTGATTTGCATATCTGTTTAAATATACAGTATAGTTAATAAACTTCTCAAAATTAATTCAGTATATTGTTCATTGGTACAGTAATTAAATATAATGCTACTGTCCCAGTTTCATATTTTACTATTATCTAATTACCTTCACAAATTCTCTAGCTGTAGGTGGATACATGTTCTGGTTTAGAAACCTTTTCATAGAGGAAAGGTGAAACAATATGGACCCTAGAATTTTGAAAAGCAGCATTGGATATTTTAATATGCATGTGACCTTCCATGTAACATATATATGCCTTTCTTGAAATCTCAATTCATCTTTTATACACAGGCAAATTGAGAAATGCATATGTTGCACAGGCTTATTATAAAATAGCCTACAGATATTTAATTGAAGAAATGCTGAAAACTTACATTAGGTCAAAATTGAAATATCCATGTGCTATGTGGTGTCCACATCTTAGAGGAAAAAACACATGGACCAGAAAGAAAAATCCAGGGATATAAAATTGATCCCCGAGTTAAGAAATATGAGTCGTCATGAAAGATTGAAAAAAACATTGATGCCAACATTGGCTGATGATGATAATGATCTTTTTTTTTTTTTTTTTTACTAAGTATAGTTTACACCTGTTTCAGAAAGGTGACATTATTGATTTACTTTATGGAAAGCCTAGGCTGGAAGTTTTAGTAAAGCAGTTTACTATAATGTTTGTGGAGGCTATTGCAAATGTTAGTAAAATATAACTGCAATTACTCATCTAAATTTAAGTACTACTGCACAGGACATACATTAAACTGAAGGCCAATAGACATTACATCGTGGGCAACACTTAGCCTATACTATACACACAAAATTTACTTGCTTGATTCAAAACAAAAATTACAATAAGAGATGTATGTAACTGTCAAGTTTAGCAGAGTGAGTGATACTAGCTACTTGAATTACAATACAAGATATGGTGAGATAGTACAGTATGTCTTTCTAAATTTGAGGGGAAAAAGGAGATACGAATTGATAAAAGGATATAAAAGAATAGATAACAGTAGTTTTTTGATACTTTCAACTGGGACAAAAAGAGCAACAGAGAAATTAAGAAAAAATGAAGCTGAAGGGATGCTGGGAAATTTTTCTTTACAAATTGTGGTAAAAGAATGGAATAAATGAAGAGAAAGTATTAAGCGCTACAGTCATTGGAAATTAAAAAATATATTTCCGTATGATGAACGCATATAATGAAGATGAGTACGCCACAAGCGTAGCTCTGCTCCTGTAGCTACAAATAGGTAATTACAGTTGTCTGTTTACATTATTGATAAAATATGGCATTGTAATATGGTTTATTTATGAATGTATTAGTATACATTTACCAGTAAACCAAGTTAAAAGGGTAACTTTGGCAAGTGATTTAATTATATAAGTATTGTGGATTGATTTTTGCATGCTAAGTATATAAATACATAATGACATTAATTTTATATTGTTCTGGTTTCAGATTGCCAGGAAATGCACAGATAACCAATATGAGTGTCACAATAGCCAATGCATTTCACTTAACCTTCTCTGTGATGGTATGCAGGATTGTGTTGATGGAGACGATGAAAAAAACTGTGGTGAGTGATCTGTGTACATATGTGGTTTCTTCTCACATACCACATGATTCTAGCATTGTAAATTTTAAAGCTCTGTTCCTCTTTATTCATACAAAAATTATTAGTTTATTACTGAGGGATAATTGTCCCCTTTTCCTTGGGCACAGAGTCCTGGCACTCTGGCAGTGAGGTTTGAGTGGCTCCAGTATCTGATGAAGAACCCACCATTTTGTTTTTTCTCCTAAATAGTACGGATTTTTTTTTTTTCTTGTCAAAATTTGCTGTGACTTAATGCACACATGACTTGGAAGGGATTATGGATATTGTTTGGTCTACAATTAATGGCATTAGAATTTTGATTATTATACATATTGTAATTAGATAGCTGCCATATCTGGCTATCTTCAATAGACCCCTGGCTGTCTTCAAGAAGGCACTGGACAGGCACCTAAAGTCAGTACCTGACCAACTGGGCTGTGGTTCGTACATCAGCTTGCATGCAGCCAGCAGTAACAGCCTGGTTGATCAGACCCTGATCCACCATAAGGCCTGGTCTCAGACTGGGTTGAGGGGGCATTGACCCCCAAAACCCTCTCCAGGTAAACTCCAGGTAATATGACAGCAAGTTAATCGTGATAGGAAATTGGTCTTGATAGTAACCAATTTTTCAGTACAGTAGTTAAAAAATGATGACAGTGAATAATAATGATGTTAGCAGCTTTATTAAAAGCATAGAATAGCTAATTATTATAATGCCTTGAAAATTACACAACTCAATTTTAGGGGGTATAGTAAGTTAAATCTTAACTGAAGGGGAGGTTTAATAACTATCAAGGTCACTTGGTTTTTTTCATAGTAGGCACAAATTGTGCAGTTTACCAAACAGTAGAGTATAATAATCATAATATAATCTAGGTAGTAAGCTGGTAGACAGCAACTCCCCAGGAAGGTACTACTGTCCTGCCAAGTGAGTGTAGAACAAAAGCCTGTAATTGCTTTACATGATGGTAAAATTGCTGGTGTCTTTTTTCTGTCTCGTAAACATGCAAGATTTCAGGTACATCTTGCTACTTACACTTGGGTCACACTACACATGCTTGTACAAGCATATATGTATATAGACACCCCTCTGGGCTTTCTTCTGTTTTCTTACTAGTTCTTGTTCTGGTTTATTTCCTCTTATCTCTATGGGGAGGTGGAACAAAATTCTTCCTCCGTAAACCATGCATGTCGTAAGATGAGATGAAAATGCTGGGAGCATGGGGCTGGTAACCCCTTCTGTATACATTACTAAAGTTAAAAAGAGAAACTTTTGTTTTTCTTTTTGGGTCACCCTGCCTCGGTGATATACGTCTAGTTTGTTGAAAGAATAATAATAATATGTAATAATAATATCTCTTTCTACAAGTACATGTACAAAGTATACAGGCCTAGCTGACATCAATGACATACTACTTTATAGAAAGCCGCTTGTTATGCAGAGCATTTCGGGCAAATTAGGTCAGTTTTTGTCCTCGGATGTGACCCCCACCAGTTGACTAATGCCCAGGTACCCATTTTACTGGTGGGTGAACATAGACAACCGGTATAAGGAAACGCCCAGTGTTTCAACTCTAGCTGGGAATCAAACTGGACTCTCACCGTGTGAAGCGAGAGCTTTTGCCACCAGGCCACGGGCCACCGAGCTAGTTTGTCAGAGGTACACTTATGTATGTACCAAATATTATAACATAAAATCACTTCCATAATTGGGATTCATCACATTTCCCTTCCTAAATTTGTAATTTTTGGTATGTATATATCTTTTCTTTTCTTTCAACAAACCGGCCGTATCCCACTGAGGCAGGGTGGCCCATAAGGAAAAACGAAAGTTTCTCCTTTTAAATTTAGTAATTTATACAGGAGAAGGGGTTACTAGCCCCTTGCTCCCGGCATTTTAGTTGCCTCTTACGACACGCGTGGCTTACAGAGGAAGAATTCTGTTCCACTTCCCCATGGAGGTAAGAGGAAATAAAAAAAGAACAAGAACTAGTAAGAAAAATATAAGAAAACCCAGAGGGGTGTGTATATATATGCTTGTACATGTATGTGTAGTGTGACCTAAGTGTAAGTAGAAGTTGCATGTTTACGAGACAGAAAAATGAACACCAGCAATCCTACCATCATGTAAAACAATTACAGGTATATTATGTATGTATTCTTCTTTCTTTCAACGTACCAGCCGTATCCCACTGAGGTGGGGTGGCCCAAAAGGAAAAACTTAAGCTTCTCCTTTTAAATTTAGTAATACATACAGGAGAAGAGGTTACTAGCCCCTTGCTCCCAGCATTTTAATCGCCTCTTACGACACGCATGGCTTACGGAGGAAGAATTCTGTTCCACTTCCCCATGGAGAATTATGTATATATATATATATATTTGTGTTAAAATTGTTTTGATGTAATTTGCAGGCAAGCAAGGGTGTCAGGAGTCAATTAATAGCTTCCTGTGCAAGTCTGGAGGGTGTGTCAGCACAGACAAACTGTGTGACAGTCACAATGACTGTGATGATGGCAGTGATGAGGGTGACCAATGTAGTAAGTTTTCTTGTGCATTTTACCATACTGTTTTTAGCATATACACGTATACTGTATGGAGAACTAAGATAATCACCTATAATATTTTTGACCCTGAAGTATCAATGTTTGAATTATAGATTCAGGTCTACATTTACAAATAATGTTTCAAATATTAAAAATCATAATCTATCAAGAGTGATTAACATCCTCTTGTTAGCTTAGTAACAATAATTCACATCAAATAGCATTAGGAGTCAGGTGAAAATGAAATAGAGGCATTGGTCTTTAATTATCAATCTCTGTACAGTACATAGGCTTACTTGAATTTACCTGGCTACTTGTAGGCTTCCATTTCTGATGTCTTTTTTAGTTATGGACATGTATATATAATCCAATGACAATTTGAGTAATTTTATGCATACATGTACTGTCTTTTAGGCGAGTGTAAATATAAATTTAGGAGTTACAATGAGTAGAAGAGAATTGAATATTGTATACCTGGAGAGGGTTTCGGGGGTCAACGCCCCTATGGCCCAGTCTGTGACCAGGGCTTATGATGGATCAGGTCCTGATCAACCAGGCTGTTACTGTTGGCTGCACACAACCCAGTGTACAAACCACAGCCCGGCTGGTTAGGTACTGACTTTAGGTGCCTGTCCAGTGCCTTCTTGAAGACAGCCAGGGTTCTATTGATAATCCCCTTATGTATGCTGGGAGGCAGTTGAACAGTCTTTGGCACCTGACACTTATTGTGCTGTCTCTTATGTTAGTGGTGCCCCTGCTTTTCATTGGAGGGATGTTGCATCATCTGCCAAGTCTTGCTTTCATAGGGAGTGATTTTTGTGTGCATGTTTGGTACTAATCCCTCTAGATTTTTCAAATGTATATGTATCATCATCTCTCTCTCCCACCTGTGTTCTAGGGAGTAGGGAGGAACTTTTAAGTGTTCCCAGTAATTGAGGTGTTTTATTGCAGTTATGCACACCGTGAAGGTTTTCTGTACATTTTCTAGGTCAGCAATTTCACTTGCCTTGAAAGGTGTTGTTAGTGTGTAGCAATATTCCAGCCTAAATATAACACGCAACCTGAAGAGTCATCATGGGTTTGGCATCCCTACTTTTGAAGGTTTTCATTATCCATCCTGTCATTTTTCTAGCAGATGTGATTGATAAAAAGTTATGGTCTTTGAAGGCGAGATCCTCTGACATTATCGCTGCCAGGTCTTTTACATTTTTTTTTCACTATTGTGTAGTTGGAATTTTTGTACTGATAGTTTTAATTTCCTCTCATTTTCCATGTTGAAGTAATTGAAATTTCTCATCATTGAACTTTGTATTGTTTTCTGTGGCCCATTTAAAGATTTTGTTGATGTCCACCTGAAGTCTTGCAGTGTCTTCCATGGAGAACACTCATGCAAATTCGGATGTTATTTGCAAACAAAGACTTGGTGCTGTGGCTTACATCCCTGTCTGTCAGATATGAGGATGAGAAACAGGATGGAGCAAGTACTGTGCCTTGTGGAACAGAGCTTTTTCACCATAGATGCCTCAGACTTTACTCTGTTTACTACTACTCTTTGTGTTCTGTTTGTTAGGAAATTATAGATACATTTACCAACTTTTCCTGTTATTCCTTTATCATGCATATTGTGTGCTATTACACACTGGCCACACTTGTCAAAGGCTTTTGCAAAGTCTGTGTATACTACATTTGCATTTTGTTTGTCTTCTAGAGCATCCAGGACCTTGTCATAGTGGCTCAGTAGCTGGGACAGGCAGGAGCGACCTGCCCCCAGGTGCGCACACACACCTGGGGCTAAAAGATGTGTAAAAGAGATTGATTTTGGGAGATGTTAAGTGAATGTTTAGGGAATTTTGAGCTAAGAGAGAGAATTATTGCATTGGGGGGATATACATGCTAAAATGGGCAGGACGTCATGGTGACCCAAAAAAGAAGAAACAAAAGTTGTTCTTTTTACATTTAGCAATTTATTCAGAAGAAGTTACTAGCCCCTTGCTCCCAGCATTGTAGTTGCCTCTTACGACATGCATGGCTTGTGGAGGAAGGATTCTTCTCCATTTCCCAATGGAGATTAATAAGTATAAGAGATTATATAGGGCAGAATGATAGTAGTTTATTATGCTATGTATTATGTGATAATTTATAGGATAGCATTTTATCTTCACTTCAAAAGCCTGTTTTTTTTTACATTTGATATTTGAGTACTGTAGTGCAGTAATTGTTTTAAATTGCCTAAGAAATCTTGTATAGCTAATTTTTATTTTTGGTTCTACTACTTATACTGTCCCTCCTACTGCTATTGCTCTTTTTTACTACTATTCATTCTCCTCCTCCTTTTACCTCAGTGAAAACTGCTAGCAGTATCATAGGGTAAATTGTATTTCAGATGAGACATGCGTCGAGACCAAGTGCATCTATCAGTGTTTCAAGACTCCAGTGGGACCTCAGTGTGCTTGTCCTCAGGGTCAACATATTGATCCTCTTAATTCTTCAAACTGTCTAGGTAACTGATCTCAGCTGTTTTACATCTTGCAAAAACAGTGATTATGAATGAGTGAGGTGAAAGTGTTGAATGATGAAAGTATTGTCATTTTGGGGATTTTCTTTATTTTTGGGTCACCCTGCCTAGGTGGGAGATGGCTGACTTGTTGGAAAAAGAAAATGGAAAGCCAATAGTATGTGTAGTATTTCAGACAAATTAGATTAAGACTAAAACTACTAAACATTGAGAAGCTTATGTAGATGTGAACATCTCTAAAATTTTAAGTTAGGAAGAAATAAATAATAGCTGATATACAAATTACAAGGAGTAATGTCACATGCTTAGCACATATATTAAACTGTGCATGAGCCTACTGGCTCATGCACAGTTTAATATATGTGCAAGGGAAGCGGGCAATATGTCAGTTTTGTTGGATGGTACTGACGAGTTTAATAACCATTGCCTAGAATCATCAGTTATAAAACTAACCAACACCATCAAACAAATCAATGGGATCTCTACTTTGTTAGCTCCCATACTGCATATTGTATTAAACAGAACATGGACAAGTAAGCTACCTGCAGTGTTCCAACCTCATTCCAGTACCTAAGCTTGTGATGCCACTCTGTGAACTAGATAAGCCACTGTCTTTCATAAATGTTTGATAAAACCCAGTGCTGGGTGAAGCATACAAGTAAAGGACTCCCCCCCCCCCTCTACACATTTCTTGTTCACAAAAATCTACATTAAAGATGAAATAGACATAAATCCAGTTCAGAAGTCTCTTGCTAACCGTCAACAAGCATGGGTCACCATAAGGAAGTAAATATGAGTGGTGAGGTTGTGCCAGTGCCATTAGGTACATAAAACACATGCCACCTACTTCTTAAACCAGGTGTTAACTAAGCAGTGTGGAGAAACCCCAAGTAATATACTTAACAACCTTAATCAGATCTGAATCAGTATTTGTGTATCTTTGGTATGTAATTCAGTGGTTCATCACTGTATTAATGCAATTAGAGTAAATTTGGGCTATTGAAGTGATTGTAATCCATAATGAAAATGACAATGAAAATCTTTATTTCCATGAAGTACAGTATAGGAATAATTAACATGTTAAAGAGATTTAATGGCAAGTCCTTGCTTATGCAGAGCATTTCAGGCAGCCTTAAAATTAACTTATAACTTCTGGTCAGTTAGTTAACCCTTAAACGGTCCAAACGTATACATACTATACCTACTGTACAACTATGATATACTCCTTAGTGTTAAGTAGACTGTAAGCCAATAATGTTAAGTTGGCCCATAATGCCTAGGCATAATAGAGGCTCTTTGCATTGCAACCCACTATTGTAAATACTAAATCTCAATGCACTGTTTGCAAAGACATAAAATAAATAAATAAATACGTTCACCTGCGCAGCGCCCCGAATATTTTGAGAATTTTTTTTTATAGGAAAAAAGAGCATGTGGTACCCAGGTGTCACCAATTTTTTTTTCCTATGACTCACACTTGAGTGCACACACCCATTCTCTCGTGTCTAGGCGACTCAGGCCTATCGTGCCAATGTTGAATGATGACAAATAAAATGTATATATACGTTTGGGGGGCTACGCAAGAGAACATATACATATATACGTTTGGACCGTTTAAGGGTTAATTTAGTTTATTAGAATTTTGTGGTTTCAAGTTTGATGGTTAAACATTTTATATACATACCATTTTGGTATAATGTTTGTAATGGTGAATATTGAAATAGTAAGTATTTATAGTTAAAATGAACACTGAAATAGTATATTGGTAACAGTAGGAATTATTATTTGTTAATTTGAATTGGGTGAACAGGTTTTTGATATTCTTTAGGATAAATGATTATGCATAATTTGGGTGTGATTAAGCATATGCTTTTTAATTATAGTTGAGTCAGGTAGCAGACAGGGAACATTTTGCATCTTTCAGTAGGGAGTTCCAAATTTTAGGACTCTTGATTTGGATGTAGTTCCTAGATAGGGCGAGTCAAACGTGTAGTAAACCAGGTATTTATTTCTTGTATTGCCATGAAATTGTGTAATTTTAAACCGTATCTTAAATTATGTTCCTATATTGCATTAAGCCTCCTTAATGATTGTTCTCTCCTTGTTAGATGTAAATGAGTGTGAAAGTGACGAAAGCGTGTGTGACCACTTCTGCACTAACAATGATGGAAGTTACACTTGTTGGTGTGGTGAAGGATACGAGCTGCAGACAGATGGAGTAACTTGCAACACAAAAAGTATGTTATTAGAGTCAATGAACATTGTTGCTTTTCAATTTTTTTTTTTTGGGGGAGGGGGTCAGTTTTATCATGCATTAAATTGTTGTCTGAGGTAAATATGGTAAGCCTAAATTAAAAACCACTAAAATATGGTTGTAGCATATTTGTGCATTGTCACAACAGTGATTGATTTTCTTCATACCTGAAATACTATACGTACCTCAATCAGCCTCGGTTTAAATATTTTAAATAAATTTTAACACCCTTAACCAGTTTTGCTGTAATAATTTGGCGAAAAGTTGAAAAAATGAAATGGGTGATTCTTTATATTTTTCACATACCACAGGGCAGTACAAACATTGTATAGTCTTTAAAACAAATTAAGGAAGATTACCTCTAAGATAGTTTGAACTTCAAGCCTTGATTAAAATCTGTTCTGTCTTGGCGTAGGTTTTAATTTTATCAATAATATTTACCTTACCTGCCTCGGTGGGAGACGGCCGACTTGTTGAAAAAAAAAAAAAAAAAAAAAATTTACCTTACCAGAGTTTGCCTGTTCCAGAGCATGAACGAGCCTTCTTACTAGCAGCAGTGGACAATGGTATAAGGTTGTTTAGCCTAGATCATTCTTCTTATACACAGGTTTTTATAGGAGACAAAGTGGTAAATATTGCACTACTGTAGTTTAGCCTTAAATTAAAAAGTACAAAATGAATATATCTGTTAGTATATTAATTTTTATTTCCTTGCATAAAGTATAATAAAAATTGCTCTGTCTAAATAGACTGTGGGCGTTGCCTATGATCCTCTGGATCATGTAGTATATTGGAGCGACCTGGAGGGCATCTACAATATACCAGTTCACCCTAGACAAGCTCCTTCAGTTGTTGTTAATGAAGGTTTGAGACTAATAATTTTCAGTTACTCAGTATTATTAATAAAAATACATATAGCAATAATAAAACCATAGAAAATACATTGATTTATAATGTTGGTTATTGTTACAGGCATTGGACGGGCTGAGTCTCTTGCTGTTGATTGGATGGGGAGGAATCTATATATAGTTGACTCAGTAAAACATCAAATACTAGTGTGTTCCCTGGTTGGTACTGCATGTCATGTACTTATCAGTGACCAGGGAGGAGACCCAACAACTATTCAACTTGACATTAAAAATAGGTATGAAAGTAATGAACACAGTACAGTAATCCTTAATTTGCAAGTAAACATTGACAAAAAAACTATTCCTTATGAGCCATACAAAGAGGTTATTGCAGTTATTACAATTTATTGTATTTTTTTAATTTTGGAAGATAAATTTGAATATTATAATACAAATAAAATTTGATACAATTGAAGGCTTAGAAAAAAAACACTAATTCTGTTATGTAATTTGGGCAATCTAATCACAAGGCTTTAACACTACCTGAACTAGATCTATTCTTGGCCAGCTCTTCCCTGCTGTACTTACAAAAGCCTGTCCGTCACCTAGGTATACAGTTTTGCATGGGTACATTCCATGGGTACATTCCACAACTTGAGTCTAAACTTTACCTGCATCTCTGCCACAAGGAGTAAGTCCTGTTCTACCTATTATGTTTTCTTCATTCACCTGGAACCCATCTCATAGTGCAGTTTTTGTGATAGGGAGTGGTAGCCCTTTTCTCATTGTGTGAGACTTCCTTTTGTAATTTGGTGTTCAGATGTGAGCTGCTTTCCTAGATTGGCCTTGATGCAACTGTGGTCAGAGATGTTGGCTTCTCTCTATGCAGTCTATAGATGGTGTTTGAAATACATATTTGTGGGTAGTTGCCAGTGACCCCTAAGTGCCAAGCTCCAGTGATAACCTTGGCATATTTCTTGGAGCATAATTTTGTTCATACTTAAATGATTAAGATCTTTAATGATGGGTCAGAGAGTGTGATGTTGCCCTTGCAGTGATCACGGGTGAGAACTCATATTGTGCACAGTTGTCAAATGAGGCCTCTGTGTTCAGTGTTGAGTTCCATGCAATACCCGGTGATTTTGTTCTGATAACTTGCTTAGTTGGATTTCCTGTGTTTGCTCTCTGATCTGGTGCAGTATACTTATGTTTACCCTGTGGTCTGAAAGATCTAGGATTATTCAGTCAATCTCTATACCTGAACTCCACAAGGATATAGGGTTCTGGGGTTACCAGGCCATGCTGGTGTCCCAGAAAATAAGCAGCCAGATGCTGCAGCAAACACAAAATACAAATACAGATGAAATATTTCTTTTCTACAGTATACAGATAATGTAGCTCACATGTAATAATATTTAGTGAAGGGATTCAGGGAAACCGGTTACTTTCATAATAGCTGAACTTGAATCCTGGAAATGGGAAGTACAGTACCTGCACTTTAAAGGAGGGGTTTGGGATATTGGCAGTTTGGAGGGATATGTTGTGTATCTTTATATGTATATGCTTCTAAACTGTTGTATTCTGAGCACCTCTGCAAAAACAGTGATTGTGCGAGTGAGGTGAAAGTGTTGAATGATGAAAGTATTTTCTTTTTGGGTCACCCTGCCTCGGTGGGAGATGACTGACTTGTTAAAAAATAAAATGTAATAAAATATGTATTGTTAGGCACAAAAGAAAGCCATTAGCATGAGGTGCATTTTGGGCAAACTAATCCTAGTGCTTAAAGACTACTTAAGAGCCAGACATTGATTATTAAGTAGGAGTTCTTAAATCTACAAAAAAGAGAAGTAGCTATATGAACAATAGTACAGTTTTAAAAGTATGAGTTCTATAGTGAGCTTGCTCTATAGTAGTCATCTGAATTAGTGACTTAATGGGCTACGAACAACAGACATGTCCTCAAAAGTGGCAGGCCCTGTGGGTCCTACAGATGAGAAGCAAGTTATACAGGGTTTGGCAACAGCCATACCACATTGAATGCACCACTCCTTGTCCAATCAGAGGTGTTAAGCAATGTTGGGCTTGGTTAGTACCGGGATGGATGACTGCTTGGGAACCCCAAATGCTGTTGGCATCAGTTTTGTCTGCCCAAAATGCTCAGGCATCCCAGTGGGTTTCTTTGTGTTTAACAATATTTTATAACGTGTAAATCACACATTGTACAGTGGACCCCCGCATAACGATCACCTCCGAATGCGACCAATTATGTAAGTGTATTTATGGAAGTGCGTTTGTACGTGTATGTTTGGGGGTCTGAAATGGACTAATCTACTTCACAATATTCCTTATGGGAACAAATTCGGTCAGTACTGGCACCTGAACATACTTCTGGAGTGAAAAAATATCGTTAACCGGGGGTCCACTGTATATACAAAGAGGTGGTTCGGACATGTAGAGAGAATGGAGCAAAACAAAGTGACTTCAAGAGTGTATCAGTCTGTAGTGGAAGGAAGGCGGGGTAGGGGTCGGCCTAGGAAAGGTTGGAGGGAGGGGGTAAAGGAGGTTTTGTGTGTGAGGGGCTTGGACTTCCAGCAGGCATGCATGAGCGTGTTAGATAGGAGTGAATGGAAACAAATGGTTTTTAATACTTGACGTGCTGTTGGAGTGTGAGCAAAGTAACATTCATGAAGGGGTTCAGGGAAACTGGCAGGCCGGACTTGAGTCCTGGAGATGGGAAGTACAGTGCCTGCACTCTGAAGGACGGGTGTTAATGTTGCAGTTTAAAAACTGTAGTGTAAAGCACCCTTCTGGCAAGACAGTGATGGAGTGAATGATGGTGAAAGTTTTTTTTTTTCGGGCCACCCTGCCTTGGTGGGAATCGGCCAGTGTGTTAATAATAATAATAATAATAATAATAATAATAATAAAATGCGTATATTGTGGTTTTTATAACTTGGGTGCCTATAAGGATCTCAGGAGCTTGGAGGAGTGTGTTGACATTAACAGTTTAATGGGATTTTTAACTAATGTTGGTTATTTTAGCTTGGCATGAAAGTTTATTTTTTTTTTTTTTCAACAAACCAGCCATATCTCCCCACGAGTACAGAAAGGTTTCCTAGCCCCTTGCTCCCAGCATTTTAGTCGCCTCTTATGACATGCATGGCTTATGGAGAAAGAATTCTGTTCCACTTCTCCATGGAGATAGTTGATGTTATTCTATTTTATTTATGCTAATACACTAGTTTTCATTGTTCGCTAATTTTACCTTAAGTGCTCTTGTGTGTTATTTATTTTTTTATTGCTAAGTGTGCTGAATGATCACTCGGGTTAAAATGATCTTCAATCTCTAAACTACCAACTTGCTAACTTTTGAGGTTTATGATAGTAATATGGTTCATATATAAGAGCTTATTCATTTTATTATAGTATTCATAAGGAAGCGCTAAACATGTAGGGGTCATATAGAACCTGGGAAATGTTCAAAGAGGCCCTTCTGATGAATTTCCTAAATTCAGTGTCCCTCCTTACTGGTACTCTAATATAATTTTTTTTTTTCAACAAGTTGGCCATCTCCCACCGAGGCAGGGTGACCCAAAAGATAAGATAAGATAAGATTTCGTTCGGATTTTTAACCCCAGAGGGTTAGCCACCCAGGATAACCCAAGAAAGTCAGTGCATCATCGAGGACTGTAACTTATTTCCATTGGGGTCCTTAATCTTGTCCCCCAGGATGCGACCCACACCTGTCGACTAACACCCAGGTACCTATTTGCTGCTAGGTAAACAGGACAATAGGTGTAAGGAAACATGTCGAAATGTTTCCACCCGCCGGGAATCGAATCCGGGCCCTCCGTGTGTGAAGCGGGAGCTTTAGCCACTAGGCCACCGGGCCACCCAAAAGAAAATATTTTCATAATCATTAAACATTTTCACCTCATTCATACATAATCACTGTTTTTGCAGAGATGCCCAGAACACAACAGTTTAGAAGCATATACGTATAAAGATACACATCTCCCTCCAAACTGCCAATATCCCAAACCCCTCATTTAAAGTGCAGGCATTGTACTTCTCATTTCCAGTACTCGAGTCTGGCTATATAAAAATAACCAGTTTTCCTGAATCCCTTCACTAAATATTACCCTGCTAACACTCCAACAGCTCGTCAGGTCCCAAATATCATTTGTCTCCATTCACTCCTATCTAACACGCTCACGTATGCTTGCTGAAAGTCCAAGCCCCTCGCCCACAAAACCTCCTTTACCCCCTCCCTCCAATCTTTTTGAGGATGACCCCTACCCTGCCTTGCTCCCCCTATAGATTCATACTTTGATCCATTCTCTCAAAATGACCAAACCACCTCAACAACCTCTCTTCAGCCCTTTGACTAATACAGTACTTTTATTAACTCCACACCTTCTCCTAATTTCCATACTCTAGATTCTCTGCATAATATTTACACCACACATTGCCCTTAGACAGGACATCACTGCCTCCAACCACCTCCTCACTGCAACATTTACAACCCAAGCTTCACACCCATATAAGAGGGTTGGTACCTAATATAATCTTGAGTTTGGTCTGGAGCCCATGATGATGCCAGCGATGGATCTCACAGTGTGAACTCGATATTTGAAGGAAAGGAATATTTGTTAAATAGAGTATACAAGAATTTGGGTCTGTGAAAGATGAGGTGAATCATAGAATTAACAAGGGAAAGAAGGTGAGCATGCACTGAGGAGTTTGTGGAGACCAAGAACTTTAGCCATGAAAGCAAAGAGGGGACTGTATGAGAGTATAGTTATACCAATGCTCATGTATGGGTGTGAGGCATGAGTTGTGAATGTTGCAACAAGGAGAAAGCCAGAGGCAGTGGAGATGTCATGTCTGAGGGCAGTGTGTGGTGTGAATATAATGCAGAGAATCTGTAATTTAGAGATTAGGAGGAGGTGTGGTATTACCGAAACTATTATCCAGAGGGCTGAGAAGGGGTTGTTGAGATGGTTTGGACATGTAGAGAGGATGGAACGAAATAGAATGACATCAAGAGTGTAAATCTGTAGTGGAGGGAAGGCAGGGTAGGGGTCGGCCTAGGAAAGGTTGGAAGGAGGGGGTAAAGGAGGTTTTGTGTGTGAGGGGCTTGGCCTTCCAGCAAGCGTGCATGAGCGTGTTAGATAGGAGCACATAGAGACAAATGGTTTTTAGGACTTGATGTGCTGTTGGAGTGTGAGCAAGGTAACATTTATGAAGGGATTCAGGGAAACCGGCAGGCCGGACTTGATTCCTGGGGATGGCAAGTACAATGCCGGCACTCTGGAGGAGGGGTGTTAATGTTGTAGTTTTATAACTGTAATGTAAGCACACCTCTGGCAAGACAATGATGGGATGAATGATGGTGAAAGTTTTTCTTTTTCAGGCCACCCTGCCTTGGTAGGAAATGGCCAATGTGTTAATAAAATAATAATAAATAAAAATTTGTAAAAAAAATTGTTAAAATGGCAATGCATTAGGTAAGTATTTTAATTATTGAGCCATTTTTGCAGGTAAATTTTATTTATGTAACTTTTAATAATGTTAATTCTGCTAATGTTAATAACCGTGCACCCCTCAGGGAAGGTTCCTTGATGTTGGTGAGGGGCTCTTGATTTAGGGAATTGGATCTGTGCTCCAGTTCCCCGAATTAAGCCTGAATGCCTTCCAGATCCCCCCCCCAGGTGCTGTATAATCCTATGGGTTTAGTGCTTCCCCCTTGATAATAAAAAAAAATAACCGTGCATATAATACTCCAAGGTTCATGTACTGGCTGGACAGAAGTAGTTCACTACTTGAGCAAGCAGGGATGGATGGTTCAATAAGGAAAGTCTTAGTCCAAGAAAGATCAGGTTTGCTCACAGGATTGGCACTGGACGTTCCAGCAGGCAGAATTTATTGGATGGATGAGTTGAAGGGCATGATCTTCACCATAAACACTAATGGCACTGACAGCAAGGTAAATCTGGGGCTGTTTCCTCTTTCATCAATTTGTAGATTCAAAGTATAGTGTGAACTTCACTCTCAGTAAGAAGCAGCAGCTTTGAATTAATGCACGGTCATGGATTTAATAGGATTATTGCATGATTATCACATTATTAGAACAAAATGAAAATTATTTTTTTATAGTAATGCCCTATTTTACAAACCTGAAAAATCTTTCATGAAAGCACTTGGCTGAAGCTTCCATCAGCCGCCCATACTCTGTGGCAGTCTGGGAGGAACATCTCTACTGGACTGACATGAAGCATCGCCACATCCATTCATGTCTAAAGCGCAATGGCAGGAAAGCACACACAGTGCTGAAGAGCAGTCATGAACAGTTTTATAGTTTAAGTATTTATCATCCATCAATGTTGTACCAGGTAAATTATAATCAATACAGGTTTCATTACATATACAATACAGGTCGGCCATCATAAATCCGGCAGTCGGTCATCCGGTTCCATCAGGTAGTCGGCACTAATTTCGGCTAGCATAATTTCAAATTTCCAGGGTTGCTACACCAACCTGCTGCTACTGTTTGGTGGCTCTACTTGCTGCACAAGTCATTCCAATTTCTTTTTCTCCATTTATTATTATAACCTGCTTGCTTTTAGCCCAAGCGATGGTTCCAATGAATAGAAGAATTGCTTCTCGTTGTGTAAAGCACATACACAGTACTTTTTTTTTTTTTTTTTAACAAGTCGGCCATCTCCCACTGAGGCAGGGTGACTCAAAAAGAAAGAAAAAAAAATCCCAAAAAAGAAAATACTTTCATCATTCAACACTTTCACCTCACTCTCACATAATCACTGTTTATGCAGAGGTGCTCAGAACACAACAGTTTAGAAGCATATACGTATAAAGATACACAACAAATCCCTCCAAACTGCCAATATCCCGAACCCCTCCTTTAGAGTGCAGGCATTGTACTTCCCATTTCCAGGACTCGAGTCCGGCTATATAAAAATAACCGGTTTCCCTGAATCCCTTCACTAAATATTACCCTGCTCACACTCCAACAGATCGTCAGGTCCCAAATACCATTCATCTCCATTCACTCCTATCGAACACGCTCACGCACGCCTGCTGGAAGTCCAAGCCCCTCGCTTTGAAGCCACTGTTGGTTGCCATGAGCTCAGTCTTGTGATGCAGGGGAATATGCTTTATTATTTATTTATTTATTTATTTATTTTATTTATTTTATAATTTGAACATACATACAGATGTACAAAAAAAAATACAGGTAAGAGCAGCATGCCAAAGCCACTTGTATGCATAGCATTACGGGCTGGCTTAAAATTAACTTAAGATTAACTAAGCAATGATGTAATCAGTGATAAAACATTATTGTAAACAGATAACAATAAAGCACAAATGAGTATTACAAAGACAGGTCATATGGTTGCATGCATTGCTGTACATTCAGTCGAATGGAGTATTCTGTTAGGTAGTGTATTTAAAAAATAAGTTAGATTGGGTCTTAGGTTTAAAATTTGTGATATAATTGTGAGAAAGATTTAAGATATACAATTTATAAGGTTCAGTTATTCAGTATTTATTTGGTTTTGGATGAGTAAGTGATCTTTGAGAAGAGACTTGAATTTATAAACAGGTAGTGTTTCTTTTATATTTACAGGTAATGAATTCCAGATTTTAGGGCCTTTTATGTGCAATGAGTTTTTGCATAGCGTGAGATGGACACGAGGAATATCAGAGTGATCTGTGTCTTGTGTTATGGTCATGTGTTCTGTTGAGGTTGGCAAGGAGATGTTTGAGGGGAGGGTTAATATCAGAGTTAAGTATTCTATGTATGTAATAGGTGCAGTAATAAGTATGGACGTTTTGTATGGTGAGTAGGTTGAGTGTTTTGAATATTGGTGGAGTGTGCTGCCTGTAGTGGGAATTTATCATTCTGACTGCAGCCTTTTGTTGGGTAATTAGTGGTCTGAGATGGTTAATTGTTGTTGAGCCCCATGCACAAATTCCATAGGTGAGATAGGGGTAAATAAGAGAGTGATATAGGGCCAGGAGGGCTGACTGTGGAACATAGTACCGTATCTTCGATAGTATGCCTACGGTTTTGGAAATTTTCTTAGAAATTTGTTGTATATGTGTATGAAATTTGAGTATTATCAAGGTGGATTCCTAAGAATTTTCCCTCTGTTAGCTTTGTGATAGGTGATCCGTTTATCATTATGTTAAGAGGGACATCTGTAGCTCTGTTACCAAACTGAATGAAGTAGGTTTTGTCAATGTTTAGTGTAAGTTTGTTAGTCCTCATCCAGGTAGATATTTTCTGTAATTCGGTATTTACGGTATTGGCTAGCGTGACTGGGCTCGGGTGAGAGAAGACGTATGTAGTGTCATCTGCAAATAGTGTGGGTCTGAGTAATTGCGAAGCATTTGGTAGGTCGTTTATGTATAGGAGAAAGAGAAGAGGGCCAAGGACACTTCCCTGTGGGACACCAACTGTAATTGGTTGTGCGGAAGAGTTTGCTCCATTTGTGTACACATATTGGCTTCTGTTGCTGAGGTATGACTTGAAGTTGAGGGAGTGCCCTCTTATACCATAGTGTGACAATTTTGTGGAGCAAGTCATGGTCAACTGTATCAAAAGCTTTACGTAAGTCAATGAAGATCCCCAGTGGGACTTCTTTTTTCTCTATTGCAGTGTATATATGTTCTAGCATGTGTATAATGGCATCATTAGTATTTTTATTAGGCCTGAATCCAAATTGGCAGGGGTTGAGTATGTTTTGGGAGATGAGGTAGGAGTAGATTCGTTTATGAATTAATTTTTTGAAGATTTTTGAGAGAGGGTGTAAGTTGGATATTGGCCTATAGTTATTCAACTCTGTTTGATCTCCTCTTTTATGGATCGGGGTGACCCTTGCTATTTTGAGAACTGTAGGGAAGGTGGAGGATTCAGTGGATTTGTTAAAGAGTGTTGCAATGATTGGTGATAGTACTTGTGACACTTTTTTGTATATAAAGGGTGGTAAGGTATTTAAATCTCTCGCCTTGTTTTTTAGTGCGTTGATAATAAGAGACTTCGTATGGGCTAGTCAGAGCTAGGAACAGTGTGTTCGGGTAGTTGCCAGTGAGGTAGTCATTTGGTGGGGTATCGGATCTTGGGATTTTATTACACTAAAATCAACACTACGGCTTATTTACCTATCACAATTGATCTAAAATGACATGATAAATAATACGTATACATAAGATAAAAACATGTTAAATACTTCAGAATGAATACTATTTGGCATAATGCCGAGCAGTTCTACGGACTTCTGGGTTATCCTAGGTTCTCTGCACGTGTGCTGCTATGTATCAGTCAATCATAGAATGGAAGATATATTACAGACACAGATATGATTTTGATTGGTTTTATAACGAAAAGTACCTTGAAATTGAGCTCATTGTGGAAATATTAGATTTTTGCCAATGTTCAATGAACTTTGTGCAAGTCAAGTTGGTTAACTCTATTAAGTGTATTCTAACCTAACCACTCCTGTAATCCGGCAAACTCAATAATCGGCACACTACAGGCTCCACTAATGCAGGATTTGTGATGGCCAACCTGTATTAGTTTTCTGAAGAAATATTAAGACCAGTAACAGATCTTTTGAAGATGAATCTTGAAAAATTGTTTGAAGGTATATATTGTTTGAAATATATATGTACTACATAGGTAGTATACGTGTACGTGTATTTCAAGCAATCGTATACATGTAGTTAGGAATATTTTGAAAAACACAGACAAGTATTATTTTAACACTAAATATGGAAAGGTACATTCTTATTAGTTAAAGCTGTTTGAAAGTATGGTTATAATCGGTAGCAAATGCCAACGTACATCTTTACTAATGAAGGCTGTCAAGAGATATCCAATATATTTTTACTAATGAGGTACATATTGGAAGTGCCAGTTGTCTGAGGGTAAATTCTCTCCCGTAGGAGATATTGAATATTACATTGCATCCTCTGGCAGTTGTAAAAGCTAGGAAAGTACATAATATTGAAAATGGCCTTGGAATGCTGTTCAGTGATTTTTTCCTGTATTGTATCCTGTCAGGATCTCTCAGTGGCCTTGAAGTGACAGAAAATCTGTGAATCATTCAGTAGTTCTCACATCTTCTATAATGAATTCTTCCAATGATGAGTGTCAGCAGATATATTTCAAGCAGTAGTTGAGCTGAAATAAACATGGGTGATGTCACAAATGAAAAAAAGTACAAAATTGATTTTTTTTTCTACATACATAGCTGTTCTGTTAAAGAGCACAACACTTGATGTAATAATACAGTACAGTGTATGTGTGTCAAATGCTAAATCCATGAGTCAGTCAGCACAAGGTACTAGACTTGATCAAGCAGTCTATTTCTTCAAAACATATATGGATATTACAATGAGTGAGATGTTTGATTGTGTACAGATTTGATAGTTCTCAAATTGCATTGTTTGTATGCACAAAGGAAAACTCCTTATGTGCAACATTTTGGATAAATTAAAGCTGCTTAAAATGCTTCAACCTACTTAACACCTGTAGATTTTTGTATTGGGTGTTATATCAGCATGAACATTTCTATATAAGGTGGTTTAGATTACAGTGAGGGTATTCACTGAAAAAGCTAGCAGTTTAAAATACAACTGACATGGTAGATAATTATAATTATTAGTGTTTACAATTATTACATGGAATTATATAGTATTCAAGAGATTTTTTGACAATATTTTTGAAGCAATTTAAAGTTGTTTTTATTGAGCCATGTTCCAGATTTTTGGTCCTTTGATTTGTATGGCACGTTAAATCAGGTTGTGCCATTTACTTGGAATATTAGAGGTTTTTATTTCTAGTATAATGCCTGTGTGTTTTGTTTCATCCTTCCAAGAATTGTTTTAGCTCAGGGTTAATATTTGTAATGAGCATTTAGTATATGTAACCTGCACAGTAGCAAGTGTGGGCACTTTGTACATTAAATAGGCTCAAATTCTTGAATAGCTGGGGAAGGTGGTTGTTGTTTGTCGAGTGATTCTAAGGGTGGGTATTTGTTGTGTTACAGTTGGTTGTAGGTGATGTTATCATAGATCCCCACACTCGTATACCACAGGTGAGGTAGTGGTAAATTAAAGATTAGTACAGAGTAAGTAGTGTTGACTGTGGTGTATAGTATATCCTGAAAAGAATTCCACTCATTTGGAAAATTTCTTAAGATATGTGCTGGATGTGTTTGCTGTACTGAAGTGTACTGTCAATGAAAACCACATGCATTTTTCATGTGATATGTCTGCCAGGGGTTCAATCCATGTGACAACAGATGCAGTTACCTTTGTCTGCTATCTCCTTCCTCACCCAGTGGCTACACCTGTGCCTGTCCTTTTGGTGTAATGGTGCTTGCTTCAGATTTACACACATGTTTAGGTAAGAGTGCATTGGTAAGCTTTACAGACTTTCAAAAAGTAGCATATGTTGTTTGAGGTAAAAACAGATTGTGTATAATGAAGTTATAATATGCATAGCTTCATTAATGTATTGTAATGGCATTATTAATTCTAATTATAAATGTTTTAAAAAAATTTCTTTATGTATGATATAATTTCTACTTGTATATATTCTAGATTTGAAAAACGTTACTCGCCCTGTTATAGTGAGTGATAATCAGATGTACTGGTTTAGTCCACACAAAATTGGTCAGAATAACCTTGAACTCTGGAGGAACAACCTCATTCTGCATAAAATTGGTGACCTTGACTACGATCCTGCACAAGGTAAACACGCTAAAGCTGTAATTCTTTTAAGAGTTAATTTTTCTACTATGTACAGAAGTTTGCATATGTCTCCTTTTATAATATCAATGTTTTTTTAAATTAATTATTCTAATATACAGTAGTTCCATCTAAGGTGGTATTTTTCATATGAAAAACATGTGCTTCTGCTGAATGGCAGGCTAGCTCAGAAAACTCCATAACAAATACTGTAATATTCTCACCTTTATGTAGTTGTGAAATACACCATTGCTTCTCTATTTAGTCACTGAAGTAGATATTGCATTTATATAATCTACCATAAGTTGTTTCATGTCTTTATATTAATATTAAATTTTGGGGGTGATTTATTTAGTTGTTTTCATTTACATTAATTTTAATTCCCTAGTTTTAGGAAGCTCTTTAATATAGGTTAGTGATGAAAATCATTTAATGTAATTATTGTAGTTATAAGTCATACTTCTAAAAGATTTCAGAATCTTAGAGAAAATTATTAGTGAAGCAGGCAAATAGAAAACCACTTCATGAATAATTTGCTATACAGATAAATAACTAATATATTCTTGGTTGTAAGATTTTGGCAGTGTGACAGAGTGCCCAGCAATGCCTAAGGCATCTGGCTAATCAGTTGAGTCTTGCTCTGTGTACCTTAGATGTGGAACAGTGGCAATAAACTTTGGCTGTATTAACTGGAAGTAGGATTACTATCCTTCCAAGTCTGCTTGACTCTTAACTAGGATGTGACCAGGATTCAAAGCAGGAGAGGAGAGCCTGCATGACACCACTGAGGTGATACATTGGGGATTCAAGCTCATACCCTATGGTATGACCCAACGCTCACTCTGCTGTTTCAATAATAGCAACAAGACTTCTTCCAACAGCAGCAAAACTGTGTAGACAGACTCAGCCCAGATAGCACTCGCCTGTATGCAGCAGCAACAGCAGATACCACAAGTGATGCCTTCCTCAGCACCTTGGCCTGCCTCGGGACAACCTGCCTCTATTCCCAAAAAAGGAAATTTGAAATTTCTTGCTCCAATTTCTGGATCTGGGGCTGTCATGGGTTGAGTGAAGCTAAACACACTATCAGTGTTGCAGGCCGTAATGAACATCTCCTACAGTGTGTTGCCAGTCTTAAAGGCCAGTCATACCAAATTTCTAGAAAGGGAATTTAGTATCAGTGGAAAGGATTACAGCTGGAAAAATCAAGGGATGCCATAAGAGGAATTGTATGCATTGTTTACAATATTGCCATCATACACAACAAGCTCAAGCTATTGAAGTAATATGAAGTGAGGAGAGCATTAAATTATCACTCACATTACAGATAGTGTAATTCCTATGACTATTCCTGTCGAGACCTTTAATATAGAGTTTTGTCTTTCAGAAATCAAATTAATTTATTTGCTTTATCTAAAATTAGATGCAGTTGTGGTGAGTGATGTATTGGACAACACCATCTTTAGCATTTCCATCACAAAAAACCTCTCTAGACCCATTGTCAACAATGTCGCACGAGCTGTTGGTATCGCTGTTGGTAAGCTTAATATTTGTTTGGGAAGCTTGGTAGCAAATTTTCTTAAATGTGGTGAATTTAATGAATCTGTAAATTTACACTTCCCACAGAAAAATTTAATTTATCTGCACAAAATAATGCATTCTATGTAGTAGGTTGGTAGACAGCATCCGCCCAAGGAGGTACTACCATCCTGCTAAGTGAGTGTAAAACGGAAGCCTGTAATTGTTTTACGTGATGGTAGGATTGCTGGTGTCTTTTTTTTTTTTTTTTCATAAATGTGCAAGATTTTAGGTACATCTTGCTGCTTGTACTTACACTTACGTCACACTACACATGCATGTACAAGCAAATATATACACACCCCTCTGTGTTTTCTTCTATTTTCTTAGCGTTCTTGTTCTGGTTTAATTCCTCTTATCTCCATGGGGAAGTGCAACAGAATTCTTCCTCCATAAGCCATGCACATTGTAAGAGGCAGCTAAAATGCCAGGAGCAAGGGGTTAGTAACCCCTTCTCTTGTATACATTACTAAAGTTAAAAAAAAAAGAAACTTGTTTTTATTTTTGGACTACCCTGCTTTTGTGGGATATGGCCGATTTATTGAAAAAAAGAAAGAATATAATGTATCGCATGAGAATATTTTAACTTGAATTGTGCAAGAAAGGTATACAATACTGTGTAGTGTTAAGTAAAGGCATTAGGTACTCTTCAGCCTTAGGAAATCTCACTGAACATTAGTTCCACTTCTGATACTCAAGTTGTGCATTAAGTGTCTGGATGAGGGATGCACCCCTTGAGGAGAACAATTACAGCCTTTGATGATAATGATAATAATAATACTAAAAATAATTATAATAATCAATTTATTTTGACGTGATACATGGTTGTACAAAGGAATATAATAGTTAAGTGTATCAAACCATTTATTTATGATACCGAATACCTTCTGATAGCTTTACTTTATAAACTGTATAGTAAAATGCAGAACTTTTTAACTCTGTTATTATTTGGGACTGAAAAGGTTGTGTATTTCTAGTTTAGATCTTTACAATAAAAACTTCATGAGCGTGTTAGATAGGAGTGAATGGAGACTTGGGACCTGACGATCTGTTGGAGTGTGAGCAGGGTAATATTTAGTGAAGGGATTCAGGGAAACCGGTTATTTTCATATAGTCGGACTTGAGTCCTGGAAATGGGAAGTACAATGCCTGCACTTTAAAGGAGGGGTTTGGGATATTGGCAGTTTGGAGGGATATGTTGTGTATCTCTATACGTATATGCTTCTAAACTGTTGTATTCTGAGCACCTCTGCAAAAGCAGTGATAATGTGTGAGTGTGGTGAAAGTGTTGAATGATGATGAAAGTATTTTCTTTTTGGGGATTTTCTTTCTTTTTTTTTTGGGTCACCCTGCCTCGGTGGGAGACGGCCGACTTGTTGAAAAAAAAAAAAAAAAAAAAAAAAAAAAAAAAAAAATGGATGAATATTTCCCTACAAAACATAATTTTAATTTCACTGCACAAACCACTTAAAGGAAGTAATGAGAGAAAATGGTAAGTGTTTTAAAGCAAAGGCTGTTATTTAATGTAATGTATCATAAATGGAAAATAATTTCTTCAGACTGGCTGCGTAATAATCTGTATTGGGTTGACGGAGTCAAGCATGGTGTGGAGGTCTTCAGCACACACAAAGGTTTCTACCGTGCAGAAATTGTGCATGATCTTGACCATCCCACTGACATTACATTAGCGCCTATCCTTGGGTTAGTTCAGACCTTGTGACCACCTTGTTGAGTGTATACAGGTGTAAGTTTTGCATTTTCAGAATTTTTAAAATTAAGCTTGTTTTTCTGCACTTAATTTAAATTTTCCTATGCAAATTTAACATACTCTATTTAATGAATTATTTGATACACGAGGAAATTTATTATTGGAGATACAGAAGTGTAAAGGTTTTTAATGTTCATGTGCATTATGGGACAATGAAACTACACTATAAATGAAGGTACAGTATTACAGGGTTGATGTTAATAAACTAAGAATGTATGAAAACCCAAGAATTTAGATAGTTAAACAATGATGATCAATGGGGCTGTTGAAGGACAGTTCAGCATGTGCTATTTGAGCATTTTTGACAAGACAGCTGTTAGAAGTGCAATTCTTGCATTGAAGAACTTCAGGTTCAGGTTTATATTTATAAAAGTGGTACATGAGTGCACAGTTGATCATGATAAAAAATCATTCTTTTAGCAGCCTTTTATGAATGATTTTACATAGTTTGATGTTCAAGCTTCACAGGCAAACAAACCACCAGTGAGATGGGTAATATATTGTATGGTAGTTTAGTAGGGAATGGTTTAAAAAATGCCCACCATTTTTGTTTTTGTTGAAATTATTTTAGCCAGAAGTTTGTTCTCTCTTTGTAAGTATTTTATCATTTAAACTGATATATGCAAATTCTTTTTTTCCAAAGATGATGCAGGTGGTGTTCCATGTCAGTGAGAGCATGCTGGATTGTAGTCTACCTAAGTGAATATTTTGACTTGTACTATGTTGCTAGAGAGAGCCAGATCTGAGTTTTACATGATGGTCTCAGCCTGTATAGCAATACTTCATGCTTCTGTTTTGAGGCACTTTTTTACCTAAAAATGCTACGTAGTATTTGTTTTAATATTATGGTTGCCTTGGAGTCACTGAAAAATTTTAAAAGGATTAAACGTTGGCTCTATCACTGTATCTGTCTACTACAGCTGGGCTGTAATTTTATCTACATTTCAATGATAAAGGTTCTGATGTTATTGCTTACCCTCAGATACCTGTACATAAGTGATGCTGGTAACAATCCATACATCCTGCGGTGTGGTCTGGATGGTACTGTGTGTGTGAGGATTGTTGACACAGGTCTTGCTCAGCCAATTTCTATAGCATTTGACAGAGATCCTGAGAATCGTAAGTTAACAGTTCCTTAAACAGTGCAGTTAAAAATAGATAAGGGGTTTAGTAATTTTGTTAGTGTTTTATTACATTTACCAGGAATACATACCATATGTGATAAATAAAACTGAATTAATGTTAATAGTGAGAACCTCGTCACACACAAATGCTATGATGATAACGAATCCAGTCATTGCTGTTGAATATGCCAGTGCTTCTTAAAAAAATTGTCGAGAAATTATTACAGCAGCTTAGGTATACTGATATTTTATTTAAAAAGGGGATTTTTGATGTTTACTCCAGATAAAAATTTCTTTGAAATTCTGTACAGTAAAACAAAAAAAAAACATTTCTGTGTAGTGTACAAAGTGTAGTTTACATTTAATAAAATATTGTTAAGCACAAGGAAAGCCATTAGCATGCATGTGCATTCTGGGTAAACTAATTGTAATGTTTGCAGACTACTTATGATTAGACATGGTCATTGAGTGGTAATTTTAAATATGTAGTAGGTTGGTAGACAGCAGCCACCCAGGGAGGTACTACTGTCCTGCCAAATGTGTATGAAACTGAAACCTGTAATTGTTACACAATGGTAGGATTGCTGGTTTTCTTTTCTTTGTCTTGTGAACATGCAAGAAAGCAGGTACATCTTACTACTACTACTTACACACAGGTCACACTACATAAGCATATACAGTGGACCCCCGGTTAACGATATTTTTTCACTCCAGAAGTATGTTCAGGTGCCAGTACTGACCGAATTTGTTCCCATAAGAAATATTGTGAAGTAGATTAGTCCATTTCAGACCCCCAAACATACACGTACAAACGCACTTACATAAATACACTTACATAATTGGTCACATTCGGAGGTAATCGTTATGCGGGGGTCCACTGTACACCTATGTGTATATACATTGATTTGAATTTTCTTCTATTTTCTAAGTAGTTCTTGTTCTTAACTATTTCCTTTTATCTCCATGGGGAAGTCGAATAGAATCTTTCCTCTGCAAGCCATGTGTCATAAGAGGTAACTAAAAGGCCAGGATCAATGGGCTAGTAACCCCTTCTCCTAAATAACAAAAAAGGCACAATACCGTGACTGGAACGATACACAAATAACCTGCACATAAAAGAGAGAAGTTTACGACGTTGTTTCGGTCCAACTTGGACCAAACAACCAAAAGAAAAACTTAATGAAGATGGGATGTTTGAATGTGCATGGATGTAATACAGATAAGAAAGATGACTGCCAGTGTTATGACTGAAAAGAAGTTGGATGTCCTAGCTCTAAGTGAAACAAATCTGAAGGGGGTAAGGGAGTTTCAGTGAGGAGAAATAAATGGGATTAGGTCAGGAGTATCTGAGAGAGTTGAAACTAAGGAAGGGGTAGCAATAATGTTGAAAAATCAGTTATGGAAGGAGAAGAGGGAATATAAATGTATAAATTCAAGGATTATGTGGATTAAAATAAGGATCGGAGGCAAAAAGTGAGTTACAATAAGTGTTTATGCACCTGAATAAAAGAGATTTTGGGAGATGTTAAGTGGTTTGGGAAATTTTGAACCAAGTGAGAGAGTAGTTGTGGGGGACATGAATGCTTAAGTTGTGTAACTGTTGTAGAGGGTGTAATAGGTAAGTTTGGGGTACCAGGTGCAAATGACAATTGGGGGGCATTTGATTGAATTTTGTATAGAAAGGGGTTTGGTAATAGGTAATACATATTTTAAGATTAAAAAAGAGGATAAATAAGTATACAAGACATGATATAGGGTGTAATGACTGTTAGACTAGGTATTAGTAGATAAGACGGATGGATAGACTTCAGGATATGCATGTTTATAGAGAGGCCACAGATATATCAGATCATATCAATATTTAGTTGTAGCTACAGTGAGAGTAAAAGGTAGATGAGAAACAAGGAGAATGGTATCAGCAAGTAAGAGAGGTGAAGGTTTATAAACTAAGGGAGGAGGCAGTTAGAGTAAGATAAAAACAACTGTTGGAAGAAAAATGGGCTATTGAGAGTACAGGCAATGAGGTTGAAGAGGTGACTAATTTTAAAAAGAGAAACTATCATTTTTCTTTTTAGGTCACCCTGCCATGGTGGGATATGGCTGGTTTCGTAAAAAAAAAATTCTGTAAGATGAGGGTGATCTGATGTGTAAATGGGATTTAGTATACATGTATGTATTATGAGCATATCACATCAAGCTCATGTCAGAATATGACCAAAAAAATTTGAGGTAAAAACAACGAACATGTGGAGATTAGAATGCTTCCTTCTATACAAATATGTTGTCGTTGTCAAGTATCTTTGTAGTGTATGAATGTGCCTGTTCGTTGAATGCTGCAGCAGTAAAGGCATGTTGCCCTGGATTGTGCAGATTTTGGGAATCCAGGTGATTTGCAATCCTGCTTCTTAGCACTCTTTCAAAGATTTTTATGATATGGGATGTTAGTGCTAATTACATTAGTTTTCTTATTTATTTGATGCTATTATTAACCATTTTTAATGTCCACCCAAAAGAATTGTGCAGCCTCCATTATGTATCTTTATTTGCTGAATTAAATGCAATAACCACTTTAATTACACATTACATTACTCTCGCACACAAATCAAAATACGTATGTACTTTCTTGACCAGTCACTGCAAAGTGTATCTGAAGTTGATGCAATGAGAGTAAGTAACCCTAATGACATCAGCTACTGCAAATCATGCTGATCCCTAAAATTTTATTGCAGAAAGGCTGTATTGGTGTGACCTGCATCTAGGGCGTATTGAGAGTGTAGCAATGGATGGCTCTGATAGGCATATAATACAGGATCTTCTACTTGAGCCAGTTTCACTATTAGTGACACATGTTCATATTATATGGACGCAGAGGAATTTAAATAATTTGTTCATATCATCAAAAATGGATAACAGCACTATTCAAATAAAGAGACTCGGTAAGTTTTTGCATTTAAGAAATTAGGAAAGAGAAAATAAGTTGATTTGTTTTTATTAAAGAATTTTATAAGGAAAAAGGTGGGTGAAAGTTTGAGGTACTCGTGGAGGTCGAAAGAGGAATGTACCAAAATTGAGTGGCATAATAACAATACTTTTATGTGGGTGCAAGGCATTGGCATCAAATGAGGTGGTGACTAGAGGCTGTAGAGATGTCGTGCTTGAGAGCCATGTGTCATGTGAATATTATGCAGAGAATTCAGAGTTTAGAAATTAGAAAACTGTGAGGTTACCAAGGGTATGATTCAAAGGGGAAGAAGTACCTAATTATTTTTGTCTTCCCTGTTAATGTGACTTTTAAATTCATCTTGTACATTAATTTACATGCAGAATCTATCTTTGGTTATGTTTGTAGTGGAGGTAGATGTACTGTAGGTGCTGGAAGTGAAGAACTACATGTGGAATGTAGTACTGGCAGAGTGATGACTTAGTGAGAGTGCAGTAGTAAGTTACTCTACGTCAGATATAACTAACTTTGAGTAAGGTTGTTCAAACTCCCAGTAGGAGTATACTGTATTTTAATTTTTTTTTTTATAAAAGCAGAGGCTTGTGATGCATTTTGTTTAATGTACATATATGAATGACTTTGGCTTTATTGAATTTGTTAGGGGTTTTATAATAAAAAATTGAAATCCCTTATATGCACACAAGAGGGCATTTGTACGTAAGTGAATGATGCCTAGTATTGCACGTCAGTCAGTCAATTTATTTCCACATATAGTTTGTACGAAAACGAATGAGATTACATCTTGCATGGAAAGCCCCTTAATTATGAAGTGCATTTCAGGCAAACTGAAACCTAAATAATGTCTAGGAGGACTGTATAAGATAATGATTTTCACCATAAAATAGATTACACACATCACAATGAAAAAATGTATATGAAGCAGATGCAGTCATAAGTTACATGGGAATAAGAACACTTAGATTATACTATACAGTAGTGTGCAGATTAATTGGGACATGAGTAAATTTTGTGATTAACTCGAATGTCTTAGTCTTTTCTTATCAGAAGTTTGCTACCTACTTCTGGCAACCGTCACACTGTGGTGTTATCCTGTGACTCTCATCAGTGCTAAAATGGGTGTTGCTCTGTAAGGCTATTCCTGTAAGCGTGCTCTGTGAGTGAATGTGTTTTTGTAAAATTCTCCCCTTCAGTTCATGATTACTGATGAAATTCATGATGAATCCTATATGAAGAAGCATGCAAGTATTGTAGCTATTAGAAAACATACCAATTTGAGTATCGGACAGATCTCCGAAACTTTGAGCTTAGCAAAGTCAATTGTTGTCAGATTCTAAAGAGAGCTCACGACACTGGTGGTTGTTTACCTGGAGTTTACCTGGAGTTTACCTGGAGTTTACCTGGAGTTTACCTGGAGTTTACCTGGAGTTTACCTGGAGTTTACCTGGAGTTTACCTGGAGTTTTACCTGGAGTTTACCTGGAGTTTACCTGGAGTTTACCTGGATTTACCTGGAGTTTACCTGGAGTTTACCTGGAGTTTACCTGGAGTTTACCTGGAGTTTACCTGGAGTTTACCTGGAGTTTACCTGGAGTTTACCTGGAGTTTACCTGGAGTTTACTGGAGTTTACCTGGAGTTTACCTGGAGTTTACCTGGAGTTTACCTGGAGTTTACCTGGAGTTTACCTGGAGTTTACCTGGAGTTTACCTGGAGTTTACCTGGAGTTTACCTGGAGTTTACCTGGAGTTTACCTGGAGTTTACCTGGAGTTTACCTGGAGTTTACCTGGAGTTTACCTGGAGTTTAACCTGGAGTTTAACCTGGAGTTTAACCTGGAGTTTAACCTGGAGTTTAACCTGGAGTTTAACCTGGAGTTTAACCTGGAGTTTAACCTGGAGTTTAACCTGGAGTTTAACCTGGAGTTTACCTGGAGTTTACCTGGAGTTTACCTGGAGTTTACCTGGAGTGAGTTCCGGGGGTCAATGCCCCCGCGGCCTGGTCTGTGACCAGGCCTCCTGGTGGATCAGAGCCTGATCAACCAGGCTGTTGCTGCTGGCTGCACGCAAACCAACGTACGAGCCACAGCCCGGCTGGTCAGGAACCGACTTTAGGTGCTTGTCCAGTGCCAGCTTGAAGACTGCCAGGGGTCTGTTGGTAATACCCCTTATGTATGCTGAGAGGCATTGAACAGTCTCGGGCCCCTGGACCGATGTGTCAAGGAAGATGTGGAAGAAAATGCCTCACAGTGACAAGGTTATCGTAAGAAATAGTGTGAACAATCCCAAGAAAACCAGCAAAGATCTACAGAGATTTGGCTTTAGCTGGCATAAATGATGATGACTTTAACTGTTCAATGAAGGAGCCTTGAAGGTGGCAGAACTGCCAGAAAGCCAATAAAGAAACAATTATTGACTACTACTACTGAAGAATAAGCTGCTGCAGGATGGACGAGATGAATGGAGAACAGTTGTATTTTCAAATGAGGTGCATTTTGAAGTTCATGTGTACAGAACAGTGGTAGTGAGATGAAGCAAAGGCAAACCTCTTTGGAATGGACACATTCAACAAGTGCCAAAACACCTACCTAAGATGTTTTGGGGTAGTTTTACTACTAAAGGCCCTGGGCAGTTTGTTGTTGTTAAGGGAACAGTGAACAGTGACAAATACAGGGCAATCCTGGCAACTCATTTGCTTACCATTGTTAGTAGAGACTTTCCTGATGGAGAAGGCATTTTCCAGCAGGACCTTGCTCCATGCCACACTTCCAGAGAAATGCTGACATTCTTTGATGAGAATGGGCTAATCATTCTAAATTAGCCTGGAAACTCTTCTGACCTCAACCCAATTAAGAATGTATGGGCAATAACCAAATGCAAGATTGTGAAATAGGACTCCTCAACTGTGAAGAAGCTAACTGCTGTTATTAGGACCTGATACCATGATAAAGAACTTGAGAAAATATGTTCAACATTGGTCGATTCTATGCCAAAGCATATAGCAGTGCTTATAAAAGCAAAGGGTAGTCATATCTCATATTAAATCAGTTATCTGTCATATCATTGCTGTGTATTTTTCAAATAAGCCTTAATTTTCCAAATGTCTATTTAATCACTGTCCCAGTTAATATGCACACTACTGTATTAAAATTATTCCATTAATTTATAATAACCTAATAAAATTACAATAAGAGCAGAACTAGTTATCTGTATTATTACAGAATGTGATGAGATAGTATTTTCATGTAATTATACAAAACATTAATGACATTCACAGTAGAATTGATTCAGTGAGAATGACTCGCTGTATATAGACAGTCCTAGCAAGGTACAAGAGGATAAGAATAGGTCTCAGCTGGGTGCTGGGACCTTGTGATCTTGTAGGAGCTGATTTTAATATACAGGTATCCTATTTTTTTAACAATGTTTTAATAAATTTTGAAATTGCTTTTTTATTGCATGTGCACTTGTGGTTGGTTCTTACTTGCAGAAGGGAGGGAGGAGACCGAGTTTAGCTTTGGTGAATATTGTGTGTGTACTCGCCTAATTGTACTTGCCTAATTGTGGTTGCAGGGGCCGAGACTCGGCTCCTGGCCCCACCTCGGCTCCTGGCCCCGCCTCTTCACTGATTGCTATTAGGTTCTCTCTCTCCCTGCTGAGTTTTATCATACCTCATCTTAAAGCTATGTATGGTTCCTACCTCCACTACATCACTTGCTAGACTGTTCCACTTCCTGACAACTCTGACTGAAGAAATACTTGTGTGTGTGCGCGCGTGTGCATGTGTGTACTCGCCTATTTGTGGTTGCAGGGGTCAAGACTCGGCTCTTCGCCTTGCCTTTTCACTGATCACTACTAGGTCCTCTCCTTACTCCATGAGCTTTATCATACCTAATCTTAAAACTATGTATGGCTCCTGCCTCTGCTACTTCACTTGCCAGACTGTTCCACTTCCTGACAACTCTGTGACTGAAGAAATACTTCCTAACATCCCTTTGACTCATCTGAGTCTTCAACTTCCAATTGTGACCCCTTGTTTCTGTGCCCCATCTCTGGAACATCTTGTCTCTGTCCACCTTGTCTATTCCTCGTAGTATTTTGTATGTCATTATCGTGTCTCCCCTAACCCTCCTGTCCTCCAGTATTGTCAGGTCAATTTCCCTTAACCTTTCTTCATGGGACAATCCCCTTAGCTCTGGAAATAGCCTTGTTGCAAACCTTTGCACTTTCTCTAATTTCTTGACGTGCTTGACCAGGTGTGGGTTCCAAACTGGTGCTGTATACTCCAGTATGGGCCTGATGTACACGGTGTGCAGGGTCTTGAACGATTCCTTACCGAGGTATTGGAATGCTATTCTCAGGTTTGCCAGGGGCCCATGTACTGCAGCAGTTACCAGGTTGATATGTGTGCTTCCGGAGACGTGCTCAGTATTATACACGCCCCAAGATCTTTCTCCTTGAGTGAGGTTTGCAGTCTTTGGCCACCTAACCTATATTGTACTCTGTCTACGATCTTCTTTGCCCTTCCCCAATCTTCATGACTTTGCATTTGGTGGGGTTAAATTAGAGGAGCCAATTGCTGAACCACTCGTCCAGCCTGTCCAGATCTATTTGTAGACCTATCTGGTCTGCATCTGATTTAATTCTCCTCATTAACTTCACATCATTGTGTGTGTGTGCATCCCCTCAAGGAAGGTTCCTTGATGTTGGTGAGGGGCTCTTGATTTAGGGAATTGGATCTGTGCTCCAGTTCCCCGAATTAAGCCTGAATGCCTTCCACATCCCCCCACCCAGGCGCTGTATAATCCTCCGGGTTTAGCGCTTCCCCTTGATTATAATAATAATAATGTGTGTGTGCATGTACTCGCCTAATTGTACTCCCCTAATTGTGGTTGCAGGGGTCGAGACTCAGCTCCTGGCCCTGCCTCTTCACTGATCGCTACTAGGTCCTCTCCCTCTCTGCTTCCTGAGCTTTGTCATACCTCTTCTTAAAACTATGTATGGTTCCTGCCTCCACCACTACACTTGCTAGGCTATTCCACTTCCTGACGACTCTGACTGAAGGAATACTTCCTAACGTCTCTGTGACTCGTCTGAGTCTTCAGCTTCCAGTTGTGACCCCTTGTTTCTGTGTCCCCTCTCTGGAACATCCTATCTCTGTCCACCTTGTCTATTTCCCGCAGTATCTTGTATGTTATGTCTCCCCTGACCCTTCTGTCCTCCAGTGTCGTCAGTCCGATTTCCCTCAACCTTTCCTCGTACGACATTCCCCTGTGTGTGTGTGTGCGCGCACACGTGTGCATGTGCATGCGCACGTGTGCATACACGTACTCGCCTAGTTGTGGTTGCATTGGTCAACTCACAGCTCCTGGCTCTGCCTCTTCACTGGTTGCTACTAGGTCACTCTTCCTGCTCCACGAGCTTTATCATGTGTGTGCGTACTCGCCTAATTGTGGTTGCAGGGGTCGAGATTCAGCTCCTGGCCCCGCCTCTTCACTGACTGCTACTGGGTCCTCCCTCTCCCTACTCCATGAGCTTTATCTACCTCGTCTTAAAACTATGTATGGTTCCTGCCTCCACTACATTGCTTGCCAGACTATTCCAAACAACTCTGTGGCTGAAGAAATACTTCCTAACATCCCTTTGACTCGTCTGAGTCTTCAGCCTCCAATTATGACCCCTTGTTTCTATATCCCATCTCTGGAACATCCTGTCTCTATCCACCTTGTCTATTCCATGAAGTATTTTGTATGTCATTATGTCTCCCCTAACCCTCCTGTCCTCCAGTGTCATCAGGCCGATTTCCCTTAACCTTTCTTCATAAGACATTTCCCTTAGCTCTGGAACTAACCTTGTTGCAAACCTTTGCACATTCTCTAATTTCTTGACATGCTTGATCAAGTGTGGGTTCCAAACAGATGCTGCATACTCCAGTATGGGCCTGATGTACACGGTGTACACTCTCTCTCACTCTCTCACTCTCACTCTCTCTCACTCCTCTCACTCTCCACTCTCTCTCACTCTCTCTCACTCTCTCTCACTCTCCTCACTCTCTCTCACTCTCTCACTCTCTCTCACTCTCTCACTCTCACTCTCTCATCTCTCACTCTCTCACTCTCTCATCCTCTCCTCACTCTCACTCTCTCTCACTCTCACTCTCTCTCACTCTCTCTCACTCTCTCTCACTCTCTCTCACTCTCTCTCACTCTCTCTCACTCTCACTCTCTCTCACTCTCTCTCACTCTCTCACTCTCTCTCTCACTCTCACTCTCTCTCACTCTCTCACTCTCTCTCTCTCTCTCTCTCTCACCTCTCACTCTCTCACTCCTCTCCTCATCTCTCACTTCACTCTCACTCTCTCACTCTCTCACTCTCTCACTCTCTCACTCTCCTCTCTCACTCACTACACTCTCACTCTCCACCACTCTCACTCACTCTCACTCTCACTTCACTCCCACTCTCTCCTCTCTCACTCTCTCTCTCTCTCTCTCTCTCTCCTCTCTCTCTCTCATCTCTCACTCTCACATCTCTCACTCCCTCTCACTCTCTCACTCTCTCACTCTCCTCCACTCTCTCTCACTCTCTCTCACTCTCTCTCACTCTCTCTCACTCTCTCTCTCACTCTCTTCACTCTCTCTCCTCTCTCTCTCTCTCTCTCCTCTCACTCTCTCCCCCATCTCTCACTCTCTCACTCTCTCTCACTCTCTCACTCTCCCACTCTCTCCTCTCTCCTCTCTCTCTCACTCACCCCACCCCTCTCACTCTCTCACTCTCTCTCTCACCCCCCTCATCTCTCAACCATCTCCTCTCTCTCTCCCCTCTCTCCTCTCTCTCCTTCTCACTCTCACCTCACTCCTCCTCTCACCCCCTCTCTCCTTCCTCTCTCTCACTCTCTCTCTCTCTCTCTCCTCTCCTCTACTCCTCCCTCCTCTCTCTCTCTCTCTCTCTCTCCTCTCTCCCTCCCTCTCTCCTCTCTCCCTCTCCTCTCACTCTCATCTCTCCCCTCTCCCCTCTCTCTCTCCTCACTCTCCCCTCTCTCTCTCCCCTCTCTCTCTCTCTCTCTCACTCTCTCTCACTCTCTCTCACTCCTCTCACTCTCCTCTCACTCTCTCTCAATCTCTCCACTCTCTCTCACTCTCTCTCATCTCTCTCTCTCACTTTTTCTTTTTTTTACACAGGGTTTGACAAGGTTAAGGATCCCTAGCTTTATTGACAAGCTATTTACGGGTTAAGGATTCCTAACTTTATTGGCAAGCTATGAGCTGTTACCTACATCAGCTCATTTGAAAGCATTTTTATTGTTAAGAGACATACAAGTAGGGAACAGGGTGAAGTTTTGGGGCCATCTGTTGGGCCAGCATTTTTCATTTGATCAACTGACTTTATCTCATTGACATCATTATGGGTTTTCGAATGTGTTCCATACTCGAGTCTCCTGGGTATGTATGATCCAGATGGAGTGATCTGGAGAAGGGTACAGCAGAGTGAAGTTGCTGCTTTCCTGCCTGTCTTTGTGGGATAAAAGCTTGTTTCAACGCTGTCCTCGAAGTGGATCCAAGTGTGGTATTTTGGGCAAAAATTGGCCTTTTACATAACAGTAAAGGCCACCCACATCCTTCCTATGTTGAAGGCTCTGCTGAAATGACAGATCTACCAGATGGTCCAGCGAGAGATGAGACTTCTTGCTCTGTTCTCTAAATGTCAAGCAGTTGCAGATGAGAGGGGGGGGGGGAGGCAAACCAAGAAAATGGAGCATACTCAAGGTGTGAGTGTACTTTGCGCCTCGTACAGGATCTTGCAACCCCTACTGTCAAGCAGATGCGAGATACGGCGAAGTGCTGTAAGCTTCCTGGGTGCCTTGTTTGCAAGATTTACAACAGGTTCTTCATGGTTAAGTTTGGAGTCAAATTTCACCCAAGGATATCAACTTCTTCAGTGCCAACACCCTCCCATTCATCCTTTTCTACTGCACCACATTACCATCATGGTGCTAGAGACATCATCATTGCATTTTCTCAGGTGCAAATGTTTTCTTGCCATCTATTTCCCCAAGCTGATATAGCTCTCAGCTGGTGATTGATGTAGCTTAGAGCAGCTGACATTTCTTCTCTTGGATAAGTGAATGTCTGTGTACTGTCGTCTGCATATGCATGTGATTCTGGGATGAGATGAAGGAGGTCGTTGAAGTAGACATTCCACAACAATGGACCTAGCACGCTTCCTTGTGGAACACTTGCCCCAAGAGGATGTCTTGCTGATTCCGTTCCATTGAGAACTACACTTAGAGATCTACCATGAAGGTAATCACTGAGGAGACATAGCGTAGAGCCTGCAATTCCCAGTGCTTGAAGTTTTGCTAAGAGGCCCTGGTGCCACACCCGGTCGAAAGCGCCAGCAATGTCCAGTGCTACCACACAGCTGACTTTGGATTCATCCAGTGACTGGTGCCACTTAGTGGAGAGGTTTAACAACAGATCAGCAGCAGAGTAACCTTTCCTGAAGCCATATTGACGATCACAAAATAGTGAGTGGTAGTCAAAAAACTGTCATTTGTCTTGAGATTGTCTCAAGGATCTTGCCAGTGATTGACAGGAGTGACACTGGTCTGTAGTTGCTGATTTCTGCTCTGCTCTTCTTTTTGTGAACAGGGACTACATTTGCCTCTTTCCATAGAGAGGGCCATTTACACTGTACTAGGCAGTGCTGAAAGATGCACCTCCTCCTGCCTTATTGTCACCAGTGACAGTTTTGACACAGTTCTTGTAGCTAGCTAAGGAGGGTCACTCTCTCTCTCTCTCTCTCTCTCTCACTCTCTCACTCTCTCACTCTCTCCTCTCTCACTCTCTCTCTCTCTCTCTCCTCTCTCTCACTCTCTCTCTCTCATCTCTCACTCTCTCTCTCTCTCTCTCTCTCTCTCACTCTCTCTCACTCTCTCTCACTCTCTCTCACTCTCTCTCACTCTCTCTCACTCTCTCTCACTCTCTCTCACTCTCTCTCACTCTCTCTCACTCTCTCTCACTCTCTCTCACTCTCTCTCACTCTCTCTCACTCTCTCTCACTCTCTCTCACTCTCTCTCACTCTCTCTCTCACTCTCTCTCTCACTCTCTCATCTCCTCTCACTCCTCTCACTCTCTCTCACCTCTCTCACTCTCTCTCCTCCTCTCTCTCTCTCACTCTCTCTCACTCTCTCTCACTCTCTCCTCTCTCTCACTCTCTCTCTCTACTCTCTCTCACTCTCTCTCCTCTCTCTCTCTCACTCTCTCTCACTCTCTCTCACTCTCTCTCACTCTCTTCTCCTCTCACTCTCACTCTCTCTAATTCTCTCTTTCACTTTCACTCTCACTCTCTCTGAATTTTAGTTTATAAGTGCTAAATGAACTTTAAAGTGGTTTTGGTTGCAGTGCTCTCTGAACTACTAATATTTGGTGGAGGCTTGTACAGAATGTAAAAAATTATTTTTGGTCATCTACACTTTGTGTGTGTGTGTGTGTGTGTGTGTGTGTGTGTGTGTGTGTGTGTGTGTGTGTGTGTGTGTGTGTGTGTGTAAACAAGAGGACCTAAACTTGAAATATGTTATTGCAAGTTGATCAGGATGTATTGTAATTAATAGTCACTAGTGTATTATATATAAAAAAATTATTGCTTTAAACAAATGTGTACTTAATTGATTGTTAAAAATGAACTGTCTTAACAATGTTTTGTAATACCTGGATAAAATGTGAGCATGTATGGTATGCAGCTTAATTTGAATGTAGTTAAGATTATTAACAACATTGAAGGGTCTGGTGCACTTGGGAGCAAGGAGAGAATCTTAAAGTTGGGAGAAGTCAACTGGAGGATGCCACTAGAAGCCTTGTCCAGCCATCCCTGTGCATATGACAATGGTAACTGCTCTCAGCTTTGTCTAGGAAATGGTGTAAATGATAAGGTCAGTGAAGTACTCTAGGCTAATTGCATAACATTTATTTGGTGCTAGATTTTAATAATTACTTTATTGGTAAATCTCTACTACACTGATCATATATTTAATTTTGTGGTGGCACTTGGTCGTGGTGGTACGCATTTTTATTCTTGCACTTGTATATCCATTGTTTACAGTTTCTTTTGCCAGGTGTGTGCCTGTGTGCTTGGATTTGAATTATCAGCAGATGCCATCACTTGTGTGAGGAGCCAGTGTCATAGTGATCAATTCCTGTGCCATGGAACACCTAGTTGCATACCAGCAAAATGGAGGCAAGTTATCCAGTGTTTGTGCACTCATAGACATTGGCTCATGCATGCAGAGCATGCAGTAATTTTAGCTACGAGCTGCCACTGCCCTCAAGAAGTACATACCAATGCCCAGCCAAATACAGAATGCCAGTACAAGATCAGGAATCATGGACCAAAGGAACTTCCTACACAAATTTTTGGCTTCACCACAGGTTCTGTCTTCTTCACCCACTCGCTACTTGACACATCCCCCCACGTGCCATGTCCTTGTATGGGGTGAGGTGTAACCTTCCCTATATATTCACGTTCTCCTTTCACCTATGTATCTGCTGAAGAGGATCGCAGAAGGGAGTCGATATATACAGATCAATTAATCTTCCATGTTTCTCCATGTGGATTATTATTGAGCATACTTCTAAAAATTTACTATGTTTAAGGACTTTCAGAGTTCAAAAAATATGGTGTACATTTGTCTACTCACTGAAATATCATGAAAAATATTCTGTATGATTTTACAAATAAAGTTTAAAAAGTTCTGATTTTTGTTGACTGACATTTTGTAGATTATCTTTGGCAGGTGTGATGGTACTCCAGACTGTGAAGGCGGTGGAGACGAACGAGACTGTGAAGCTGTTGCCAAGAACTGTGATGAATTTTTATTTCAGTGTGCTTCTGGTAATTGTATAGATAAAACCTGGAGGTGTGATGGAGTCCATGATTGTAGTGATGGTTCAGATGAAAGTCCTCAGTACTGTCAAAATGTCACCTGTAGAGATGGTATGTGTTACCATGTAAAAGTGCATTAATTTACCAAAATTGTTAGAGGCTGTCAGAATAAGAACCTAAATGAATAGACTTTTATTATTATTTTAGGAAAGAAAATATAAAGCACAGTATTTAGTATAAATCTGATATATGTATATATATATATATATATATATATATATATATATATAAAATATATATATATAGATATATTCTCTTTAACCATTGCTTTAAAGTTTATTTTTTTTTTAGTGGAAAGGCCATGAAAATACTACTGGTAATATTTTACCTTGGGAGTTTGGTAAAGTGTTTGAAATAGAAATACATTATACTCTATTACTATACAGTTTTACTATACATGTTATGAATTAAGTAATAACTAAAAAAACTATAAAGAGCCTCAAGAAAACTATAAAGATATTTTTCCTTCAAATCCTTAGTTTCTTCTTTTCCCTTGTATAAAATATTTTATTTATCAGGTCAGTGGCAGTGCAGATCTGGTGAATGTATCCCACAAATGTGGGTGTGTGATGGGAAAGCAGAATGTCCAGACAGTTCGGATGAGATAAATTGCACACTGACTTGTCCTTCACATAAATTCACTTGTATGGATGGTGAGTATGATGTTGGAAAAGGGTTTTTCTTTATACAGTATATGTATATATGTATATGTATATATATATATATATATATATTTTTTTTTTTTTTTTTTTTTCCTCAACAAGTCGGCCGTCTCCCACCGAGGCAGGGTGACCCAAAAAAGAAAGAAAATCCCCAAAAAGAAAATACTTTCATCATCATTCAACACTTTCACCACACTCGCACATTATCACTGTTTTTGCAGAGGTGCTCAGAATACAACAGTTTAGAAGCATATACGTATAAAGATACACAACATATCCCTCCAAACTGCCAATATCCCAAACCCCTCCTTTAAAGTGCAGGCATTGTACTTCCCATTTTCCCGGACTCAAGTCCGACTATATGAAAAATAACCGGTTTCCCTGAATCCCTTCACTAAATATTACCCTGCTCACACTCCAACAGATCGTCAGGTCCCAAGTACCATTCGTCTCCATTCACTCCTATCTAACACGCTCACGCACGCTTGCTGGAAGTCCAAGCCTCTTACCCACAAAACCTCCTTTACCCCCTCTCTCCAACCCTTTCGAGGACGACCCCTACCCGCCTTCCTTCCCCTATAGATTTATATGCTTTTCCATGTCATTCTACTTTGATCCATTCTCTCTAAATGACCAAACCACCTCAACAACCCCTCTTCTGCCCTCTGACTAATATTTTTATAACTCCACACCTTCTCCTAATTTCCACACTCCGAATTTTCTGCATAATATTTACACCACACATTGCCCTTAAACAGGACATCTCCACTGCCTCCAACCGTCTCCTCGCTGCTGCATTTACCACCCAAGCTTCACACCCATATAAGAGTGTTGGTACTACTATACTTTCATACATTCCCTTCTTTGCCTCCATAGATAACGTTTTTTGACTCCACATATACCTCAACGCACCACTCACCTTTTTTCCCTCATCAATTCTATGATTAACCTCATCCTTCATAAATCCATCCGCCGACACGTCAACTCCCAAGTATCTGAAAAACATTCACTTCTTCCATACTCCTCCTCCCCAATTTGATATCCAATTTTTCTTTATCTAAATCATTTGACACCCTTATCACCTTACTCTTTTCTATGTTCACTTTCAACTTTCTACCTTTACACACATTCCCAAACTCATCCACTAACCTTTGCAATTTTTCTTTAGAATCTCCATAAGCACAGTATCATCAGCAAAAAGTAACTGTGTCAATTCCCATTTTGAATTTGATTCCCCATAATTTAATCCCACCCCTCTCCCAAACACTTAGCATTTACTTCCTTTACAACCCCATCTATAAATATATTAAACAACCATGGTGACATTACACATCCCTGTCTAAGACCTACTTTTACCGGGAATAGTCTCCCTTTTTCACACACCCTAACCTGACCTCCATCCTCAAAAAAACTCTTTACAGTTTTTAATAACTTCCCACCTATTTCAATCTACTTGCAACATCTGCCACATTGCCCCTCTATCCCTCTATCATATCCCTTTTTTCTAAATCCATAAATGCAAAAAAAACCCCCCTTATCTTTATCTAAATACTTTTCAAAATTTTTGTTCAATGTAAAACCGGGATCTACACATCCCCTCCCCACTCTAAAACCTCCTTGTCATCCGAAACCTACATTCTTTTTTCCTCTAATTCTTTCAATTATAACCCTCCGTAAAATTTTCCCTGGTATATCAGTAAGCTTTTTCCTCTAAATTTTTTCGTCTCTTTGCCCCCTTTTCCTTTTTAAAAAAGGGGGATTACAGCCCTTGCAATCCCTAGGTCCTTTCCCCCTTTTTCGTATTTTTATTAAACAAAAGTCCCAAACCCACCCAACACTATCCCCCCCCCTGTTTTAAAAAACTTTCTGTCATGATCCCATCTTTCCCAGCTGTTTTAAAACCCCCCTTTCATTTTACGTAATGCCTCACGTACCTCCCCCAACTTACATTTCTGCCTTCTTCACTCCTAAAAGGGGTATACCTCCCTGACCATGCATAAAATTACTGCCTCGTTTTTTCCCTTTAAACATTTAAAAGTTCTCAAAAATATTCGCCACTACCTAATACCCCCACCCCCCATCTACTAACCCCCCTATTTGTTTTTAACTGACAAATCCATATTTTCCCTTGGCTTTTTTAAACTTGTTTAACTCCTCCCAAAAATTTTTTCTTTTTTTTCATTCAAATTTCTTGACGTCCCTCTCCCACCTATCATCTCTCCCCTTTTTGCACTCTCTAACTCTTTACCTTTTTTTTACTCTCCATATATTCTGCTCTTTTATAACACTTTGTTTTGTAAAAACCTCTCATAAGTCCCTTTTTTCTTTTTTTATCACCCTTTCTTCATCTTTTTCCACCAACACTCCTTTTCCCCCCTCCCCCCACCCCCCTATAACACAAATTCTGCCCCAATTCTAATACTGCTTTTTTAAAACTTTTCCCAAACCCTCTTAAACCCCCCCCCATTACCTCTTTCACTTCCCACCTTTCTCCCAATGTCCTTATATCTCCCCCCCCGAATTCTCCTCCCTTATTTTTAACCTTTCACCCTCCCTTTTACTTGTTGTTGCCACTTCCTTTTTTCCCCATCTCCCTCTTACTCTAACGTAGCTACAATAAATAATGATCCAATATCATTCCCCCTCAAACATGTACACCGGGAGCCTCCCATCAACTTTTATCCCCCAAATACAAAATCTAAAAAACTACTTTCAAAAGGTACATCATACATTGTATATTTTTTATCCTCTTTTTAAAAAAAGTATTACTTATTACCAAAATTTTTTCTACCATACTAATTAAAGGCTCCCCCCATTTACATTTACCCCTGGCACCCCAAAATTTACTACTATTTCCCTCCTAAATTTTTACCCCCCCCTTTTGTTTTGAAATCCCCAACCCCCATTACTCTCACACTTGATTCAAAACTCCCCACGCATTCACTCAAATTTCCCAAAAAACTCCCTCTCTCCTCTACATTCTCTCTTTTCCAGGGGCATACACGCTTATAACCCCCTTTTTACACCAAACTTTTTTTACTCCCCAAAATCCCGAATTAAAACATTTTATGTCCCCTTTTCCTCCATACTTATCCTTCAACATTATTGCTACTCCCCTTTAGCTCTAACCTATTGAAACCCCCACCTAATCCCATTTATTTCCCCCCACTGAAACCTCCCCCCCTTTATTTTTTTCACTTAAAAACCGGACATCCATTCTTTTCATTCATAACATCCACAAAATCTCTTTTATCATCTGCACAACTCCACGCCATTTAGACTTCCCACTTTTTACAATTTTCTTCTTCTTATTCTTTTTTTGTAATCTTTTTCAGGAAAAGGGTTACTAGCCCCTTTTCCCGGGATTTTAGTTGACTTTTTCAACACGCATGGGTTAACGGAGGAAAATTTTATTCCCTTCCCCTGGATAAAAAGGAAAATTTAAAAAGACCTAATAATATAATATTATATAAAATATTTATATTATAAAATATAATAAAAATATGTATAAATTTTATTTTCTATATTTAAAATTTATATAATATTTTCATAAATTATATTTATATTAATATATTTACATATATTTATATTTATATATATATTTACATATAATATATAATTTAATATATTTAATATATTTTTACTATATATATATTTATATATATATATATTTACATATAATATATTTATTATATATATATTTACTTTAAAATATTTTATATTATATATTTAATAAATATAATTTTTAATATTATTTATATATATATATATATATATATTTATATATTTTTATATTTTATTTATATATATATATTTTTAAATATATTTATATATATTTTTTTAATATTAAAATTTAAAAATATTTATATAATTTTATTATATATTTATATATATAAATATAATTTTTATAAATATATTTATATTATATATATTTTTATATTTATATTTATTATATATAAATATTATATATATATATATTTATTTTATATATATATATTTATATATATTTTTTTATATATATATATATTTATATATAATTTTATATATATATTTATATATATTATATATATATATATTTATATATATTTATATATATATATTATATATATTTATAAATATTATTTATATATATTTATATATATATATTATATAATTTTATATATATATATTTATATATATATATATATATTTATATATATATATATTTATATTTATATATATATTTATATTTATATTTTATATATATATATTATATATATATATATATATATTTATATATATATTTATATTTATATATATATATATTTATATTTATATATATATATATTTATATATATATATATATTTATATATATATATATTTATATTATATAATATATATATTTTATATTTATATATATATATATTTATATTTTATATTTAATATATATTTATATATATATATATTTATATATATATATATATTTATATTTATATATATATTTATATTTATATATATTTATATATATATATATTTATATATATATATTTATTATTTATATAAAATTATATTTATATAATATTTATATTTATATATATATTTATATTATATATATATTTATATTTATTATATATTATTTATATTAATATTATATTTTATATATATTTATATTTATATATATTTATATATATTTATATATTTATATTTATATATATATATATTATTTATATTTATATATATTTATATTTTATATATATATTTATATTTATATATATATTATATTTATATATATATTTATATTTATATATATATTTATATTTATATATATATATTTATATTTATATAATATATTTATATTTATATATATATTTATATTTATATATATATTTATATATATATTTTATATTATTATATATATATATTTATATTTATATTTATATATATATATATATATATATTTATATTTATATATATTATATTTATATTATATATATATATATTTATATTTATATATATATATATATATATATATATATTTATATTTATATATATATATATTTATATTTATATATATATAATATTATATTTATATATATATATATATATTTATATTATATATATATATTTATATTTATATATATATATATATTTATATTTATATATATATATATATTTATATTTATATATATATATATTTATATTTAATATATATTTATATTTATATATATATATATTATATATATTTATATATATATATACCGGTTATTTTCATATAGTCGGACTTGAGTCCTGGAAATGGGAAGTACAATGCCTGCACTTTAAAGGAGGGGTTTGGGATATTGGCAGTTTGGAGGGATATGTTGTGTATCTTTATATGTGTATGCTTCTAGACTGTTGTATTCTGAGCACCTCTGCAAAAACAGTGATAATATGCGAGTGTGGTGAAAGTGTTGAATGATGATGAAAGTATTTTCTTTTTGGGGATTTTCTTTCTTTTTTGGGTCACCCTGCCTCGGTGGGAGACGGCTGACTTGTTGAAAAAAAAAAAAAAAAAAAATATATATATATATATATATTTTTTTTTTTTTTTTTAAACATAGCAATTGCAGAAATGTTAGTTTAATTTTCCCATGACACTAGTTCACCTTATAATTTCTGGGATTGTAAGTGGCATGAGTGCTTGATGAAGAACCCAGTAATTGTTTTCATCCTCAGTACAGGAGAGAGTTCTCTTTTCTAAATGACCAAACTTCCTCAATAACTCCTCCTCTGCCCTTTAAATTATACTTTTTTTTAACCCCACTCCATCTTTTAATTTCTACACTCTGACACCTCTACAATATTTACATCACATTCCAAAACATGACATCACTGCCTCCGGTCTTTTCTCCGCAATATTTACAGACTATGCCTCACACCAGTACAAAAGCATTTCAACCACAACACTAGTACATCCCATTTTTGCCTCCATAGATAAACTTCTTTCCACATATGCCTTAGTGCTCCACCTAGTTTTTTTTTTCCCTGTCTCTTCTATTGTTAAACTAAACTTTCATAGGCCCATCTGCTAACCCATCCACTCCCAAATATCTCAATACATTTTCTTCAGTTTGATACCCAGTTTTTCATTGCTTAGGCCTTTTTGTTACTCTCATCACATTGCCTTTTTCTCTGTTCAGTTATGATTTCATTTTAGACACCCTTCCAAACTTCTCCACTAACCTTTGCAACCTCTTATCAGAATCATCCAAGCTACAATCATTGGCAGTATTTTAATCACGCACCTGTCCTAACCACCTAAGCATTCACTTATTTTCAATATTCATATTTAGTATGTCTGTGAAACAATAATAGCTGAACTGGAGTTTTAAAAACTACCACTATTTACAGGAACCTGTATACCCATTCTATGGCAGTGTGATGGTGGCAAAGACTGCAAGGATGGTGGTGATGAGGAAAATTGCCCAGGTAATACTAAGGTTTACTGTCATCAAAAATTAGTCAAAGGCCAATTTTATTTCCAAGAATTACAGGGTGTTGATTTATCTCTAAGACTGAATCTTTTTGTATATTCAAAAGAAAGTCCCTTGTTATGTAATGCATTATGGGCAGACCTAAACTAATACAGTATATACAAACTAATCAAATGGTTTGATTATAATACTTAAGTTCTTCTTTCAACAAACCAAACATATGCCACCGAGGCAAGGTGGCCCAAAAAGAAAAACAAAAGTTTCTCTTTTTAAATTTAGTAATTTATATAGGAGAAGGGGTTACTAGCCCCCTTGCCCCTGGCATTTTAGTTGCCTCTTATGACATGCATGGCTTATAGAGGAAGAATTCTGTTCCACTTCCCCATGGAGATAAGAGGAAATAAATAATTACTAGTAAGAAAATATAAGAAAATCCAGAGGGGTGTGTGTATAAATATGCTTTTACATGTATGTGTAGTGTGACCTAAGTGTAAGTAGAAGTAGCAAGACATACCTGAAATCTTGCATGTTTGAGACAGAGAAAAGACACCTGCAATCCTACCATGTAAAACAATTACAGGCTCCCATATTATACTCACTTGGCAGGACGGTAGTACCTCCCTGGACGGCTGCTGTCTACCAACCTACTACCTAGAACACTTGAGTTATGTTGGACAATTCATCATGAACCATTCATTTTTTTTTTTTTAACATTCTGGTCATCTCCCACTGAGGCAGGGTGACCCAAAAAAGAAAGAAACCCTTTCACCATCATTCAAAACTTTGACCACCATTCACACATAATCACTGTCTTTGCAGAAGCATGCAGGTACAACAGTTCAGATGTTGCTCCAAATAGCAGATATCCCAAACCCCTCCTTTAAAGTGTAGGCATTGTACTTCACACCTCCAGGACTCAAATCTGGCTAACCTGTTTCCCTGAATTTTTTTTTTATTATTAGCACACTGGCCGATTCCCACCAAGGCAGGGTGGCCCGAAAAAGAAAAACTTTCACCATCATTCACTCCATCACTGTCTTGCCAGAAGGGTGCTTTACACTACAGTTTTTAAACTGCAACATTAACACCCCTGCTCACACACTAACAGCTAAAGTCCCAAAAATTATTAGTCTCTACTCACTCTATTTAACATGCTCACATATGTTGTTGTATGTCCAAGCCCCTTGCACACAAAACTTCTTTTACCCCCTCCTCCATCCTTTCCTAGGACAACCCCAGCCCCTCCTCCCCTCCACTATGGATTTATACACCCTCTAAGTCATCCTATTTTCCTCCATTCTTTCTGAATGACCAAACCACCTCAACAACCCCTCCTCAGCCCTCTGAATAATACTTTTAGTAACTCCACCCCTCCTAATTTCCACACTATGAATTCTCTGCATAATATCTACACCACACATTGCCCTTAGACACGACATCTCCATTGCCTTTAGCCGCCTTTTCACTGCAACGTTCACAACCCATGCTTCATATCCATAAGTGTTGGTACCACTATACTTTCACACATTCCTTTCTTTGCCTCCTTGGATAATGTTTTTTTTGTTTACCTTGTCCTTTATAAACCCATCTGCCGACATGTCTACTCCCAAATATCTAAACCCTTTCACTTCTTTCATACTCCCTCCCTCGAATCTGATATCCAATTTTTCCTTATCTGAATCATGAACAGTTTATGCACATAATAAATTGGCTTGCATTACAGTGGGAAGGCAGCAGTTGAATAAGCCAGCAGTATTATTTTTTTTTTAACATGCTGGCCAAAATTCCATAGAGGCAGGGTGACAAAAAAAAAAATTGACTCATTAGTCATCTTGGTAGAAGTGTGTAGACATCACAATTCAAATGACCCTCCAGACTGCAACATCCTCATCCCTCCTTCAGAATGCACAGGCACTATTTTCCACCTCCAGGACTCAGGACTGCTTAACTGATTTACCCTGAATCCCTTCATAAATGTTACCTTGTTCACACTCCAACAGTTCAAGCCATAAAAACTACTAGTTTTGATTCACTGACCTGACATGCTCACACAATCTTGCTGGATTCTCAAGCCTCTTGCATTCAAAACTTCCTTTACCCCCCTCCCTGATTATTACATATTAAATATTACATAAAGTTTGTGATTTTTTTTGTTAATGTTTTTTTAAACTATTTTTTTTAAACACTGCCAGTGTTTTTTGAAACTATTTTTTAATCACAGGTAGGTCAAAATTCTGGGTCCTTTGATTTGCATGGCATGTTTACTCTGGTTAGGTTGTACACACAAAATATCAGAGATTTGTTTCTAGTGTCATTCCTCTGTGATCTGTTGCAGCTCTCTAAGAATTTTTAGCTTAAGATTAATATCTAAATTATAGGGTGTTCTGTGTATGTAATATACACAGTAGGTGTGAATAGTTTGTACATTTAAGTAGATTCAAATCTTTGAATAGTGAGGGAAGGAAGGAAAGGGGTGAAAGTTGGCTGTCTAGAATCAGATAGAGAAATTGTTCCAATGGCAAATTATTATTGGGTTATCATTGATTTTAGATTTGCTGTTGCATATCCCCCATGAACATTACCATAGGTGAGGTATTGGTAGATTGAAAAGTAGTGCAGTGTATGTAGTGTTAGGTGTGGTACATATTTTGTATTCTGAAAAGAATAAACAAACTTTTTTTCTATAAAGTGGAATACAGTATACGTATTATACATTTATGATGATTGATGTATATAAACTATTTTATAGAAAGCCCCTTATTATGCAAATCATTTTGGCTACCTTAAAACTAAATTATGATTACAGGTAAATGAGAATAAGAATACAGTTTTTATTGGAGGTATTTATTAATTGATAAAAATATAATTAGTGATATATAAGGATGAAGCTAGGTACACCATTGAAGGAATGATAGAGAAGAACAGGGACAATACAGGTTGAAGGAATTGTTCAGCATAATTAATTATTGTTAAGATCATATTAAAAGTTTTCTTAGATAGGTGCTGGATGTGTTTGTTACATTAAAGTTTGCTGTCAAGATTAATACTATAGCACCAAGAATTTTCCTCTCATCTTTCAGTGTGGGCGTATAGCTTATCTTTGTTTAGTTTTATGTTTTTAGCTTTTATTCCTGAAGATTAAATAGTAGGTTTTTATCATAATCCAGGTTGATACTTCTTGCTCAGCATCAGTGGCAATACCAAGGGAAGGCTTGGGAGGCTTCAGCACCCTCCCCCAAATTTCCCTCAGCTTTCCAAAGCCCTTCCCCCCCCCTCAATAAAAACAGTAATAACTGCACTGCTTAAAAATCTTTTACCCCCTCCTCCCCTTTTCCAACCAGACAGCCACCCCTAAGCTTCCCCAGTACTATAGAAATACTGGTGCCACCCCTCCTCGACATTAACTCTGTTGTTGAGGTCAGCTGGCTCTAGATTGGAGATGAGGAAGGTAGTGTTACGACTGTCATTCATGAATAAAACTGGTTGAAGTTGTTGATATGCATTTGGTAGGTCACTGATGTAAATGAGAAATAAGTGGTCTTGGGACACTGCTTTGTGGCACACCTATGTTGACCGGTTGAGTTAGTGGTATTGTTGACAGTCACATGTTGGAGTCTCTCATACAGTTAGGACTTATTCCATAATGTTCTAGTTTAAGTAGTAGGATATTGTAGTTTATTGTATCAAAAGTTTTTTTTTTTTTTTTTAAGAAAAGTGATGAGGTATATTTGATAATCTATTTTCTTGGGAATGTATAGATTAAATAAGCATTTAGTGCATCGTTTGTACTCTTGGCCTGAAACCACTGTCAGTGGTTTACAATATTATTTTATGAATTCATAAATTTAATTGCTTTTGCAAATATTTTAGTAATGGCAGATTAGACACTGGCCTAATAGTTATTTCAGATGGGTCTTGCATTTGTCGACTGGTGCAATCCTAGCTGACTAGTTTAGGATCTCTAAAGCATGTTTCTGTAAACATTTTCATCATTATACGCTAATTCATCATTTAATATATTTTTCAGTAACTTGCCAGTTGGGAGAGTTCATGTGCAACAATAGAAAGTGTGTGCCCTTGAATGTAACTTGTGATGGAGACTTTGACTGTGCTGATGGTTCAGATGAGAGTTTGAAAAAGTGTTCTGCCTCTTTGCCTAATGGTGCCATGGCCTGCCCAAGTAGTCATGTTGTGTGTGCTGTTAATTCTCTGAATCTTGAGCCTATATGCATCCCAAGGAATGCTGTGTAAGTTATCACTGTCCTAATTATATTGTAAGGGAAAATTCAGAGCATACTATTACACTTAAAATTAAGAAGCAGAAAAAGAACTTATCTTCGACGAATTATCAGCCCTAATGTTCTTAATTTATGGAAGCACCTTGCAAAGAATAACTAAACGTTTCAAACATCTGTTAATAATCGGCACTAAATCATTTCGTAAGCTTGACTTTTTAGAGGGCAAATTTGCATCACTCGGAAAATGGCCTCATACCGCCAAAAAACAAAAAAAATTAAATATGCAAATATATTACTACAGTAAAACCTCTAACAGACCTCCATTAAGAGGATTTTTGGTAATTCTTCTTTCAACAAACTGGCCACATCCCACCAAGGCATGGTGATTATGAAAAAATAATTGGATAGATATTAGAAGCATCAGACAGTGAAAAAGAATCTGGAGTTCTGGATTTTGTCCATAGCAATAGTAACCAATTGTCTTCTGATTTGTTGTACCAAATCCAATGACTTCATTTGTCTAGTATGAGCCAGAGCTGCCACATCCAGGACCTGTCAATCTGTCTGTTATCATTGTTCACTGAGCCATTGGCTGCCTGCTCCAGTTCGTGCTCACTCGTGCATACACTCATTATTCAGTCTCTAGTTTTTCCTGGATTTAGTGTTTTCTGTGACTTTATTAACAGTAAAGTGCAATTAACAATGGCCTTTAAAACAACTGGTGGTACCAAGAGGAAATGTGATTCTGTGTTAAGCTGAAGCTTGAACTAATAACCTTAAAGGTTGAGTCTGGCATCTCTGTGGCACATAGATATACGAGTAATATAATGTTAAGAAATAGTGTCTAATATCCATAGCATCAAGGACAAACTTAGACTATGCTCTTAGTTTATGGTAGATGCTAGTCATTTCCTCTTCTCAGCCATCTACATTTTCACAAGTAGAGTTTAACTCCTCTGACTCAGAATAAAAGTTGAGTCACCACTATCAATCATGGAAATTTATGCCTTCTCTCTCCACCACAAAAAGGTAAATAATATTACTGTAAATTATGTACAGTCTTGTAAAATTACTATACGGTACTATACTGTAACATGTTAAAATGCCCTTATTCTTAATGTTCACTTGTCTTCTGAATCAGCAGACCAAGTCCACTGATTCAAAACTTTGTTCATTTGTTAGTCATTAAAAAAATTAATTTCATAATTCAAAATTTTTACAGTTGGCAATATCACATGCTTCCTCTTCCTTATTAGTCTAATTTGAGTATTCACTGTACTATATATATATGGTATTTACTAAAATACTCTTGTTATACTCGTGTTACTTGATAACTTTAATTTGCATTTGCCTCATGTTTCTTGTCTGGACTATATTTATCAACTAATTTTGAATGACTATTCCTTGCAAGGTTTTATTGTCATATCTAACCCATGGGATGATTTTATTGGCTCTTTGCTTGTGTTTGAAATACAGTACTATGGAAACCACATACATTTATTCATACAGAGTTTTGACTACAAATAATCTTACTGTGTGATCTGGCACGTTACAAGGAAAATTTCCTGGAAAATGGCTGATGACCTTGATTGTAGCATTTCATTTATTTTTCCAGTTTAAGGCAATATTAAGGCTTTTATATTAATATGGAAATAATGGTATAGTGTAGTTTGATTTTTTCTATATAAATTGCTACTCACAGATGCAATGGTAAACAAGACTGCCCTCAAGGTGATGATGAAGACTGCACTTGTTTGGAATATGAATTTCACTGTAGCAGTACAGATCGTTGTATCCCTCTGAGGTGAGTAAAAGGCTTAAGAACAATTCTTACTGTCAAAAGAAAGGATTATTTCAGTTCAAACTTTAAAATAAATTTGAGGTTTACTGAACATACTAGACTGAAGTTTCACTTTTTAAAGTACTGGGTAATAAGACTGAAGTGGAAGGAATAGTGGGTTTAGAAGAGGCTCTTATGTAAAGGTCTTATAATTTTGTTAAGTTATTGCATATTTACTGCTCTGCTATCTATGAAAGGAAACAGTATCTACTGTATATTAGAACAGATATACACTTAGTGGCCACTTTATTAGATATACCTGTATACCTGCTTATTAATACAAATATCTAATCAGTGAATCATGTGGCAGCACCTTAATGCCTAAAAGTATGTGGACATGGTCAAGAGGTTCAATTGTTGTTCAAACCAAATATAAGAATGGGGAAGAAATGTGATCTAAGTGACTTTGACTGTGGAATGATTGTTGGTGCCAGATGGGGTGGTTTGAGTATCTTAGAAACTGCTGATGTCCTGGTAATTTCACACACACGTCTCTAGAGCTTAGAGTATGGTGTGAAAAATACACAGCATCCAGTGAGTAGCAGTTCTATGGATAGAAATACTCTGTTAATGAGAGGTCAGAGGAGAATGGCCAGATTGATTCAAGCTGACAGGAAGGTGACAGTAACTCAAATAACCATGTGTTACAACAAGGTATGTAGAAGAGCATCTTTGAACTCACAACACATGAAACCTTCAAGTGAATGGACTACAGCAGCAGAAAACCACAATGGGTTTCACTCCTGTCAGCTAAGAACGAAAATGAGGCTACAGAACTGGACAATTGAAATTTGAAAAAAACATCACCTGGTTTGACGAATTGCAATTTCTGCCATAACATACAAATGGTAGGGTCAGAATTTGGCATAAACAACATAAATCAATGGATCCATCTTACCTTCTATCCGTGGTTCAGGCTTGTGCTGGTGATGTAATGGTATCGGGTATGTTGTCCTGGCAAACATTAGGCCCCATAATACCAGCTGAGCATTGTTTAAATGCCACAGACTACCTAAGTATTGTTGCTGACCATGTGCATCCCTTTATGGCCAGTCTACCCTTCTTCTAATGGCTACATCCAGCAGGATAACTTGCTGTGCCACAAAACATATGTCATCTCAAGCTGGTTCCATGAACATGACTGTGAGTTCAATGTACTCTGTTGGCCTCCACAGTCACCAGATGGGATGTGTAGAACAGGAGATTCAAAGCATGAATGTGCCGCCAACAGATCTGCAGGAATTGCATAATGTTATCGTGTCAACGTGGACCAGAATCTTTAAGGAATGTTTCCAGCACCTTGAATCCATTCCATGAATTCAGGCTGTTCTGGGGGCAAAAGGAGCCCTACCCAGTACTAGAATGGTGTGCCTAATTAAGTGGTCACTGAGAGTAGATACTGTACTTTATGGCAACTACAGTTAAAAATAGTCTTGAATATTTATTCATATTTTGGTTGCAATGAAATTCTTAAATGTCTGAATAACATAATTATCTGTCATATTGTACAGAAGACTTTTGAGTGTAATGTGATATTGAGCAGGTGGGTGTGTGATGGTGTAGAGGACTGCCAGGATGGCTCAGATGAAGGTTCTGATGTCGGCTGTACAGCAACACTCGACACAACTGTACTAAGTGACAACCATTTGAATAAGGGTATGTTACTCTACTTGCTACTTCTCCTTACACTTAGGTCACACTACACATACACAGGCATATATATACACACACCCCTCTGAATTTTCTTCTATCTTGTTACTAGTTCTTGTTCCTGTTTATTTCCACCTATCGTAATGGAGAAGTGAAACCGGTTTCTTCCTCCGTAAGCCATGCATGTCATAAGAGGTGACGAAAATGTTAGGAGCAAGGGGCTAGTAACCCCTTTTCATGAATATATTGCTAAATTTAAAAGGAGAAACTTTTGTTTTTCCTTTTGGGCCACCCCGCCTCGGTGGGATATGGCCAGTTTGTTGAATGATGATGATGTAGGCAGAACTTGCTTAAATTATGAACAGATAAATTTTTCTGGTTAGATGTTTATGTGGAAACTTACCTAAATTATATACCTATACTGTATTTGAATGATATATTATGCAGTCTAATAAGTTAGTGGCAGCATTCTAGCAAGTTATTTATGTTTGGTTATAAAATTTGATTTTGGTCAGGTGAAACAAATGCAGAAAAGCTCTGTGGAAAGCAGCAGTATCTTTGTGGAGTTGGAGACTGTGTGGATGAGAAAAAACTTTGTGATGGTACTGCTGACTGCCTGGATGGCTCCGATGAGGGAAGCTGGTGTGGCAAGTATTATAGCTATTATTATTTTGTGTGTTGACCATTGCCAGTTTTAACTTGATGTTCCTGTGATGTACAAGGATGGCTTCAAGTGTTGTATTGAAGTTATAGTATTTTGCAGGATAGTTTCCACAGTTTTCCATTATATTCACTGCTGATTTATATGCCATGTTTGTCTAATATTTGTCGCTTTTCACACACGTGTGCATTAAAACCATCCAGTTAATAGATTCCTCCCTCTCCTTGGCTTCAGCTGTACATTCAGTAGACATAAAACAGTGTGATGTCATGTAGTTCTGAAAGACTGCTATTGAATGACTGATGGTGAATATTTCCTCCTTTGTGTCCACCCATTCCTTACCAAGGTAGGTTATGTGATAAAAAGGAAGTACGTAATCTTTTGATGGATTTCTAGTTATGAACAGTTCCAGATAATGAATTTGTGAACTGATCTTCACATTCAACCTATCTGTAATGTTATGAATAAAAAGAAGCTGGATGTCCTGGCTCTGAGTGGAACAAAGCTGAAAGGGAAAGAGTTTCACTGGGGAGATATAAATAGAATTAGGTCAGGGGGTTTTCATTAGAGTTAGAGGTAAGGCAGGAGTAGCAATAATGTTGAAGGATCAGAGGAGGAGAGAGGAGAGAGATTTTGGGAGATGTTGAGTAAGTGTGTGGGGAGTTATAAACCAAGTGTGAGAGTACTTGTGGTGAGGGACCTAAATGCTAAAGTGGGTAAAACTGTTGTGGAGGGAATAATAGATAAGTTTGGGTTCCAGGGGTAAATGAAAATGGCAGGGGGGGGGGCCTTTAATTGAACTACGTATAGAAAGAGGTTTGGTAATAAGTAATACATATTTTAAGAAAGAGAGAATAAATAAGTAAACATGACATGATATAGTGTGTAATGAAAGTAGTTTGTTGGATTATGTATTGGTGGATAAAAGGTTGATGGGTAGACTTCAGGATGTGGATGTTCATATAGGGGCAACAGATATATTAGATCATTAATTAGTTGTAGCTACAGTTAGAGTAAGAGATAGATGGGGTAAAAGGAAAATGGCAACAGCAAGTAAGATATGTAAAAGTTTATAAACTAAGGGAGGAGGAAGTTAGGGTGAGATAAAAGCAACTTTTGGGAGAAAGGTGAGTTAGTGAGAGTATAGGTAGTGTGGGGGTTGAAGAAGGGTGGGATAGTTTTAGAAATTGTTAGAATGCGAAGGAGAAATTCGTGGATATAGGAGGGTGGGTGCAGGAGGAAAGAGGAATGATTGGTGGAATGAGGTAGAGAGTTGGATACGTGAGAAAAAGTTCACTTATGAGAGGTTTTTACAAGTAATGATGCATTTCCCTTTTTTTCCTCAATAATTAAATCTGTCCACAGCTGCATTAATACACCATACACTATCCTTTTTTTCCTATTTTTATGGTTCTCCTCTTTTTCACCAATCCATCTGCTGACATGTCCACTCTTTACTCTTATATAAGTATTGTTTACTTTAATGATTGAATACAATGTGTCTACCCAACCTCCATGGGGAAGTGGAACAGAATTCTTCCTCCGTAAGCCATGCGTGTTGTAAGAGGCGACTAAAATGCCGGGAGCAAGGGGCTAGTAACCCCTTCTCCTGTATATATTACTAAATTTAAAAAGAGAAACTTTAGTTTTTTCTTTTGGGCCACCCCGCCTCGGTGGGATACGGCTGGTATGTTGAAAGAAAAAGTGTCTACCCAACCCCCACCCTTCCTAACTGCTCCTTGTTCTTTTGCAATCCTACTTTCTTACTCTTACCCTTTCAGTAATAGTTCTACCTCTCACCCTTGCTCTTGCTCTCTCTTGTTCTCATCCCTATTTTCCTTGCACAGAAAGACTTTGCATTCTTTTTGCCAATCCTTATGAACTATGCCTTCTTTAATGCATATACAGTATTAAACAAATACTCTAGCCACACCTAAACTATATCTCCACCTGCATTTAACATCTATATTAATCTCATCTCTCCCAGCTGCTTTACCTTTTTCATTGTATTCACTGCTTCACATACACCACATTCACCTCTGGCTCTTTCTTACTTCTATGAGATGTTATTCCTAGTTCTCCAATGACTGGAATCACTGCCTCCATTTCATCATCAACATTGAATGGCTCCTCAAAATATACTCTGCATCTTCACAGTACCTCCACTTCTGTCTAACATCTCCCTTCTTTCATTTCTACCTTCAAAGTCAGTTTACTCCCTAAGCTTTCTCAGTTATTAATACATGTATATATAATTGTCTTATTTTCAGCAAAATTTGCTGATAAAAACATGTGTATTCCCTCACTGGTTCTCCTTTTGAACTCTTATCACTATTTTAACTTCTGTGATGTGAATATTATGCAGAGAAATAACAATGAAGAAATTAGTAGTGGTATGAAAGGTGCAATTTTGAGAGCAAAATAGGTGTTGAGGTGTTTGTGTAGAATGAATGGTGCAGAACAGGTTAATGTAAGAGGATGTAGTATAACTCTAGAGTGGTATTGAGAGGTAGGGTCATAAGAAGCTGGAGCATCCAGTTAGCATATGAAAGATTCGGGTAAGCTGAGGCAGATGGTCAGTATGATTTGAGGTGCTGCTAATATTATAAAGTGACTAGGTAACTGACAGGCTTATTTGAGATTTGAAAGTGAAAAGGCAGTACTACTTGCATTTTAATGGGTGTAGTAATGTTGCAGTTTAAGTAGATCAACATTAAATGGCAGTGCTTATTTCCTCCTGAAAAGATTTCTATAGGTCACCCTGCTATGGTGGAAGATAACCAGTGGGTGCATACAAAAAAAAAAATTCTCTTGAAATTCTTCTTGGTTTTAGCAGTTTACTCTTGGACTGTCCTTCACTTGTTGCCCATCTTCCTTTTCTAAAACTATTTGATTCACTCTTGTTTGTCATCAGATGTTGGCTATAATGCTGGTCTGTTAAAACAGGAAGCTGCAGAAACAATGGAGGTTGTCAGCACAAATGTCACCCTGGTGTCATGGGTCCTCACTGCTCCTGTCACCCAGGCTACATACTTGCTGCCAATGGTGCTGATTGCCTGGTAATAACCATTTTGTCTTATTCAGAGTGTGTAAGTTAAATTAGTTGAAGGTTTCCTGGCCAAACATAAAGATGAACTTGTAAATAACTTGATTTTCAGAAAAACCTTTTAACAAGTAGATACTAATGCCGGACCCCCCCCCCCAGTACCAACAATACCACCAGTCCGATGACATTCTTCTTTGCAAATATACAGGGTCTAAAGCCAGCAACAAACAACAAAATGCCTTTCATCCGTGGACTGCTTGCAGAGGCAAAGGCAATGTTTGCGGCTTTCACCGAGACCCACATAAGGATCACTTGAACAACGAAATATGGATCCCAGGTTACAACCTATACAGATGCGACAGAGTGAACAGGCAAAAGGATGGGGGGGTTGGCCTGTACATTGCAGTGTCACTTGTGTGCACAGAACTGCTGAATGCCTCAAATGATGTAGTGGAAGTTTAAGCAGTAAAGATCGAGAACCAAAACCTAGTCATTGTGGTAGTCTACAAGCCTCCGGATGCAACATCCCAGCAATTCCAGGAACAGCTGTTAAAAATTGACCACTGTCTGGAAAATCTGCCAGCTCCTGCACCCAACATCTTGCTCCTTGGGGATTTCAATTTAAGGCACCTAAAATGGAGGAATACAGCAAATAATATTGTTGCAGTAATAACACCAGGAGGCAGCTCTGATGAAAACTCACACTCACACGAGCTTTTAAATCTCTGCACAAAATTCAATTTAAACCAGCAAATAATAGAGCCTACTAGACTGGAGAATACACTAGACCTTATCTTCACTAACAATGATGATCTGATACGAAATGTCACCATATCAAAAACAATATACTCAGATCACAACATAATTGAGGTTCAGACATGTATGCACGGAGCCCCAGACCGACATAATGAGATTAGTCACGAGGGAGCATTCACCAAATTCAACTTCAATAACAAAAACATAGTGGGACCAAGTAAACCAAATCCTAACTGATATAAGCTGGGAAGATATACTAAGCAACACAGACCCCCAACTTATGCCTAGAACAGATTAACTTGGTGGCGCTCGATGTATGCACAAGGCTTATTCCTCTTAAGAAAAAGGAGTAGTAGATGTAAAATAGAAAGGGACAGGCGCTCCCTTTACATGCAACGGAAAAGAATAACAGAGCGGCTAAAAGAGGTCAATACATCTGAAAGGCGCAGGGAGACACTGGTCAGAGAAACAGCAAGCATCGAACTTAAGCTAAAGGAATCTTATAGGAGTCAGGAATCGTGGGAAGAACTAAAAACCATAAATGAAATCGAAAGAAACCCAAAGTATTTCTTCTATGCCAAATCAAAGTCGAGAACAACGTCCAGTATTGGGCCCCTACTTAAACAAGATGGGTCCTACACAGATGACAGCAAGGAAATGAGTGAGCTACTCAAGTCCCAGTATGACTCAGTTTTTAGCAAGCCGTTAACCAGACTGAGAGTCGAAGATCAAAATTAATTTTTTATGAGAGCCACAGAATTTGGTAAACACAAGCCTATCTGATGTTATCCTGATGCCAAATGACTTCGAACAGGCGATAAATGACATGCCCATGCACTCTGCCCCAGGGCCAGACTCGTGGAACTCCGTGTTCATCAAGAACTGCAAGAAGCCCCTATCACGAGCTTATACCATCCTATGGAGAGGGAGCATGGACACGGGGGTCATCCCACAGTTACTAAAAGCAACAGACATAGCCCCACTCCACAAAGGGGGCAGTAAAGCAACAGCAAAGAACTACAGACCGATAGCACTAACATCCCATATCATAAAAATCTTTGAAAGGGTCCTAAGAAGCAAGATCACCACCCATCTAGAAACCCATCAATTACACAACCCAGGGCAACATGGGTTTAGAATAGGTCGCTCCTGTCTGTCTCAACTATTGGATCACTATGACAAGGTCCTAGATGCACTAGAAGACAAAAAGAATGCAGAAGTAATAGATACAGACTTTGCAAAAGCCTTCAACAAGTGTGACCAGGGCGTAATAGCGCACAAAATGCATGCTAAAGGAATAACTGGAAAAGTCAGTCGATGGATCTATAATTTCCTCACTAACAGAACACAGAGTAGTAGTAGTCAACAGAGTAAAGTCCGAGGCAGCTACGGTGAAAAGCTCTGTTCCACAAGGCACAGTACTTGCTCCCATCTTGTTCCTCATCCTCATATCTGGCATAGACAAGGATGTCAGCCACAGCACCATGTCTTCCTTTGCAGATGACACTCGAACCTGCATGACAGTGTCTTCCATTGCAGACACTGCAAGGCTCCAGGCAGACATCAACCAAATCTTTCAGTGGGCTGCAGAAAACAATATGAAGTTTAACGATGAGAAATTTCAATTACTCAGATATGGCAAACACGAGGAAATTAAATCTTCATCAGAGTACAAAACAAATTCTGGCCATAAAATAGAGCGGAACACCAACGTCAAAGACCTGGGAGTGATCATGTCGGAGGATCTCGCCTTCAAGGACCATAACATTGTATCAATCGCATCTGCTAGAAAAATGACAGGATGGATAATGCGAACCTTCAAAACTAGGGATGCCAAGCCCATGATGACACTCTTCAGGTCACTTGTTCTATCTAGGCTGGAATATTGCTGCACACTAACAGCACCTTTCAAGGCAGGTGAAATTGCTGACCTAGAAAATGTACAGAGAACCTTCACGGCGCGCATAAGTGAGATTAAACGCCTCAATTACTGGGAACGCTTGAGGTTCCTGAACCTGTATTCCCTGGAACACAGGCGGTAGAGATACATGATTATATACACCTGGAAAATCCTAGAGGGACTAGTACCGAACTTGCACACGAAAATCACTCGCTATGAAAGCAAAAGACTTGGCAGACGATGCAACATCCCCCCAATGAAAAGCAGGGGTGTCACTAGCACGTTAAGAGACCATACAATAAGTGTCAGGGGCCCGAGACTGTTCAACTGCCTCCCAGCATACATAAGGGGGATTACCAACAGACCCCTGGCAGTCTTCAAGCTGGCACTGGACAAGCACCTAAAGTCGGTTCCTGACCAGCCGGGCTGTGGCTCGTACGTTGGTTTGCGTGCAGCTAACAGTAACAGCCTGGTTGATCAGGCTCTGATCCACCAGGAGGCCTGGTCACAGACTGGGCCGCAGGGGCGTTGACCTCCGGAACTCTCTCCAGGTAAACTCCAGGTAAAAATGTCTAGTAATTAGCCTTTTCTTTTATCATTCACTGTATTATACAGCCTTAGCACTGGTGTTGTATTCTTGCACTTGAGAAAGAAATTAAACCAAATTAATACAATATTAGAAAATGTTTCTTCAAAATTCATGGTAGACTGTTGGACTGGTGTCCAAGATGTGGCCGAACACTGCCTAAAACTATTATCTTTTTCCCTCTTCCATTTCTGCCAAGGTAATTGTATACTTTTTACATATTCTTCAATAAGGTCACCATAAAAAGAGTGCACTTGCAATTTAACCCAAATGGGTAAAGTTCTAAAAGTCTTAAGTGTAATAAATATATTGTACTGTAATTGTATATTATATAGTATAAATTACAATCTCTCTGCAGACTGATGGTAAAACTACTGCAGTTAAAGATTAAAAGTGGAGTGGTAGCAGCAGTGGTACTACTAGTGGTGGTGGTGGTGTAGTAGTAGTAGTACTAGTGGTGATGGTGGTGGTAGTAGTAGTCGTCTTGTATTCAAGAGGGAGTGCTAAAGGTCATACAGTGGCTGGGAAATGGAAGCTAATCAGGTTTATTTCAAGATGTGGATTCTATATACAGTAATTTATTTGTACTTGACAAATTTGTCATTCACAACCTCTCTCATTGTACTTGTAATTGTAGTGATTTACACAAGATGAACTGATACTCAATGTCCTGCATGTTATGTTAGGTCTAGATTAAAATAGTATGTAAGACTTATGATTAATTTGGCCTAAATACTATACATAATTAGTTGCTTTTTTTTTCAAGGCCTATATTTGTATCAGATTATGTATAAAATTACATATATCTGCTGTAACTTAATGGCTCATAAGAAATAAAAAAAAAATATTTTAAATTTAAGAAAGGAAATGGTAGTATCAATTTGTGTTATCAAGAGTCTTTCACCAGCCTCAAAGGTGTTTTCTCTTAAGACCTACAGACTATTCAGGTTGTTGTCTTTGAACAATGATCTTGGTTATAAATATTTAACAGTAGCTTTGCTCTAATTTAGTTTTTGTTATTGTGAAATTATCAGGCTGTGTACATATTAAAGAAGGTTTAAATGTGCTTCTGGCAGGACGTAAAGGAATGTGAAGAAGAAGCCACTTGTAGCCATTACTGTCATGAGCTGAAGGGTTCACATTATTGCTCCTGCATGCCTGGATATGAATTGCGACCTGATGGCAGAACCTGCAAACCTGAAGGTATGCTGTCTGAATCTTAAATAAATAGAGAAATCATAGTCAAACCATAGTATGGGTGGGGATTGAACTCGCAGCAAGTGAGTTGTAAAGCTCCAGGCCAGTGCATAAGCCACTGGGCCAGCTGGCTACAATAAGATTCAACCAACTAGGTACTATATTTATACATCATAGGAAGGTTAGCATGTGCCCCACTGTGACCACACATGCAAAGTTTTTACAGATGAATCTACCACCACCATGGCTGTCACGACCATACCGGCAGGAGTGCGACCCATGCTAACCTTCCTATGATGTATAAATATACCTAGCTGGATGAATCTTATTGCAGCCAGCTGGCCCAGTGGCTTAGGTGCTGGCCTGGAGTTTTAAGACTCGCCACAAGTTCAATCCCCACCCGTACCATGGTTTGTTTGCAATTGTCATTATGATTTCGTAAGTCAAATTATAGTCCTATTGCCATATTCCAAAATTTGTAATAGTTATTTAAAGTGGAATAATATAACTAGGAAATATTAATAATGTTTGGTACTCAGCAGCAGAGAATCCATCCATGGAATTGTACTTTGGCTCTTATAATATTAATGCATATAGGTACTGTGAAATTCTGTTATAATGGAATGGGTTAGGACCAAGTGTGATCGTAGATTTCCATTTTTTTGTGGCGGGGAGAGGAGAAATTAAAAATAGCAATCATAATATGTAAAAAAAAAAAAAAGTTGCTGAATCTGTACTTCAATACTTTAAATCTGCTACCAAAGTAATTATTGATGGATGATGTCATGAGCTGTGTTAGCCAAGACCAGCATCTTAGCATCCTCACCACTTGTTAAATGATGATCATCATCCAGGCCTGGGTGTTGGGGTTGATGTTGATGGCTGACATCTCAGATCCTGTAAATGGTTCTAACAAGAGCAATATTTATATGCATATGGTTATGAAATTTATATAAGAGGAAACTTTCTAAATCAGGTATGATATTGTATATGGTACTGTGTTTGTTATACACTTATTTATAAACAGGATTAATAAATCTTTGCATTGTGATTTTAGACTAGATATAGTACATTATAATGCTTGATATAAGCATAGATATTTTAAAAAGTAGGTATTCACTGTGTGTGTTTGATTGCTTTTTAAATTTATAATGTTTGTTAAATACATATATAATCTGAAGCTGGTGAGGAGGTGGTGGTGGTTGTGCAGCCTGGTCTCTTGATGATCTTAAGCCACAATTACCAAATCCTGCACAAGGTGAAGATACCACAATGGATGAACATAGACTCACTAGAGCACAATCCTCTTGGCAATAACTTCCTCTTTACAGACAGTAAGTGGCTTTGGAGTAATCTTTGAAATTATAGGTGTCTCTTATTTAAGTAGTTCCAATCACAACCAAAAAGACTTGGGCTCAAATCCTAGGAAGACAAGATACAAGTTAAATCACCTTACACATTTTGGCTGCCCATGTTCATCTAGCAATAAATAAGTACCTAGAAGTTGGTTCATTATTATGGATTGCATCCTAGGAAAGAAAACTAGACTACTCCAACAATAAATAAGCCACCCTACTTGGCTTTCTTTGATTATACAGCCATACCCCGCTTTATGCTATTTCGGCGTATGTCAAGTTCACCTCTGTGCCACTTTTCTAGAGTAAAATCAGTTCAGCAAATATCATTACATCTGACCTTGTCACTCAACAATGTCACCTACGTCATAATACAGTGGACCCCCGCTTAACGATCACCTCCCAATGCGACCAGTTATGTAAGTGTATTTATGTAAGTGCGTTTGTATGTGTGTGTTTCGGGGTCTGAAATGGACTAATCTACTTCACAATATTCCTTATGGGAACAAATTCGGTCAGTACTGGCACCTGAACATACTTCTGGAATGAAAAAATATCGTTAACTGGGGTTCCACTGTATTTTTGTATTCATTATTATTTAAAAATATTATTAAAATTGTTTAGGGATTGGTACCAAACCTGCACATGAAAATCACTCCCTATGAAAGCAAAAGACTCGGCAGAAGATGCAACATTCCCCCAATGAAAAGCAGGGGTGCAACGAGTACATTGAGAGAAAACACAATGTGTCCAGGGTCCAAGACTGTTCAACTGCCTCCCAGCCTACGTAAGGGGGATTACCAATAGACCCCTGGCTGTTTTTAAGAAGGCACTGGACAGGCACCTAAAGTCAGTACCTGACCAACCGGGCTGTGGTTCATATGTCAGCTTGCATGCAGCCAGTAGTAACAGCCTGGTTGATCAGACCCTGATCCACCGTGAGGCCTGGTCTCAGACAGAGCCGCGGGGGCGTTGACCCTCGAAACCCTCTCCAGGTTATTTATGCTAGTTTTATGGTGTTTGTTGTCATTTAAGGCATTATGTCCAGTTTACTTCAAAACTGGGTTACATCACTGCTCTTGGAACCAATGACGTAGGGCAGGGTATGACTGTACTTGGTTATTAATCCTGTGAGATTAATACTGTAATCCAAAGAAGCCTTCCTTGTTTCTCGTATCCTTCATGTGCTCACTAAACCATATGGATAGTCACCACTATTGTTCTTGCAGTCCAAGTGCTTCCTCATTACCTGGATAAACCACTAATTTTTTTTTTTTTCTCAAGCTGTCAAAGCCAAAACTATAACAAAAACTTAGTTTTAATCTCTTAATAATGTCAAGTAAATTTGGGGTAGCTTGTACAAGCCACATAAACACCATATTAACCATTTCCCATCAAAGTAGGGCATCTCAAAGAAACACATTTACAGAGCAGTAGTTTAATGAGGCCTTTTGTCTGAGGAACAGGCTCTTCTCTTCCACAGGTGGAATGCCTCGATAAAGTTTGTCTATACAAATTATCTCTTTCCACTTGTCAGCTTTTGCCATTACTCTTCAATCGCATTCATTGGTATTTATTAGCAGTCTTGTCAGAGGTGAATGGACATCACAGTTGAAATGATCCTCTGAACTGCAACATGTCCACCCATCCTTCAAGGTGCAAGCACTGTACTTCCCACTTCCAGAATGCAAGTCCAGCTGTCTTACATGTTATAGGTGACTTAAAACACCTGGAGTAATTGACTGCTTACTCCTCCTTTTGCTTGTAATAACAAAAAAGTAAATTACTTAGTTGGATTACTAGTCGATGCAGTATGGCTGTTAATAACCAATGTCTTAGTACTCTGTGGAAGACTGCCAAAAGTGCCTGCAAAGAGTAGAAAGAATTAAGTCAAAAGTATGAGAGAACGAGCAATTGTGAAAGGAAAAAAATTGATATTATGTTTGAGAAGTTTGTAGTCTAGAATAAAAATGGAATATAAAAAGATAGTACTGTAATGATGTTATGCATTCGAAAGTATGAGCAGTGTAGTGGAGAATGAACATACTCTGAGAGGTGTTCAGTAAATGCTTAGAGAATTCAGTCAAGTGAGAGAATAGTTATCCTTTTCCATTTGTAGTTTTACTATTCATAGTTTATAGGAAGCAAATTTCCAATTGACATCTCAAGCAGTAGATTAATTGCAGTTGAAAACAGTTCCTGCAGGCAGTAGTCAAAAATAAGAGGCACATAATGAGTCCAGGGACTGGTATTGTAAATGTTGTAAGGGATTTTTACTGATGTAACTTTGTCCATAGTCTCCCAGTTCCTGGACCTATTATGTGCCTTGGTCTTCTTTTGACTCCTGTCCATTTGATTGGTATGGAGTGTATAGTAATTCTACCAAATCATTTATTATTCAAAATTTATTACTTGCCTAGCAAATGTATTTTAAAGACTAATGGTAGCACTATAATTGTTTAATATCCAAACTATAAATATAATTGGTTAGAGAAAAACTTCGAACAATGTCTTCTCTATCAATGTCCAACTAAAAAAAATTTTGTGGCAGCATCACAAGGTGTTATAGGAACCATAGATCTGCAGCCTGGAAGTAATAGCATCTTCAATCACAAGATTCTCATAAGCAATAGAAGGAAGCCCCAGGGACTTTCATTTGATCCCACAACACAAAATATTTATTTCTCTGAATCCTTCCCTGGTCAGCAGCCTCTCATCCCACAGGATGGTGCCAAACTTGTGAAGATAGGCGAACAGACAGATTTAAAGACAGTTTATTCATTCATATTAGTAAGTAATTAACTTCATTTTTTCATTAGTACTGTATTAGAAATAAAATTAAGCAAAAAAAATGATAGGTTGATTTTTCCCATATAAATTCTTCATCTGATTGTAAATGTACAGTGGACCCCCGGTTATTGGCTGGTTTGGTTATCGGCGGGTTTTTTGGCGCCCAGTTATCGGCTGGTTTGGTTATCGGCCAACTCGGTTATTCGGCGCCCGGTTATTGGCTGTTCGCTCGGTTATCAGCCATTTTGGACGTGTCCATCCGCCTGCTGGTGCAGCTTGCGCTTCAGTTTGGCTGTCTCTCTCGGTGGCTGAGGAAGCTTCTGCTCATACATCCAAACATTTCGCTTGTTTACCATTGTTTTTAGTGGTTTTTCTTGCAGTGCAACTGTGAAATAAGTAAAGATGGCTCCAAAGAAAGTTCCTAGTAAAGTTCCTGTGGTAAAGAAAGTGAGAAACACCATGGAATTTAAGCGTGAAGTGATAGAAAAGTTTGAGAGTGGTATGAAGGTGATGGAACTTGCCAGGATGTACAGCAAGAATAAATCAACAATTACATCCATCCTGGCAAAGAAAGAAATCAAAGATGCTAATGTTGCAAAAGGAGTAACTTCTCTAACTAAACAAAGGCCACCAATAATGGAAGAGATGGAAAAGTTATTATTGTAGATTAAGGAAAAAGAATTAGTGGGAGATGGTGGTGTGGAGTCTATCATTTGGGAGAAGGCAGAGCAGTTGCATGAGGATCTTGCAAAGAAAATGCCTGGAACAAGTGCTGCAGTTTGTGAATTTAGGGCCAGCAAAGGATGGTTTGATAGATTTAAGAAGCATAGGGGCACACAGTGTTGTAAGGCATGGTGAGGCTGTAAGTTCTGACAAATGTGCAGCTGAAAAGTACGTTCATGAATTCCAGGACTATGTAAAGGCTGAAGGATTCGAACCCCAACAAGTGTTCAATTATGACGAAACGGGCCTGTTTTGGAAGAAAATGCCAAACGGGACCTACATTACCCAGGAGGAAAAGGCACTGCCAGGACACAAGCCTGTGAAAGACAGGCTTACTCTTTTGTTGTGTGGTAATGATAGTGGGGATTTCAAAGTGAAGCCTTTACTCGTGTATCACTCAGAAAATCCCAGCGTGTTCTAGAAAAACAATGTCATGAAGAATAGATTGTGTGTGATGTGGAAAGCTAATCATAAGGCATGGGTCACAAGGCAAATTTTCAAAGAGTGGGTTAATGATGTGTTTGGCCCAAGTGTGAAAAAATACCTCCTGGAAAAGAAATTGCCACTAGAGTGCCTCCTGGTACTGGACAATGCTCGTGCACATCCTCCAGACTTACAAGACCAAGTGTTTAGGGACTTAAGTTTAATCACAGTGAAGTTCTTGCCTCCTAACACCACTCCTCTCCACCAGCCCATGGACCAGCAGGTCATTTCTAACTTCAAAAAACTCTACACACAAGCAGTGTTTCAGAAGTGCTTTGAAGTGACCTCGGACACTTGGTTGACCCTAAGAGATTTCTGGAGGAATCGCTTCACTATCCTCCATTGCATAAGCCTTATGGGTAAGGCTTGGGAGGGAGTGACTTCCAGGACTTTGAACTCTGCTTGGAGAAAACTGGCCAGATTGTGTCCAAGAGAGATTTTATAGAGTTTGAGGCTGACCCTGACCCTGCCAACCCTGTGGACTCTGTTGTGGTACTGGGGAAGTCCCTGGGGTTGGAGGTGAGTGGCGAGGATGTGGAAGAGTTGGTGGAGGACCACAGGGAAGAGCTAACCACTGAAGAGCTGCAAGAGCTTCATCTCGAACAGCAACAGACTGCAGCTGAGGAACTTGCTTCAGAGGAGGAGGAAGAGGGAGTGAAGGTGCCTTCTTCAGAGATTAAAGAGGTGTGTGCAATGTGGACTAGGGTGCAAGCTTTTGTAGAGAAACACCACCCTGACAAAGCTGAAACAAGCTGTATCTGCAACATGCTTAGTGACAAAACCCTGTCCCACTTCAGGGAAATCTTAGAGATGCCAGAAACAGAGCACTCTGGACTGTTATTTTGTGAGACAGGGGTCCAGTGACTCTCAAGCTGGTCATAGTGGCAATAAAAAACAGAGAAGGGAAGTAACCCCAGAGAAGGCTTTGCTACCTAAAGTCTTTATGGAGGGGAATTCCCCTTCCAAACACTAATTCCTCCCTATCTTCCAGAAGCCAGCATTAGCCTTCATTAAAGGTATGTAATACTTGCATAATTGTTAAAAAAAAAAAAATTTTGTGAATATTTTTGTTTGGAATGGATTAATTGTATTACCATTAATTCTTATGGGAAATATTAATTCGGTTATCGGCCGACCTTCTGGAATGAATTATGGCCGATAACTGGGGGTCCACTGCATCCTCACCGAACTTTGTATGGCAAATTAAACTAATTGTAATAGTTAATTTATTAAAATGGCTTTGCATTTGTGTATGAAAATGTAAAGAAATATATTATTTTTTATAATAGAACAGTTGAACTGCCGAGTGTTTTTTGATTAGCATCAAATTTGTTCTTGGTTAATTCTGTAGAAGCAGAGCAGTTGAACTTTGCTTTTTTTTATTGACTAGATTTGTAGTGTTGCAAATGGACTGTGTAGTGTGATCTACAGAGCTTATAATGAGGAGATTCCATCCATTAGTGTGGCCACCAGTGAACGTCTTCTCTTCTTCTGTACCAATTACCTGGGACATGAGGACCGATCAGAGATTTTAGTTACCTTTTTGGATGGTCAGAATAAAAAAGTGCTGTGGACAGGCAAGGTACAGAGCTGCGTTTTTTCCGTTTAATTTTTATTTGCCAAAATTGCATTTACTTTACTAACTGTATATAATTACCTAACTATTATACTAATATGCAGTAATAAATATTTAAATGTACTGCTCCATAACCTGTCAATATAGAATAGTAAGAATTAGAATTAATCTGCCCAAAATTCCTAGGCAAGCTAGTGGCTTTCTTTGTAATTAATATCTTATAAGATGTAAACCACACATTGTAAGCTTTGCAAGGAAATAAAAATTTTCGTTTTCTTTTTCATATTTGTACATAGTTATATTTTTCTATATATACAGTATTTAGTAACACCCGTATAAGTGGTTTACCTTTAGTTATAGTGTATGCTGGGCTTAATGAAGACATTGAAAATATTCATTTCAGTAGTCATATAAGTGTAATAGTTGCACACAAAATTACATATTGTGCTTGATCATAATACAATATAGATGAAATTTGATATACAATATAAGGCTTTTGAAAAAGCCACTAATTATGCAAATGTATTTTGGGCAAATTAGTCATAAAGCTTAGAAACTACTAAATTCTAGACCTAGAATAAAATTTAGTCATTATTGCATGGTAATACATTACAATCATAAGTACAATTGGACAGGTTGCAAATGAAGTGATGAGTGTCAAATAAATTACATTGAAATTAAATCAGCTCAATGACCTGCATATTATGAAGTGATTGAATTAGTGTGTTGAAACTAAAGCATAAGAATTAACACAGACAATGGCTGTAACATTTGTGAGAGGTTTAAAGTTTAATAGGTATTTTTTAACCAAGGCAAGTAAGTACACAGGATTATCACCCTACCTAGGTAAGTAATGCTTGTTGCCAGTTTAGTGGAGGCCATTTGGCTACCCTATATTTTTCACTATCCTCTATTGAGAGACTGAGCCTGCCAGTATCCTCAGGGGTGCAGACATGCTCATCTGCCATGCTGATGGTCTCTTTGTTGAGTGGTTAGGTTGTGACTGGTTCCCTCCAGTTAAGTGATATCTGCAACAACAATTACCATACATGCTTAATGTCAAAAGTCAGCATCAGTTTAATCAGTCATATGAGTAATGTTTTGTGAACCATAACATCAAATTGGTGAAGCCAAGTTAACATTTCCCATATTTTCAGGTTGTACGATGTGGATCAGTGGCAGTTGATGAAGTGAAGGAAAGAGTTTATTGGACAGATATTGCTCTTAACACTATTGAATCAGTCTCTTGGAAAGGAAACAAACACAGAATTGTCCAGGAAAATATGGCAAGTTTATTTAAATATTGTATAGCTTACACTGTAGTGTAAAGCACTCTTCTGGCAAGACAGTGATGGAGTGAATGATGGTGAAAGTTTTTCTTTTTCGGGGCACCCTGCCTTGGTGGGAATCGGCCAGTGTGATAATAAAAAATAATAAAAATATTACATATAATGTATATTTGTGTTCATATTTTAAGGGGTTATTGTCTCAAACCTCAGTTTTGATCTCAACCTATTCATTATTTTCAAAATAATGGCAAATCCATCATTGAAATCCATGAGTATTTTAATTAAATACTATAGAGATCTGAATAGTATGACCAAATACTGGTACAGTAGGAGCTGCATAAGAGAAATGAGTTGGTATCCAAAACACATTTCAGTGATGTAAATTATACTGATTTCACTTGGGATTAATTACAAAAAAATTAAGGAAGATTCCAGGACTTGAAAGGAAACTTTTTGCACTTTATTATATTTTTATTACATTCTCATATTGTCACATAATTTTTATCTTTATTTAATTTTTTAAATAAACATCCATGAATATGGATGAAGAAGAAACACTTTATAAAACTGGGATGCTTGAATGTGCGTGGATGTAGTGCGGATGACAAGAAACAGATGATTGCTGATGTTATGAATGAAAAGAAGTTGGATGTCCTGGCCCTAAGCAAAACAAAGCTGAAGGGGGTAGGGGAGTTTCGGTGGGGGGAAATAAATGGGATTAAATCTGGAGTATCTGAGAGAGTTAGAGCAAAGGAAGGGGTAGCAGTAATGTTGAAGGATCAGTTATGGAAGGAGAAAAGAGAATATGAATGTGTAAATTCAAGAATTATGTGGATTAAAGTAAAGGTTGGATGCGAAAAGTGGGTCATAATAAGCGTGTATGCACCTGGAGAAGAGAGGAATGTAGAGGAGAGAGAGAGATTTTGGGAGATGTTAAGTGAATGTATAGGAGCCTCTGAACCAAGTGAGAGAGTAATTGTGGTAGGGGACCTGAATGCTAAAGTAGGAGAAACTTTTAGAGAGGGTGTGGTAGGTAAGTTTGGGATGCCAGGTGTAAATGATAATGGGAGCCCTTTGATTGAACTTTGTATAGAAAGGGGTTTAGTTATAGGTAATACATATTTTAAGAAAGAGGATAAATAAGTATACAAGATATGATGTAGGGTGAAATGACAGTAGTTTGTTGGATTATGTATTGGTAGATAAAAGACTGTTGAGTAGACTTCAGGATGTACATGTTTATAGAGGGGCCACAGATATATCAGATCACTTTCTAGTTGTAGCTACACTGAGAGTAAAAGGTAGATGGGATACAAGGAGAATAGAAGCATCAGGGAAGAGAGATGTGAAGGTTTATAAACTAAAAGAGGAGGCAGTTAGGGTAAGATATAAACAGCTATTGGAGGATAGATGAGCTAATGAGAGCATAGGCAATGGGGTCGAAGAGGTATGGGGTAGGTTTAAAAATGTAGTGTTAGTGTTCAGCAGAAGTTTGTGGTTACAGGAAAGTGGGTGCGGGAGGGAAGAGGAGCGATTGGTGGAATGATGATGTAAAGAGAGTAGTAAGGGAGAAAAAGTTAGCATATGAGAAGTTTTTACAAAGTAGAAGTGATGCAAGGAGGGAAGAGTATATGGAGAAAAAGAGAGATGTTAAGAGAGTGGTGAAGCAATGTAAAAAGAGAGCAAATGAGAGAGTGGGTGAGATGTTATCAACAAATTTTGATGAAAATAAGAAAAAGATTTGGAGTGAGATTAACAAGTTAAGGAAGCCTAGAGAACAAATGGATTTGTCAGTTAAAAATAGGAGAGGAGAGTTATTAAATGGAGAGTTAGAGGTATTGGGAAGATGGAGGGAATATTTTGAGGAATTGTTAAATGTTGATGAAGATAGGGAAGCTGTGATTTCGTGTATAGGGCAAGGAGGAATAACATATTGTAGGAGTGAGGAAGAGCCAGTTGTGAGTGTGGGGGAAGTTCGTGAGGCAGTAGGTAAAATGAAAGGGGGTAAGGCAGCCGGGATTGATGGGATAAAGATAGAAATGTTAAAAGCAGGTGGGGATATAGTTTTGGAGTGGTTGGTGCAATTATTTAATAAATGCATAGAAGAGGGTAAGGTACCTAGGGATTCGCAGAGAGCATGCATAGTTCCTTTGTATAAAGGCAAAGGGGACAAAAGAGAGTGCAAAAATTATAGGGGGATAAGTCTGTTGAGTATACCTGGTAAAGTGTATGGCAGAGTTATTATAGAAAGAATTAAGAGTAAGACGGAGAATAGGATAGCAGATGAACAAGGAGGCTTTAGGAAAGGTGGGGGGGTGTTTACAGTGAAACATATAAGTGAACAGTATTTAGATAAGGCTAAAGAGGTCTTTGTGGCATTTATGGATTTGGAAAAGGCGTATGACAGGGTGGATAGGGGGGCAATGTGGCAGATGTTGCAGGTGTATGGTGTAGGAGGTAGGTTACTGAAAGCAGTGAAGAGTTTTTATGAGGATAGTGAGGCTCAAGTTAGAGTATGTAGGAAAGAGGGAAATTATTTCCCAGTAAAAATAGGCCTTAGACAAGGATGTGTGATGTCACCGTGGTTGTTTAATATATTTATAGATGGGGTTGTAAGAGAAGTAAATGCGAGGGGTCTTGGCAAGAGGCGTGGAGTTAAAAGATAAAGAATCACACATAAAGTGGGAGTTGTCACAGTTGCTCTTTGCTGATAATACTGCTCTTGGGAGATTCTGAAGAGAAGTTGCAGAGATTGGTGGATGGATTTGGTAGGGTGTGCAAAAGAAGAAAATTAAAAGTGAATACAGGAAAGAGTAAGGTTATGAGGATAACAAAAAGATTAGGTGATGAAAGATTGGATATCAGATTGGAGGGAGAGAGTATGGAGGAGGTGAATGGGTCTATGAAAGATGAGGTGAATCATAGAATCAATGAGGGGAAAAGGGTGAGTGGTGCACTTAGGAGTCTGTGGAGACAAAGAACTTTGTCCTTGGACGCAAAGAGGGGAATGTATGAGAGTATAGTTTTACCAACGCTCTTATATAGGTGTGAAGCATGGGTGATGAATGTTGCAGCGAGGAGAAGGCTGGAGGCAGTGGAGATGTCATGTCTGAAGGCAATGTGTGGTGTGAATATAATGCAGAGAATTCGTAGTTTGGAAGTTAGGAGGAGGTGAGGGATTACCAAAACTGTTGCCCAGAGGGCTGAGGAAGGGTTGTTGAGGTGGTTTGGACATGTAGAGAGAATGGAGCGAAACAGAGTGACTTCAAGAGTGTATCAGTCTGTAGTGGAAGGAAGGCAGGGTAGGGGTTGGCCTAGGAAAGGTTGGAGGGAGGGGGTAAAGGAGGTTTTGTGTGCGAGGGGCTTGGACTTCCAGCAGGCATGCGTGAGCGTGTTTGATAGGAGTGAATGGAGACAAGTGTTTTTTAATACTTGACGTGCTGTTGGAGTGTGAGCAAAGTAACATTTATGAAGGGGTTCAGGGAAACTGGCAGGCCGGACTTGAGTCCTGGAGATGGGAAGTACAGTGCCTGCACTCTGAAGGAGGGGTGTTAATGTTGCAGTTTAAAAACTGTAGTGTAAAGCACCCTTCTGGCAAGACAGTGATGGAGTGAATGATGGTGAAAGTTTTTCTTTTTCGGGCCACCCTGCCTTGGTGGGAATCGGCCAGTGTGATAATAAAAAAAAATGAATGTTGCTATAGTATAATGTGTGATAGCATTTGACAACTTTGCTGATATTCTCTATGATAACCTAATTGTGATTATTACCTGGTTCTTTCTTTCAACGCACCAGCCATATCCCACTGAGGCGGGGTGGCCCAAAAGGAAAAACAAAAGTTTTGCCTTTTAAATTTAGTAATATAGTATACAGGAGAAGGGGTTACTAGCCCCTTGCTCCCGGCATTTTAGTCGCCTCTTATGACACGCATGGCTTATGGAGGAAGAATTCTATTCCACTCCCCCATGGAGTATTACCTGGTTATAGCTGCTGTAAGAGGCAGCTAAAATGCTGGGAGCAAGGGGCTAGTAACCCCTTCTCCTGTATACATTACTAAATTCAAAAAGATAAACTTTAATTTTTCTTTTTAGGCCACCCTGCCTCGGTGGGATATGGCCAGTTCATTGAAAAAAAAAATTACGAAATCAGGGCTATGCTTGTGGTGTCTTATCTTCAGTGTTTAATATTTCATGTAACTCAGTTTTTCAGTGCTTGTAGCACTTAACTACCTATTGGATGACGGAATTCTAAAACTATCTGTGAATAACTTTCTAGTATCCTTCAAGAGGCACTCTCCCCTTGGTTTACAACTGTGGAGTCTTTTTCTTCCTACTTTGCCCCCATACCTCCCCATTTCCTCCACTTTCATGCTCAGTTACTTCACTGGTATGGTGGACAGTGGGGTTTGAGTGCCTAACATAATCCAGTAACAACTTTTCAGCCTTAATAGTGGAGATTTTGATGTAGCTTATCACCTATGATTTAGTATGAATTATAGTACATTAACTGCAACTAGTGGACTAAAAATTGCTTTACTTAAATTGTTGTTATTGTAATGACAGTAAATTAGCTGAGATAGTAGAAAATTGGCATTGATAATATTACATTAAGATAACTGAAAGCTGATAATGATGGCAGCATAGTTAATTTCTTCTGTGTATGAACTGTAAACATGGGACCAAGCACTGATTCTTCTAGATGCCCAACCCCCCTTCTTACCCATATTATTCTAATTTTCCATGAGGACAATTGCTCCCTTATGACTGTTAAATTTCTCCTTTCAAGCTGCAAATCTTAATACAATACAGGAATAAGTTCATTTATTCTTCCAGTGTAATCTTTCATGGGGAATTACTGATTTTTTGTCTTTTAAATTTAAATTTATGCAATTACTCAAAATGTGTGCTTTTGAATAATTTTTGATGTACTCATATTAGCCAAATAGATTTTTATATACATGTATTGTACAGGACTTTGCCGATCAGAATATAAACTCTAAGTTAAAAGGTAAAGTTTTGTTTAATATTACACAATGCTTGCCACTTACCATGTACAGTAGTTGTTTACTTCTTAATGAAATTGCATACTATGTACATCATGCAGAGTGAGTAACTCAGCTCTTCTGTTGCATATTAATAAAACTGATCTCCACCCTCTCTAGCCTTGACACACACATGTCATTTGAGGCTTCTTCTTTCAACACACCGGCCGTATCCCACCAAGGCAGGGTGGCCCAAAAGGAAAAACGAAAGTTTCTCCTTTTACATTTAGTAATATATACAGGAGAAGTGGTTACTAGCCCATTGCTCCCGGCATTTTAGTCGCCTCTTATGACACGCATGGCTTACGGAGGAAGAATTCTGTTCCACTTCCCCATGGAGGATCATTTGAGGCTTATCATGATTATTATATTTACAATCTGAAAACTAAGAAAAGATAAGAACTAATTTCATATTTATGAACTTAAGAATAATACAGTCAGTCACATACTGTGGAGTAGGAGGAATGTAATTTATGCAAGAAAGTGTGTTTTTATCTTGATCCAAACATCCAGATCAAGCATATTATTAAATTTACCTTGCTTATAATTTGAATATAAAAACTACTCAAAATTTTGTTGCAGCTTTTTAACAAGCAGGTACAGTATAAGGTATAATAACAAGATGCTAAATGCCTTGTAATTAATTATATTAGTTTTAGGATTTGCAGTACAGAAATTATATAATATGCACTTAAATTTATTTTATTTAGGTTCACTCACCTATTAGTTTGTCTTTGAGTAATGACTGGGTAATGTGGATTAATCTTGGAGGCAGAGAAATTATCCACTGTGACAAGACAGATGGCAGGTCATGTCAGTCAAAGCCCTTTACCTTGGCTGCCAAGGTCCTGGTTGTTGTTCTTCCAATTATGAATATTGGTAAGTTATTTGCTGTATTAATGCAAGTGTAAATATCACTGTAGTGATATTGATTTTTTTTTAAATTGATCAGTAATTGGTAATGCAGAAATGTTTCATTTCCTTTTCTAAAAGTAAGCATAGTTTTGTCGTATAAAAAGCCAAGACTTGTTATATACAAACAGTAATCATTGTAAGATTTTATAGATCACTTCAAAAGTTAATCAGTTTTAGTTTTCACCCAAGTTCATCTTGGAAATTAATTTGTGGAGCACTTGTGGCTTCATCTGTTCACAAGTAACATGTAGGTAAACTCATTTGTTCCATCTGAAAATAAGCATAAAAATGAGTCCTCTGCAAATTATAATGCATAAACAGTAACTGGTCGTGTTCCAGGGAAGGATGCGTGTTCATCAAGTGTGTGTCAGCAACTTTGTACTTCATACAATAACACAGCCAAGTGCTTATGTCAAGTAAGCTATACTGAATCTACAGATGGAGATGGGAAATGTGTAGAGGTAAGCAGGAAAACTTCAATATAGTAACCATACAGCAAAGTTTGGCTGAAATACACTGGTAATGTATACAGGGCACTTAGTACAAACTCTAACCTAAAACTTTAACATTTTGGTAAGATGCAACAGAATACATGAACACAATACAAGGAACATGTATTTCTGTGCTCTGTGATACATCACGTTTGACTAAACCTGTTTAGAAACTACATGCAAATAAAACGCCCAAAAATATGGAACTCGCTACATGAAAATGCGCATTTAAAATTGTACCATTGTAAATTGTGCTACTTTTTATATTTTGCTACCCCTCTATTGTAAATTGTACTAATTGTAATATTTTTGCTACCTCTCTTTTTGTAATGCATTATTAAAATTTTACCACTCAACCTGTTTAACCCTTTCAGGGTCCAAGGCCCAAATCTGGAGTCACGCACCAGTGTCCAAGAATTTTCAAAAAAAAAATTTATTTTTTCTTATGAAATCGTAGAGAATCTTTTTGTGAAGGTAATAAAACAAAAAGTACGAAATTTGGTGGAAAATTGACGAAATTATGCTCTCGCGAATTTTGATGTGTCAGCGATATTTACGAATCGGCGATTTTGCCGACTTTGACTCCCATTTTAGGCCAATTACATTATTCCAGTCAACCAAATTCTTAGCTATTTCACAAGTTTTTTTTTTTTTTTTTTCCAACAAGTCGGTCGTCTCCCACCGAGGCAGGGTGACCCAAAAAAAAAAGAAAGAAAATCCCCAAAAAGAAAATACTTTCATCATCATTCAACACTTTCACCACACTCACACATTATCACTGCTTTTGCAGAGGTGCTCAGAATACAACAGCTTAGAAGCATATACGTATAGAGATACACAACATATCCCTCCAAACTGCCAATATCCCAAACCCCTCCTTTAAAGTGCAGGCATTGTACTTCCCATTTCCAGGACTCAAGTCCGACTATATGAAAATAACCGGTTTCCCTGAATCCCTTCACTAAATATTACCCTGCTCACACTCCAACAGATCGTCAGGTCCCAAGTATCATTCGTCTCCATTCACTCCTATCTAACACGCTCATGCACGCTTGCTGGAAGTCCAAGCCCCTCACCCACAAAACCTCCTTTACCCCCTCTTTCCAACCCTTTCGAGGACGACCCCTACCCCTCTTTCCTTCCCCTATAGATTTATATGCTTTCCATGTCATTCTACTTTGATCCATTCTCTCTAAATGACCAAACCACCTCAACAACCCCTCTTCTGCCCTCTGACTAATGCTTTTATTAACTCCACACCTTCTCCTAATTTCCACACTCCGAATTTTCTGCATAATATTTACACCACACATTGCCCTTAGACAGGACATCTCCACTGCCTCCAACCGTCTCCTCGCTGCTGCATTTACCACCCAAGCTTCACATCCATATAAGAGTGTTGGTACTACTATACTTTCATACATTCCCTTCTTTGCCTCCATAGATAACGTTTTTTGACTCCACATATACCTCAACGCACCACTCTCCTTTTTTCCCTCATCAATTCTATGATTAACCTCATCCTTCATAAATCCATCCGCCGACACGTCAACTCCTAAGTATCTGAAAACATTCACTTCTTCCATACTCCTCCTCCCCAATTTGATATCCAATTTTTCTTTATCTAAATCATTTGATACCCTCATCACCTTACTCTTTTCTATGTTCACTTTCAACTTCACTAGTATTACTTCTATTCTATCGATTGAGCACAAGAAATCGCCAAGTCAACTGTTTCAACTACAAAATAAAGTGATCGGAAATTGTTAATTTGGCCAATTTAACACAAAGTTCAAAATATTCCAATTTCAAAATAGGGTCCAGAATGAACAAGGTAGGCATTCCTGGCACTAAACTAACATTTCCTCTGTTCATTAGTTATGTTTTGAGGCTTTACAAATAAATTCCATTTTGATTTTTTATTCACATAATGAATTTTTATTCACACAAAAAAATAGAAGATTTACTGTTATGCAATACTGTAATAATTGTATAAATATCATCACCATATTTGTGAATGTATATTAGACCCACCAGCTGGCGTGTATTAGACGTGTGAGGTCGTTTGTTTACTCTTGAATATCGGCAAAAATTTAACATTTCTGCTACTCTGAGCTCAGTTTCAAGCCATTTCCAGTGCTAAAACCAATCAAAATCATCTCTATTTCTGTAATATGTCTTCCATTCTATCAAATGAGACCAAGAAATCGCAAATACAACTATAAAAAACATATGAAAAAACACTGCAAAGTTGCTGTTTTAATCGAAAAATCATGATTTCATTTTTTTTCTCTCAGTATACACAGTGTGCTGCAGGATCTGTTTTATGTGGTGCACGCATACCACATAGATGTATTCTCTCATATCTAGGCCCAAATGTACCACTCACAGTTTATCAGAGTGAGCTGAGCTCATGGCGTAGATCTACAGTTTGGACCCTGAACATAAAGCCGTAGATCTACGGGACGGACCCTGAAAGGGTTAATCTTAAGTAGTATATTAGCATTAGTCTGCCTAAAATGCACGAGAATGCTAGTGGCTTTTTTTGTGCTAGACAATATTTTATTACATCTAAACTACACTATACTACACAAAAAAATAAAGCTGCTTATTGTTTATCTGCCAACAACTTTAATAACATTGTTAAAAAAAAACACGTATTAAATCTTATACGTTTCATCCAGTAAATGCCAGTAAATACTTGTGCAATATTGTCACCACTATAATTCTATTACTCAATAAAATGCACATCATTGATCTAATACAAACTATCTGTAATTGCCTAAAATTATATGCTATGCCTACAGTTAAATAATATACATTTACCTGAAATGCTATGCAAAATAAGTGGCTTTTTTTTTTTTTTTGACATGTACCATTGTATCAAATCATCTTTTTTTACTATAATTGTATCAAAACTTGCATGTAGCTTCTTTGTATGTCCAACAAGAAATTAGATTTTATTTTCTTCTATAGTTTAGAAGAAAAGAATTACTGTACAACAGGATTGGAGAGTAATTTTTTATTTGATATATACTGTACTTCAGTTTCTACTTTTGTAATTTTTTAAAGAAATTCCTTTGATTTTTATGATCAGTATCTTCAGACTAATAAAAACTTCATTATTTTTTCCCATCCCTTATCAAGCCAAACTTTCAGGGTTCCACTTTGTAAAATTAATCCTTGAGACATAAAAAGTTTATTTATCAGAATGATGATAAATAAGTTATGCTGCCTGACAACTTTTCAGGTAACATCTTGTGGCAGTAACTACTGTAAGAGTGGAGGGGAGTGTGAGCCTCACTCCAGTACAGACTTTATCTGCAGGTAGGTACTTTTTCTTAACCTGTCCCTTGGTAAAGATGGTACAGTATATAGACATTAAAGTATATTTCTATTTACAAGTATGTTGCTTTTGGAAGAGGAAGATTCCTTTTATATTGCAGTTGATTTTTTCTTATCCAAGGTATTTCTTCTTTCAACACACCGGCCGTATCCCACCGAGGCAGGGTGGCCCAAAAGGAAAAACAAAAGTTTCTCCTTTTACATTTAGTAATATATACAGGAGAAGGGGTTACTAGCCCCTTGCTCCCGGCATTTTAGTCGCCTCTTGCAACACACATGGCTTACGGAAGAAGAATTCTGTCCCACTTCCCCATGGAGATAAGAGGAAATAAACAAGAACTAGAAAGAAAATAGCAGAAAACCCAGAGGGGTGTGTATATATATGCTTGTACACGTATGTGTAGTGTGACCTAAGTGTAAGTAGAAGCAGCAAGACGTACCTGTAATCTTGCATATTTATGAGACAGACAAAAGACACCAGCAATCCTACTATCATGTAAAACAATTACAGGCTTTCGTTTTACACTCGCTTGGCAAGATGGTAGTACCTCCCTGGGCAGTTGCTGTCTACCAACCTACTACCTTGAATCCAAGGTACATAAATACTATCTAGTACCTTATTTCCCAATTAAACTTTTGGAAACATTTGTATAATTTTCCTCCCTTTACAAAACAAATTTGCAGATCCTATTATTTCTTGAATCAAGAGATAACAGGATTTAGTTCTCGTGCTAGTACGGGAAAGCACTCCTTTCAACAGCGGCAACAACTGAACATCTTACTACACGTAAGAGTAGCAGCTAAAATTCTTTTCCCACTCAAACTTGGCTATACTTAGACACTGTAAATGACGACCTTCAAAAAATATCTACTTGGATGACAACCAACAAAGTCACTCAATAGAAACAAAAGCCCTACTTCATATTGTTTGGAAACAGAGCCTTAAATATGCTCCCCCATTACAAGACACACTGAGGATAAATTTCTAGGTCTTCACCTTGACTAATCTTAAATTTCATTCCCACATCCAGCATATTTTAGGTAGTAAGTTGGTAGACAGCAGCCACCCAGGGAGGTACTACCCTCCTGATGAAAGTTAAGACACATGTGCAACATCTGGTTATCTCTGTTGTAGACGTTTTGCCAACCAGTGGCTTCATCAATACAGATTCTAGGACATAACTAGAAGACAGTAGAACTATATACTACCGTCCTGCCAAGTGAGTGTAAAACAGAAGCATGTAATAGCTTTACATGATGGTAGGATTGCTGGTGTCTTTTTTTCTGTCTCATAAGCATGCAAGATTTCAGGTATGTCTTGCTACTTCCACTTACACTTTGGTCACACTACACTTGGATGTACAAGCATATATATACACACCCCTCTGGGTTTTCTTTTATGTATTTTCTTACTAGTTCTTGTTCTTGTTTATTTCCTCTTATCTCCATGGGGAAGTGGGACAGAATTCTTCCTCCGTAAGCCATGCGTGTCGTAAGAGGTGACTAAAATGCTGGGAGCAAGGGACTAGTAACCCCTTCTCCTGTAAACATTACTAAAGTTAACCCTTGTGAGGGCAGGTTACGAGAAATTAGAATTTCGAACTTAACTCCCTAGAGTGGATAGAGTATCTCAATATAAGTTGAATGAGCCCATTTAAATGGAATTCTGGTGGTTATTTTTCGAGCAGTTGCTAATCTGTGAAGATAGTTTAGTTTAATATCTTTATTATGCACCCATACCCATCCTGTGGGCAGTAGTCAAAAGATTACAGAGGTACATAATGGGTCCAGGGGCTGGACCCCAAAATTATGATAGCTGAACTAGTTAAAAAGGTAATGAACTTGGGTAGATCTGGTCACAATCGTGGCAAGTTACAAAGGTAATGAATCAGCCTCACTCCTATACATGGTTAGTCATGAACAAATTACAAAGTAATGAGCCAGATACGTCCACACCTGGTCACAATTGTAATGAGTTATAAATACAAATATTAAGTGGGTCATACACCCACATGAGGGCGCACTGCACACGAGCGTACAAATATATGCACACACACACACACACACCACACACACACACACACACACACACACACACACACACACACACACACACACAACACACACACACACACACACACACACACACACACACACACACACACACACACACACACACACAGACTGGATCTTGTGTTCACCCTGAGCAGTTCAGACATTGAGGACATCACTTACGAGAGGCCCCTTGGAGCTAGCGATCACGTGGTTCTGAGTTTTGATTATATAGTAGTTAAAAGTGGAGAAGATAACAGGAACTGAAGGGGACAGGCCAAACTATAAAAGGGGGGACTACACAGGTATGAGAAACTTCCTGCAGGAGGTTCGGTGGGACAGAGAAATGGTAGGAAAATCAGTAAACGAGATGATGGAATATGTGGCAACAAAGTGCAAGGAGGCAGAGGAAAGGTTTGTTCCCAAGGGAAACAGAAATAATACGAAGACCAAAACGAGTCCTTGGTTTACCCCGAAGGTGTAGGGAGGCAAAAACTAAGTGCAACAGAGAATGGAAAAGGTACAGGAGGCATAGGACCCAGGAAAACAAGGAGATTAGTAGAAGAGCCAGAAACGAGTATGCACAGATAAGGAGGGAGGCCCAGCGACAGTATGAAAACGACATAGCATCGAAAGTCAAATCTGACCCGAAACTGCTGTATAGCCACATTAGGAGGAAGACAACAGTCAAGGACCAGGTGATAAGGCTGAGGAAAGAAGGTGGAGAACTCACAAGAAACGATCAAGAGGTATGTGAGGAGCTCAACACAAGATTTAAGGAAGTATTTACAGTAGAGACAGGAAGGACTCTGAGGGGGACAGACCAGATGGGGACACCAGCAAGGAATACACCAACAAGTGTTGGACGACATACATGCAGATGAGGAGGAGGTGAAGAAACTGCTAAGGGACATCGATACCTCAAACGCAATGGGACCGGACAACATCTCCCCGTGGGTCCTTAGAGAGGGAGCAGATATGTTGTGCGTGCCACTTACCACAATCTTCAACACGTCCCTGGAAACTGGGCAACTACCTGAGGTATGGAAGACAGCAAATGTAGTTCCCATTTTTAAAAAAGGAGACAGAAAAGAGGCACTAAACTATAGACCTGTGTCATTGACATGTATAGTATGCAAAATTATGGAGAAGAATATCAGGAGGAGAGTGGTGGAGCACCTGGAACGGAACAAGAGTATAAATGCCAACCAGCACGGATTCACGGAAGGCAAATCCTGTGTCACAAACCTTCTGGAGTTTTATGATAAAATAACAGAAGTAAGACACGAGAGAGAGGGGTGGGTTGATTGCATCTTCTTGGACTGCAAGAAGGCCTTTGACACAGTTCCTCACAAGAGATTAGTGCAGAAGCTAGAGCATCAGGCGCATATAACAGGAAGGGCACTGCAATGGATCAGAGAATACCTGACAGGGAGGCAACAACGAGTCATGGTACGTAATGATGTATCACAGTGGGCACCTGTGACGAGCAGGGTCCCACAGGGGTCGGTCCTAGGACCAGTGCTATTTTTGGTATATATGAACGACATGATGGAAGGGTTAGACTCAGAAGTGTCCCTGTTTGCAGATGATGATAAGTTAATGAGGAGAATTAAATCTGATGAGGACCAGGCAGGACTTCAAAGAGACCTGGACAGACTTGACACCTGGTCCAGCAAATGGCTTCTCGAATTTAATCCTGCCAAATGCAAAGTCATGAAGATAGGGGAAGGGCACAGAAGACCACAGGCAGAGTATAGGCTAGGTGGCCAAAGACTGCAAACCTCACTCAAGGAGAAAGATCTTGGGGTGAGTATAACACCGAGCATGTCTCCGGAAGCACACATCAATCAGATAACTGCTGCAGCATATGGGCGCCTGGCAAACCTGAGAACAGCATTCCGATACCTTAGTGAGGAATCGTTCAAGACACTGTACACCGTGTATGTCAGGCCCATACTGGAGTATGCAGCACCTGTTTGGAACCCGCACTTGATAAAGCACGTCAAGAAACTAAAAGTACAAAGGTTTGCCACAAGGTTAGTTCCAGAGCTAAGGGGAATGTCCTATGAAGAAAGATTAAGGGAAATCGGCCTGACGACACTGGAGGACAGGAGGGTCGGGGGAGACACGATAACGACATATAAAATACTGCGTGGAATGGACAAGGTGGACAAAGACAGGATGTTCCAAGGAGGGGACACAGAAACAAGAGGCCACAAATGAGGCAGAGAGATGTTAGGAAGTATTTCTTCAGTCATAGAGTTGTAAGGCATTGGAATAGCCTAGAAAATGACGTAGTGGAGGCAGGAACCATACACAGTTTTAAGACGAGGTTTGATAAAGTTCATGGAGCGGGGAGAGAGAGGGCCCAGTAGCAACCGGTGAAGAGGCAGGGCCAGGAGCTAAGACTCGACCCCTGCAACCACAAATAGGCGAGTACAAATAGGCGAGTACACGCATGTGCGCGCTAGAGAGTATAAATGTGAATGTTGCAAACTTGCAATTGTTAATAAAACACCCAGTAACTATTTTTTAAATTTATTATACAAACGGGCAGTATCAAAAACATAAATGGAACTTGTATCAAAACATTTTGTAAGTATTAGAAAAATATAAAAATGAAACACATAGCAACATGGACATATTGGAAAGGGATAAAACTTTCAAGTCCTATATTCCTGAGTTTCCTGAGGAAGAGCAATCCTTCTATATTACTAATTGCTAGAATGAAAGTCTATGAAGCAATTTTTATCGTTTATGCATAATTTATTTTGCATACAGAACAGTAGGATGAGGATGTAACAAAAATTCTTTCTTCTGCAATACTTGCAACTAAGCAGCTTGCCAGTAATTTCTGCTTTTTGGCTGGCCTTTCTTCCTCCTCATCATCACTTGACACCTCTGCATCTGTATTCATCACTATCAAGCAATTCTGGGTCATCTACCTCTGGTTCTGAGTCACTGTCCTCTAAAATGCAGAGATATTTTGACCTGGTGTTGGAGGGCTCCCCATAAAACAATTTCTCATTGATCTGGAAGGACAATAAAAACATTCTGTATACATCCAGACCACTACAGAATTTATATATGCAATAGAAATTTTGTTTTTAAATATTTATTTTATTGAAACTGGACTATGGAAAAAAAAGGGCAGAGGCGAGTATAGGCACTCCTTTTTTTGTTGCACTTTTTTCAACTGCATGCTACACTCACATTATGCTTCACACGAACTTTATATATATATCAAAATATGCCTACACTATTCATGTACACACTAAACACAACAATCAGTACTTACCGACAGTGTAGAGGGTAAAATTCAAGAGTATATTAGTGTCACTAGATGGAAAAAACCCACTCTGGGCGATGCCAAGCCACATGTGTTTACATTTTGCTCTCTCAACCAATGGGAAGCCAGCAAACGCCATCACCACTTAGGTGAAGCAACTCAGGGAAGGCTTGTGATTGGTCAGAATTAAAGAATGGGAATCCAGATGCACGGCACGAGCAGGATGACACGCGCAAAGATGCACATGTTCACGGGCACGTGAACTTGCCCTTGTGCCGTTAAGGGTTAAAAAGAGAAAAATGCAAAAATGCAATTCACATACAAAGGGCCCAAAGATTTGGCATTCATTACCTGAACCAGGAAAAGATTCCCTGACTGCATACAAATTTAGGACTATGATTAAAATTCATCTCATCTCTCAATACTAACAAAACCAACCAAACCATGTATCCACTTTGAAGCAACTCTCCCAAATATTATATGACCTCTAGTCTATTAAAACATCTGTTCATCCTTAAAAAGTACTGTTTGAAATTTTTGTAATTGTTATTCATTATGTGCAGCTTCAAGATTATTTTTATAAACCTCCAACTTTGACTACCTTGCATTAATATTAAGATAAAATAATGATTAATTAAAAAAGCTAACCACTCTTATCCTGTCTAGACCTTAGTAGTTTTTAAGTATTAGGATCAGTCTGCCCATAATGCCCCAGCATGATAGTGGCTTTCTTTGTACTTGACAAATCAAAATTGTAATTAATCAACTGCCCTTACTGCCTTTACAAAGAAATAAAATCTTTATCTTTTAAGCCATTTTTCTCCTTGAAGCAGATATCTGACCTCTGATTATTATCATTATCAGGTGCAATGTGGGTGTGATGGGTGAGCAGTGTGAGGGTGAAGCAGAGGTAGTTGGTGCCACCAACAACCTCCTTGTTCTCAGCCTTGTTCTGCTCGTCATTGTCTTGGCTGCCATTGGTTTCTTTTGGTATAGGAGAAATGTTCGTATGTTTTGCAAAGGAAAAAGTGAAAGGTAATTTTTCATTACTAAACAGACTTGCTTAATTTTGTTGATTTTGTTTGGAAATCTTTGAATAAATGTAAGATGGAATTATTTTTTAACCAATGTTAAATTTTCCTTTTGGTTGGGGTAATTAGTGTAGAATAAACTAAAGATGTTTAATGCATATATTCTACTGTTAGCTATTATACATTTTCTCTAATAAAAAAATTGTATTTCTGATTATTTTAATTATTATAGGAAAATGTGATGCCACATTAGAGGATACAGTATACAGTACTTGTTTTTCTTTTTCCAGTCATAATCTAGATTTCCAATCTGCAAACCTCACATATGGTTTAGGAAGTGATAGTGCAGGAAATGTTAGTCCTGCCCAAAGTAGTAAGTTAGTTTGTGGTAGATGCTCTTCACACCATGTGCTCTTCAACCTACAAGAAACAAACTTTGGGAACTCTAACTATGAGTTGGAAGACAACCAGGTACAGTATGTGTGCAGACTTTGTACTGCTGCTACTACTACTACTACTTTGTATCAACAAACCTGTCATATCCCACCTCATGTGCTTAGTTTTGTCCTTAATCTATCACTAATTATAATTTTTTTTATAGACTTATTAAATCCCTCCAGTATTTTAAAAACTATGTATTCTTATTCCTAGGTAGTAGGTTGGTAGACAGCAACCGCCCAGGGAGGTACTACCGTCCTGCCAAGCGAGTGTAAAATGAAAACCTGTAATTGTTGTACATGATGGTAGGATTGCTGGTGTCCATTTTTCTGTCTCATAAACATGCAAGGTTTTAGGTATGTCTTGCTACTTCTACTTACACTTAAGTCACACTACACATACATGTCTTTCTTTCAACACACCGGCTGTATCCCACTGAGGCAGGGTGGCCCAAAAGAAAAAACGAAAGTTTCTCCTTTTACATTTAGTAATATATACAGAAGAGGTTACTAGCCCCTTGCTTCCACCATTTTAGTCTCCTCTTATAACACACATGGCTTACGGAGGAAGAATTCTGTTCCACTTCCCCATGGAGATAAGAGGAAATAAACAAGAATAAGAACTAGAAAGAAAATAGAAGAAAACCCAGAGGGGTGTGTATATATATGTTTGTACATGTATGTGTTGTAGGTAGTAGGTTGGTAGACAGCAACCGCACAGGGAGGTACTACCGTCCTGCCAAGCGAGTGTAAAACGAAAGCCTGTAATTGTTTTACATGATGGTAGGATTGCTGGTGTCCTTTTTTCTGCCTCATGAACATGAAAGATTTCAGGTATGTCTTGCTACTTCTACTTACACGTAGGTCACACTACACATACATGTACAAGCACATATATACACACCCCTCTGGGTTTTCTTCTATTTTCTTTCTAGTTCTTGTTGTTATTTCCTCTTACCTCCATGGGGAAGTGGAACAGAATTCTTCCTCCGTAAGCCATGCGTGTTGTAAGAGGCGACTAAAATGCCGGGAGCAAGGGGCTAGTAACCTCTTCTCCTGTATGTATTACTAAATGTTAAATGCAAAACTTTCGTTTTTCCTTTTGGGCCACCCCGCCTCGGTGGGATATGGCCGGTGTGTTGAAAGAAAGAAGTATTCTTATTCTCATATACTTGTAATCATGATTTAGTTTTAAGGTGGCCTGAAATGTTTTGCATAATAAGGGGCTTTCCTGCACATGTACATGTCAATCACCTTAATTGTATAATATACTGAAATAGTTTGTGTTCGTTTAAAGAGACCGTAAATGTTATGACAGTTTACAAGCTATCCCCATGAAAATCTAGATAGTGGCTGATAAGGCACTGTACTTCCTACCTCCAAAACTCAAGTCCAGCTAACCAGTTTCCTTCAATCCTTTCAAAAAAGTTACTGATCACACTCCAGCAACACATCCATTAAAAACCACTTGTTTCCATTCATTCACACAAGCCTGCTGGATGCTCAAGCCCCTAAAACTTTGTCAAAGGTTCCTATACACCATCTGTCTGTGCATAAGTGTTTACAATAAAGTGAACAGAATCCTTGGCTTCATATCAAGAAGCTTAAATAATAGAAGTCCTCAGGTTGTTCTTCAACTCTATATATCTTTGGTTAGGCCTCATTTACATTATGCTGCACAGTTCTTGTCACTGAATTACAGAATGGATATAAATGCACTGGAAAATATACAAAGGAGGATGACAAAGTCGATCCTGTGTGTCAGAAATCTTCCCTATGAGGACAGACTGAGGGCCCTGAATCTGAACTCTCTAGACAGACGTAGAATTTGGAGGGATATGATTGAGGTGTATAAATGGAAAACGGGAATAAATAAAGGGGACGTAAATAGCATGCTAAAAATATCTAGCCAAGACAGGACTTGCAGCAATAGTTTTAAGTTGGAAAAATTCAGATTCAGGAAGAATATAGGGAAACATTGGTTTGGTAATAGAGCTGTGGATGAGTGGAACAAACTCCTGAGTACCATCATAGAAGCTAAAATGTTGCGTAGTTTAAAAAATAGGTTAGATATATGCTTAAGTGGGTGTGGGTGGGTGAGTTGGACCTGGCTAGCTTGTGCTAGTAGGTCTGATGATGTGCTCCTTAAGTGGATGTGACCTAGACCTGACTAGGATGGTTCAGTGGCATAAGCCAGTAGGCAACTTGGACCTGCCTTGCATGGGCCAGTAGGCCTGCTGCAGTGTTCCTTATGTTCTTATGACTCAGTTCATAAGTAAAAATAATAAAATATTAACACAGGGTTGGTAATGTAAAGTAAAACAATAAATGTGATTATTATTGTCCTTAAGTATGAGAATTTTCAAACCAAATAAAAAATTAAAATCATCATGAATACTCCTCAACATATTAAAATTCTTAAGTGTAAACTTAATTTCTGTAAAGTTTTGCTATATTAATGATGTATGTAATGTATTGAGAGAAAAATTCATAGGTAGAAGAGAAGTTTTAGAATAAAACAATAATGTAGAGTGAATATTGAGTGAATGTACATTTTAATTACACTGCATTGTACAGTAATCTCTCTAATGCTCAAAAAATCTTTACTGTATATATTTCAGGAAGACAATAACTTGGCTTCAGCTGTAGTTGTTTCAGCATGCTCAGCTAGTGTTATTGGTACCATAAGCACACCAGATCAACTTGACCTAAACTGTGTTTCATTACCAGTGTAAGTATTATTTCATGCCTATTAGTTTTTTGTACAGTACACTTGTATCTCATATTTAATGTAAATGGAAATTAAATCAGGTAAAAACACATGTATGGCATACTACAAAGATATTCTTTAAATTTAAAAATGTTTAATGGAAAAGTTTAATAGCCATTTTTTCATTGGTGTTCATAGTATTTATATAGGTGCTTCACAAAACTTGATCAAAGGAACATTTTAGGGCTTTCAGTTGGAAAGAAAGTGTCAAGGTTTTACATGATCGGGTTTGATCATTCAGCATACATGGGTGAGCATGTTTGTGAAGTAGTGGTTTTTTAGGGGGAGAGGGGCAGATTTAATGTTCTGTTGGAGTGTAAATAAGGCAACATTCATGAAGGGATTTAAGAAAACTGGTTAGTTGCACTTTCGTTCTTGAGGTGGGAAGTATAGTGCTTGCACTCTGAAAGAAGGTCAGGGATCTTGCAGGTTGGATGGTCATTTAAATTGTGATGTTCACACTTCTGGCAAGACAGCTGTTAAATGAATAATGGCAGTTTCCTTTCTTTGGGTCAACCTACATGAGTATGAAGTTCCTGATGCTACAAAAAAAATGTATGCAGTGTGCCATAGTTGACCCCCCTACAGGTTTTAATGTTAATTGAATTTTGAAGCCAGACTTTTGTTAAGTTGTTTTTTCTGTTTTATTAATTTCAACTGATCTTGCAGGTCCCATGTTTTAACACCACTCTCAAATGGCAAAGAGAATGAAGGCAACTCAAGGGTCATTCCCATGAACACAGCTTCTAGGAAAGGACCAAATTTTGTGTAACGACTGCATTCTGTACCTCTGAAAGTACATTTACTATTATCAACATTCTGTGTAAAGCCCAAATTGATGTGAAAAGTTAGGTTGTTTCTACATTTCTGTATTGTATAATTACAATTATTGTCTTATACTTTAGGTACATTTGATAATCCTTCAGTTTGTTTGGAACACTTCAATTATAGCTACAGTATCCCTTTATCTTGTTTAATTAATATGCATATTTCCCTGTAACTAAAAAAAATAATTAGATGAGCATGTACATTATAATTCTTGTCCTTCATCCTGAGGTTTATTTGCTTTACTGCATTTCCAAATACATATAGTACTGTAGGTACTACACATTATTGTGTTAATTGTAATCCAAGTGGAGAATTTTGTAACATCAATAATCAGTTGACCATGTCTGATACAGGTGCAACACCGATTTTTCTGAGCCCTTCATTCCCAGGCTTTGCCGGTATATTAATTTTTCCAGACCAGTAGAAATCGTATAAAAATGACTAAACAGTCAGCTGATCCACCATGGTCAGTTGGAAATCTAAAGATTAGCTTACATGAAACAGGTTTGTTTATTACTGTACTTGCGAAGAATGTTGCAGTACTACCATTCCTAAAGTGATAAATTTTAGAATTTTAATTTAACTGTAGAATAATCACAAAGGTTAGTATTTGAGGGTTGTTAGGATTCTGTCTCATAGGTGATTAAAAATTTTTTATTTCAGCATGATACAATGCTTGTACAGAGGTGGGTGACATTTACGTTTGCATGCAGAAAGCCCTTTAGTATGCAGAGCATTTCAAGAAAATTTAAGCCTATCTTAAGACTAGAGCAATAATTAATTGAGTGCTTATACTATATATGATCTTTAAGTTGTAACAAAAAATATAGGACTTATAGTGAACGTGACTCATGAAATCGTAATGACACAATTGCAAACAGACCATGCCACGGGTTCAAACCCCACCTGTGGTATGGTTTATAATGAACACTTTTATCGTTTTTTTTTTTTAAGGATTACAGGTTGGCTTATATGATGGTTTCATAATGGATCTGTGATGTTACAGGGAGAAAATCTGGGGTACTTTAAAGTGACAAGATTTTCAGATGAAGGTCTACTGCAGTGACACTTTCTTCTTGATTATCTTCTTAAATATTTCATCCAAGCGAAGTACTTTAATGTGTTGCACCAAATAAAAATTTATTAGCTATTCTGTCGCAAAGGATTCTATTCCTGCCCTTTGATTAATTCACCTAACAACTTGATTAATTCGTCATTAGCGTATTTTGTATATTTAGTAAGTTAATACTCTAGAACCTTGAAATGAATGGGATGTAGCAGTAGAAGGCCATACTGGGTTCCACTCCAGTCAGCTAAGAACAGGAAACTGAGGCTACAGTGGGCACAGGCTCACCAAAATTGGAAGATTGGAAAAATGCCACCTGGTCTGATGAATCGTAATTTCTGCTGTGACATGCAGATGGTAGGGTTTGAATTTGGCTTAAATCTTTGGGACATGGTGGAATGGAAGATTTGCAGCATGAATGTGCAGGCAACAAATCTGCAGCAACTGCATGATGGTATTATGTCAACATGGAACATAAGCTTAATTGGTGCAGTGAAGTGTGTTTAAAGATGTGTGCTAGTTCTCATGGTAGACAAGCTAGTTTCAGAGGCTCCTCTCTCTCTTCCTCCTCTTACTTCTACAATATCCTTCTCATTTTCTTTGCTTCTTTGCTACTCTTCTCTACAATTCTTCCTTTTTGTTAGTCCCTCTCTCTGCTATTATTTCTCTCCTTTTTCGTCTACACTATTCATGCTTTCCTTTTTTCTTCAGTGCTATTCCTCTCTCTTTAAGCTATTCTTCCTCTCCTCTTCTAAGCAGTGTTTTATCTCATTTTCTGTGCAATTCTTCCTTCTTCCTTTACATCTAAGCTGTTCTTTCAGTGTTGAAACTTAATCAAATAGGATGAGTCAAGTCTTTAATGTAACAATGTTATGCTTGCTATGTAGCTTTGTTGACTACATTGAGCATCACACAAATGTTATAGTGGAAAGAACACTGGATATAGAAACTCGGTAACTCTGTAGGGATTTATTGAGGGCGGAAATATTGAGACCGCCAACTGCATCCTACCCTCGGGTGTGTGTTAGTCAAACTGAGGTACCAGGAGGGTATGAGGGGAAAGCTGTCTCGAGGGAAGGAGCTGTCCCCAGGGTACGTGGGAAAGAGCTGTCCCCAGGGTACGTGGGAAGGAGCTGTCCCGAGGGTATGAGGGAGGGAACTGTCCCAAGGGTATGAGGGAAGGAGTTGCCCCCTGCATGTGCATGCATGTGCAGTCAGGACTAATGACATCAGATGGGTCAAGAGTCAAGTGACTCATAAACTAATCGACTGCCCTTACTGATTAATAATCACTACTGCTGACAGCTCGGTTTGTGCTATTTGCATGATGTCCTTGTCATTCAGGAAGCTAGCTTAATACATACAGAAATCACTCCCTATGAAAGTACAAGACTGGACAGGCAGTGCAAAATACCCCCTGTGAAAAGTAGGGGTGCCATTGGTACACTAAGAGAAAACATCCTAAGTGCCCAGGGCCCAAGACTGTTCAACAGCCTCCCACCATGCATAGGGTGAATTACTAATAGGCCCCTGGTTGCCTTCAAGAGGGAGCTGGACGGATACTTAGCACTGAATCAGCCAGGCTGCGGTTCGTATATTGGACTACGTGCGGCCAGCAGTAACAGCCTGATTGATCAGGCTCTGATCCACCAGGAGGCCTGGTCGTGGACCGGGCCACAGGGGCATTGATCCCCAGAATACCCTCCAGGTAATATAAATGGACTGGCAGACTCAAGAGAAGATTAATGTCAAGCCATGATTCTATATAGTGCAAAAGAATGTTGTACCAGAAAATATATCATGCTCATGAATCATAGGTCTTTAATTGTGGCAGATCACAGTGGTTTGTAGTGGATCAATCACTATTCAGGTTGTCCACGGGTTCTGGAGTAAATTATTTACAAAAAGAATAGGACTTAATCGAGAAGGATAACCTGGTGTGCCACAGGCTACTACTGCTCAGGTCCAGAACTTGTAGAAGACTTGAATAATCAATGTACAATAGAAGTTGACAGTCCCACAAAGCAACACTTGAACACAAAGCATCTTAATTAAACTACAAGGATTATTATTATAATTATGGGTGAGTGCTAAACCCATAGGATTATACAGCGCATGTGGGAGGTGGTGAAAGGTATTCAGGCTCAATTCAGGGAACCGGAGTACAGATTCAATTTCCTAGATCAAGAGCCCCTCGCCAACGTCAAGGAACCTCCCTTGAGGGGAAAATACAACGAACACAAAAAATGAAGCGACAAAACTACCCTTAACAGTCTTATATAATAGTTACTTTTTCAAAATCTCTGCAAGATTTGGCAGACGATGCAACATCAACCCAGTAAAAAGCAGGGGCGTCACGAGTACACTAAGAAAGATGCAATAAATGTCAGGGGCCCAGGGCTGTTCGTCTGCCTCTCAGCATACATAAGGGGGGATTACCAATAGACTGGGTCACAGGGGCATTGACCCCCGAAACCCTCTCCAGGTATACTCCAGATATGAGGTGATTTTGTAGATGGAGCATACAAGCAGTGTTAGTGTCATCGATTCTACATAAATATTTGCATTCTTGGAGGCATGTCCATAAATCATGGCCCTTCCAGGTAGTTTCTTTGATGCTGGTGAGGGGCTCTTGATCGAGGGAATTGGATCTGTGCTCAAGCTCCCAGAATTAAACCTGAATACCTTCCATATCCCTCACAGGAGCTGTATAATCCTACGGGTTTAGCGCTTCCCCCCTTGATTATAACAACAACAATAATAATAATGTAAATCATGGGCTGTTTCACCAACTTTGTATTTTTTCAGTCTTCCACATGGGTACCATGACCAAGATATTCACATTCTGCAGCCAAGTGATATGGTGGAATAATGACATTAAAACAGAAATCTAGGATGGCTGTAATATTCCCACAAAGTACACCCTTGGCCAACATACATCTTGAACAAGGAGAAAGGGACCGTTGTATCACTTGGCTTTGATATGCGGATGACTTCTTGGTCATAGTACCTAGACAGTTAAATCTCGATATCAAGATGAACACTGTGGAACCTTCCATCCAGTTCACCTGGAAGAGAAGGATGATTCATCGCCTTTTCTAAACGTGATGCTAAATGAAGATGGCCTTTCCCCAAAATAAAGTTGGAGAAAACCCACAAACAAACAGTACTTTAACTGTATAATTCACACCATGATCTCAAAACCACGAGAGCAGTAATAATCGGTTTCTTGGCCTGATCAAGGACTGGGCTGTGGGGGCACTGACCCCCCCAGAACACCCTCCAGGTAGGAAGGTAGTTCTCAGGATGTGTAGTGAATATCTACAAGCACCAGCACTGTGACCCTTATGGGTTTAGCTCTTGGTTTTAACTGTTACAATAAAATTAATACAAGCAGTACATATGTACAATGTGTGTATGGTCCATCTAACCTACATTCTCACTTCATGATGTGTAGGAAAGCACAACTCTCGTATGAGAACATTTCAATCGAAGGTGCTTCGAAGAACCCACCATCCATTTCACAAACTATTAATACAATATTAATAATATTTCTACAAGGGATATAGTTTTGGAGTGGTTGGTGCAATTATTTAATAAATGTATGGAAGAGGGCAAGGTACCTAGGGATTGGCAGAGAGCATGCATAGTTCCTTTGTATAAAGGCAAAGGGGACAAAAGAGTGCAAAAATTATAGGGGGATAAGTCTGTTGAGTATACCTGGTAAAGTGTATGGTAGAGTTATTATTGAAAGAATTATGAGTAAGATGGAGAATAGGATAGCAGATGAACAAGGAGGCTTTAGGAAAGGTAGGGGGTGTGTGGACCAGGTGTTTACAGTGAAACATATAAGTGAACAGTATTTAGATAAGGCTAAAGAGGTCTTTGTGGCATTTATGGATTTGGAAAAGGCGTATGACAGGGTGGATAGGGGGGCAATGTGGCAGATGTTGCAGGTGTATGGTGTAGGAGGTAGGTTACTGAAAGCAGTGAAGAGTTTTTACGAGGATAGTGAGGCTCAAGTTAGAGTATGTAGGAAAGAGGGAAATTATTTCCCAGTAAAAGTAGGCCTTAGACAAGGATGTGTGATGTCACTGTGGTTGTTTAATATATTTATAGATGGGGTTGTAAGAGAAGTAAATGCGAGGGTCTTGGCAAGAGGCGTGGAGTTAAAAGATAAAGAATCACACATAAAGTGGGAGTTGTCACAGTTGCTCTTTGCTGATGACACCGTGCTCTTGGGAGATTCTGAAGAGAAGTTGCAGAGATTGGTGGATGAATTTGGGAGGGTGTGCAAAAGAAGAAAATTAAAAGTGAATACTGGAAAGAGTAAGGTTATGAGGATAAAAAGATTAGGTGATGAAAGATTGGATATCAGATTGGAGGGAGAGAGTATGGAGGAGGTGAATGTATTCAGATATTTGGGAGTGGACGTGTCAGTGGATGGGTCTATGAAAGATGAGATGAATCATAGAATTGATGAGGGGAAAAGAGCGAGTGGTGCACTTAGGAGTCTGTGGAGACAAAGAACTTTGTCCTTGGAGGCAAAGAGGGGAATGTATGAGAGTATAGTTTTACCAACGCTCTTATATGGGTGTGAAGCATGGGTGATGAATGTTGCAGCGAGGAGAAGGCTGGAGGCAGTGGAGATTTCATGTCTGAGGGCAATGTGTGGTGTGAATATAATGCAGAGAATTCGTAGTCTGGAAGTTAGGAGGTGCGAGATTACCAAAACTGTTGTCCAGAGGGCTGAGGAAGGGTTGTTGAGGTGGTTCGGACATGTAGAGAGAATGGAGCGAAAGAGTGACTTCAAGAGTGTACGAGTCTGTAGTGGAAGGAAGGCGGGGTAGGGGTCGGCCTAGGAAAGGTTGGAGCCAGGGGGTAAAAGGAGGTTTTGTGTGCGAGGGTTTTGGGATTTCCCAGCAGGCATGCGTGAGCGTGTTTGATAGGAGTGAATGGAGACAAATGGTTTTTAATACTTGACGTGCTGTTGGAGTGTGAGCAAAGTAACCATTTATGAAGGGGTTAGGGAAACCGGCAGGCCGGACTTGAGTCCTGGAGATGGGAAGTACGTGCCTGCACTCTG